CTGTAAGTCAGCAATACTAATGTGCTCGACCCAACGGTCGATTGGCTCAGCATTTTAATGATTTAAATATCTCAATCTCAAGCTACATAAAACTAAAATCGATCTATGTACATTTTGGAGCAACAGATCTCTGATATATGGAGTCTTGTGTCAAGTTTGCCCACCTGTCCGACCCCATCAGCAAGTAGAGTTTGCAGGAAATATAACACATCTTTGATGATCGACGATGTGTTATACTTCCTGCAAACTCTACTTGCCTTGGTATGTTCATACCTCTTCACTTATGATGATACTGATGAGTTACTGGCTTTGAAGCACTCGACCCCAATGTCAAGATTGCATATGCCGAACATCAGTGGGACAAGGAGTCGTTCGATGAGTACTACCGTGATGTGGCCCCGACCTCTGTTGCTGTAGAGGCTGACAACGAACAAGGGACATCTGACTTGCATGGTCAGTATGGCCGTTCATGGGTGCTTGCAGCTGTGCAAGCACGTCTCGCATCAGATCGCACCAAGCTGAACCCTCGCGCTGAACTTACGGCTTATCTTGGAAGTCCTCTCGAGCAGACTGATGATGTCGTATGTTGGTGGGGGGTGAGTGTTTATGCTATCACAAGCATACGAGTTGACTAACGAAAATTTGTCAGCACCACCAGTCACAGTACCCGACTCTTTCATGCATGGCAAGGGAATACTTGCCCATACAAGGCTCCAATCGATCTATGTACATTTATGAGCAACAGGCCTCTGATATGTGGTGTCTTGCTTCAAGTGTGTCCACCTGTCCGCATTTGCTTATGTAAGCAGGGTCGCCCCTGTCCTGTTGCCTCACCCAAAGGTTGATTTTTTCAGCCTTCACATGACTTGCTTTGTGTCGAATAGACATCTCAATGGGGGTTATTGAACCATCGGATTCCAATTGTAATGCTACTTTTGTTCAAAAAAATCATGTTCTAAAGTTATGAGTGAGGAGTGAGTGTAAGGTTGCCATGCTGAGGTGCTCAATCAAAGGTCGACTGTCTCAGCCTTTCGGTGACTTCAATGTCTGAATCTCAAGCTCAATACAACCACAATCAATATATGTACATTTATGAGCAACAGGCCTCTGATATGTGGTGTCTTGCTTCAAGTGTGCCCACCTGTCCGCATTTGCTTATGTAAGCAGGGTCGCCCCTGTCCTGTTGCCTCACCCAAAGGTTGATTTTTTCAGCCTTCATATGACTTGCCTGGCTTCAAATGGAACTTGATCCTAAGGTTATTTGACGCTCTGAATGCGATGGCAATGCTGATTTTGTCCGAATAAATCATGTTTCAGAGTCATGCTACCCCCTCCCCCTACCTACTCAACAATGAAGCATGATTTTATGTATATACTGATGTAAAAAGGATTTAAATAGTGCATTTGGATCATACAAATAGATTGAAGATGGGTTCGAAGTGTTTTTGGCCAATATGAAATGTAATGTGTAAGTTGACCTCATACCCCCCCTCAAAGATCGATTTTTCTGGCCTTCCCATGACTTGCCATGACTCCAAATCCATTTTTCCTGGGGGCTCTTGATAGCTGCGAACAAGATGGTCAAGCCCGAATTGTCAGAAAAAATCAGGTGGTCGAGATACAGAAGGTCCTCCTCCCCCCCTAACTCACATATCTTCCTATTATGTAAATACCGGTATGTAGAAGGGTGTCCCTACTGTTTTACAATGATATAAATCGATTGAGAATGATACAAGAGCGATTTGAGACCATACAAAGTGACATGTGCGAATTTGTCGCATACCCCCCTCAAAGATCGATTTTTCTAGCCTTCCCATGACTTGCATGCCCTCCAAAAGCATTTTTCCAGGGGGCTCTCAATGTACCTGAACACGATGGTAAAGCCCAATATGTCAGGAAAAATCAGGTTGTCGAGATATAGAATGTCCTCCTCCCCCCTCCTACCCCCTATATCGCACCACACTCGAATATAACTCAAGACCAATGCTGAAAATGGTGTTCCTACTGTTTTTCAGTCATACAAATCGATTGGAGATGGTCCCAGGGTGTATAGAGGTCGCCAATATTGCGGTTTGGTGGAGGGGCAAAAAAGTCAGTATTTCGACCATATCTCCATATTCCAACCGCCGTTTTTCTTAATTCTTGGTTCATATGATTCCTGGAAGATGCCTCTAAATGATGTACCAGCCCAGGAAAAGATATTTTTTCCAAAGTTTGAAACCTATTTCTGTTTTGACCATATAAATGACCACCCTTTGTTTCGCACATTTTGAGAAATGCCAGAAATGTGCAAATGGACCACCCCTTGTTTTGCACATTTTTGACATTTCTCAAAATGTGCAAAATGGACACCCTTTGTTTTGCACATTTTTGACATTTCTCAAAATGTGCAAAAGTGACACCCTTTGTTTCGCACATTTTTGACATTTCTCAAAATGTGCAAAATGGACCACCCCTTGTTTTGCACATTTTTGACATTTCTCAAAATGTGCAAAATGACCACCCTTTGTTTTGCACATTTTTGACATTTCTCAAAATGTGCAAAATGACCACCCTTTGTTTTGCACATTTTTGACATTTCTCAAAATGTGCAAAATGACCACCCTTTGTTTTGCACATTTTTGACATTTCTCAAAATGTGCAAAATGGACACCCTTTGTTTCACACATTTTTGACCTATCTCAAAATGTGTAAAATGGATACCACTTGGTTTGCACATTTTGAGAAATGCCAGAAATGTGTGAAATTGCACATGTGAGTTAGGCATAACCTTGGGCTAACCCCATCCTATTTAACAAAATGTGCTTAGAATTGAGTAAGGCTTACTTGCTTGGTTCTTGGCTTGTGATTTACGAATCTTCAGGGTTGGCAAGAGAAGTCCGTTTCAATTCGATGTTAGTGATTCCTGAGCACAATCTGAGCCTTTACGTGTTACAGGATATTGGAAAGTGTTGGCATCAAGTGCGGCATTCAAGAACCATGTAGTACAGGATTGTCTGAACGTGCTTCACACTGACATCGTCGCTGTGTGGAACTTCCGTGATCCTCATCGTGTAATGGTGATTTTCTTTGTTGCCATCGTTCCCTCACATGAATTGTACACAGTACTTGCACAGCAAAGAGTTCAGGACATTCATTGTGAACATGGTCGATAAGCTAGATGACGAACCAACCGGTCCTGCCCAGACCATGTAGGCCGGTCTGTTAAGTGACCAATACAAAAATTTATTTCATTGAATGTTCACAGTGCTATTGGGCTCCCCATGGTGGGTACTATTGCGGGCATCATGTCTGCGCTGGCAGGACCTGCGGCTCCCATCGTGGTACCGATCGCAGCAAGTATCGTACTCGCCTTATGGGTTCGCGATGTGTATCAGACGTCGTAGGTACTGTTACTTGTCCTCGAGCAAAAATGCTGACACTTTTCAGCCACGCAGTGCTTCGGCGCTTCATGTGCTACATTGTCGACTTAACTCTAGTGTTGCAAACACTTTATCTTGTGTCAACAAGTCAAGAATTAACTTGCAGGGTTATCAAGCTCGTGGTCGCTTCTTACATTGCCTCACCAGTGAGCGGAGAAGTTCACGCCAAAATTCAGGAGTATGATAGGGGACTATCATTCCTTGAACGCGCGGATCGTGACACATTGGACAAGATCGTCGAGCTCATGCAATTCTATAGCATCGGTGCAGAAAGAATTTCTGAATTTCGAGCACAGATTCCACCTGTAGATTTGTTCTTGGACGAACCATGGGAAGTTGAGGTGTAGAAATTCTTTGTGCTGCGTTGGCGGGTGTTGTCTGAGTACTGCTGGAGTAGCTATGTGGTTGAGATCTTACTTGACCGAAGCCAGAACCGAGCCTAATAGAATTAGCGAGTTGAAGTTGAGTTGGAGCGATATATGAAAAAGGAGCGTGACCTAACGATTCATGATATTCGTGCTGGTTGGCGAGAGCGTGCACGTAACGATGAATAAGGCATGTCGATTCCATCAGAAGTGCGATTGCAAGTGCACCATGGATTGTGTTGAAGTGCATACATTGGCACTTCCTCATAACGGACTGAGAAGCTGAACGAAACAACATCATTGTTGCAGTCATATGTAGCTATTCAAGCTCCAGTGCACCTAGTACGTTCAAAGTGGGCTATAAATCTGAGAAGACAGACTGGTGAGAAGAGGTATGCAGTTCATTGTGTGCATTGTACGTACAATATGTAATCGCTGTATCCACAACGGAGGTAGTGAGAACGAGCACACCATGAAAATGATGCGTATAAGGATGTTGTGAGATTGTGAGGTGTGGATCGATACACCATTTGGCACATCGGCTCGAAGCAACGGTACTCCTCCCGGTAAGTTGAGGCATGGGCAACAATGATCCCTGAACTATCCGGCTGACTCAAGTTCCCGAACTCTATGATTCTCAGACTTTCTGAAGGTAACGGCGGTACGATGTGAAAAAGTTCAAAGACGACTTACGGAGGACGTCCTTATCTATGCCATGGGTGCACACGGGTCAAATGCTATGAAAGAACAGTGTCAAACTTACGTGTAGGTGTAAAAAGCCCCTGATCAACCTCAGCGTCCAACAAGGGGGAATCCGGAACATACGGTGGGGAAGAAGGAATAATGTGAGGAAGATGTGTTCATTTTAAATTTGTATAAAAGAGCTTGCGAGTCATACAAATGCTGCGCGAGCACTCAGCAAGTGGAGTTGAAACGATTCATGTTTATGTAATTAGCACTAGAATACATGCATTAAGTCAGAGTACACTCTAAGCGCTAGTCTAAATGATTGAGTAACCATTATGTCTGACCAACTTCTATTTACCAGCCATGGGCCCGAACAACAAAATGCATTTATGTCGGCAAGCTTCGAGTTTCGGCGTGCTTTCTTCCCCTCCCCAGTCTCTACTACATTATTGAAATGTCATCGAGACCTGACAGCTTTGCGGAGGTCTCTTTGGCTACTCCTGACACTCCTTTGAACAGTAGTACTAATCACCCTCCTTGGATTTCGACTTCCGAGACAGCGACTCCTTGCGACTCCTTCGTTTACACTTCATGCAATTCTTCTCCACTATTACCAACTTCACACCCAGGTCCCTGTGGGGAGGAAATCAAATCATCGCCTCATTCAAAGAAGGGTGCTACATACGTACGCGCCGTTCTATTGTTTCTCTCCGCTGTTCTGGCGGCAGTTGCGGTGGTGGTACCAGTCTACTTTGTTGTAATCAAACACCAGCATCATGAGTCAGAGACCAAAGGAACCAGCTCTTCCGATCCTTCGTCCGTTGGCTCTCACGCCGGTCCAACTTACGGAGCAAATGGTTCTACGGTCACAACCTCGGACGGATCGACTTTCACATACATTAATCCATTCGGAGGATATTGTGAGTACATTTGTGTTTGCATAGCAGAATTCCTGAAGCATTTCACATGATATCACGTTCTTTTTTCTCTTGTTCAAGCTGCTGATACAATGTCACAGGGATAGATGATCCTAATGATCCTTTCAACGATGGTGCGCGTCCTAACTCATGGACGCCACCGCTGAACGAAAGTTGGGTCTGGGGCACAAATAAAGTTAACGGGTAAGCCTATTTGGCATGGTGGAACATTCTATGAGACTCTGACATTCATGAGTTCCTAGCGTAAATATTGGCGGCCTCTTTGTTCTTGAGCCGTTCATTTCACCTGCTTTATTCGAGAAATACCCAGAAGCTATTGATGAATGGTCACTGAGCACACTTATGGCCGCAGACACCCCCAGTGGCGGATTGAACCAGATTGAGGACCATTACAACACATTCATCGTGAGCTCATCACCATGTCGTGTGAGACGTTACTCAAAATCGAATATCGCAGACCGAGCAGGACATCGCAGAAATTGCTGGCGCTGGGTTGAATTGGATACGTTTGCCCATACCCTTTTGGGCTATCGAGAAGTGGGATTCTGAGCCTTTCCTTGAGCAGGTTTGCTGGCCGTAAGTGATGGCATGAGTATCCCAGTTCACGCTCTAACGGGTGGCACTGTAATTTTCTTCAGGTATATCTTACGAGTCCTTCAATGGGCACGGAAGTATGGCCTTCGAGTCAATCTTGATCTTCACACAATTCCTGGCTCTCAGAATGGTATGCTGTGTCTCCAAAAGTTGCTGTTGGGCGATCTAACATGCTACCCAGGTTTCAACCACTCCGGCAAGTTTGGGAAGATTAACTTTCTCAACGGAGTTATGGGTGTTGCAAACGCTCAGCGCGCTCTTGGTTACATAAGGATCATTGCTGAATTCATTTCCCAACCTGAGTGGAGGAACGTTGTGCCGGTTTTTGGCATCATGAATGAAGCCAGGGTTGCTGTCATTGGCATGGATCAGATGACATCTTTGTATGTTCTTGTAACGCTGTCTTCTGTCTGCAATCCTCACAAATGACATGTCCATCAGCTACATGCAGGCCCACGATATGATTCGCAGCATCACGGGTTATGGGGAAGGGAATGGGCCGTATTTTGCAATCCATGATGGCTTCCAAGGTCTTTCGTCTTGGGCAGGGTTCTTGGAGGGATCGGATCGAATTATCTTGGACAGTCACCCTTACTTCGCCTTCGACGGTAATCCCAACCCCGAGCCGATAGCGATAGGAACTGGGCTGGATGCTGGTGGCATTTGGCCAACTCTAGCTTGCTCGAGGTGGGGGACTGAGATGAATGTTAGGTAATCGCTGAGATTGTGTCTCACTATCAAGCTAATGCGTAACTGGCAGTCAAACAGCGTTCGGTGTCACCTTCGCTGGCGAATTCAGCAATGGCTTTAATGATTGCGGACTGTACCTCAATGGGGTGGGGAACGCTCAGGACGTGGCGCCCTCGTGCTCCCTCTTTTTAGACTCGTCGCAGTGGAATAATACCATGAAGGCGGGGATCCAGCAATTGGCATTGGCAAGCATGGACGCCCTCCAAGATTGGTTTTTCTGGACCTGGAAGGTAAGCATCATCCTTTTCGACCTTTTGATTGAATACAAGAATCGAGTATATTATCTAGATCGGGCCTTCATCTAATAATTCGATTGCATCTCCACTTTGGTCATACCAGCTAGGATTGCAACAAGGGTGGATGCCCATTGACCCTCGCATGGCTACTGGGACTTGCGCTGCACTAGGTGTCACCGCTGACCAGTTCGACGGTGTTTATAAGCCCTATCAGACCGGTGGGCCTGGTGCGGGGACAATCGATCCTGTCTTAGTGTCTTCGTACGGCCAGTATCCGCCCAAATCCATTAGTGGGCTGACTGCAGGAGCTACGCAATCTCTTCTTCCTACTTACACGTCGACAAGCGCCATCCCCACGCTGCCGCCGCCTACCTTTACTCCAAGTCCTCCGAGTTCGGTCGTCATCGGGAATGGATGGTTAGATTCGTCTGATACTAGTTTGGCTGCCACAGAAGTCGCTGGGTGCTCATACCCTAATGCATGGGATGCCATCAGTGTCCCAATGCCCACTGCCCTTTGTCCCCCCACCGCGGGTGCTAGTGCCAACGCAGTTACCTCTGCCCCTGCAGTAACGACTTCATCATGAGTACCGATCCAGGTATCCTTACCGGAACATCAAATACTGTAAATATTAGTAATAGCAAACGGCTCCTGGAGTTCCCTAGTGAGATGAGTACTTTACCTCTAATACATCTAATGTGAGATCCGGATTCAAAGGCCAATACCTGGTCGGCGGTTTCGTAGTCAAAATGACAATGCTCACAAGCATTGGCACAAGTTCGTTTCCACCCCTCATCTGCTGCAATGGAGGAATGCGGTAACATTATTGTGAACTGTTTATCGTATTTCCAGCTAAATTTTATCGCAGTATATTAATGATATTAATTAGCAGGAGCAAAATTGCACCCTTCTGTAGTTCCCACAGATACAATATCAAGGAATCATCCATTCACTGATGTGACATTAGCTAGGTTCTCGCGTAGACTCGACGACGCTCGTCTTAATTTTTTATTCAACATTTGCACAGTCTTGAGTAGTTTTAAGCCGCCCTTCTCAGGGACTTGAGAGAATCATCGAACATTTCTATCGCCCACCAATATTCATCAACCGAAGGGACATAAAAACATGAAGTCACATAAACACAGGACACCCATCTCCGATGATATCTTTGGATCTTTGTGTAATTTTAGGGTCTTGAAGCAAGATAATCTTACGTGCAATAGTTCAAGTCTGAACCTACGGCGACCGTCCTATGTAATCCATCTCCTCGAAATTCCCATACGTGAAAAATCATAATCAACGTGCAGAAAGCTATAGTGACGATAGGTCCCTTTCCGATCGCAAATCTTGTTTTCTAATGGAGGGCTCGGCTCCGGTGATTTCAATGCCAATCAGTTCTCCTGTCCCCACCAATGTCACAGCTGAAAGCTGGTTTTCTCTTCGAAGCAGTGCCTCGCAACGAGATAATTGTCCGACCCAGCCATCTACCCACAGAATCTCATATTCGTCATGAAAGTGAGAGATATAACTCGGTTGTAATCTGAAATACAGCATCAGGAGTCTCGGAATAGGTTCCGTCAGATACCGTGCCGTTCCACTACTTCTTCTTCCCTCCCTTGCCTTTCCCACCAGTCTTTCCTCCGTGTGAGGCGCCAGCAGAAACAGTGCTACTTTCAGCGCCAACAGCTGCACCCTGGGTTGCACCACCTCCTGCACCCCTCCGCCTTTTCCCTTGGGTATAACTAGTTCTTTCTGATTTCTTCAACCATCTTTCTGGATCCGGCGGGGGCGACACGCCTGGTACGACTCCCTTCGGCACACGTTTTGTTCGCAATTTCTTTTTGGTTTCCAAAGCCTCCGGCTTTTTCGTGGGTTCTTCCACAGAAGCGAGAATCGAAGCTGGTTGGGAAAGGACAGGTGGCGGCGCAGATTCTAAAGTCGAAGCAATAGAACTGGGGAGCTGAGACATAGCTTGCATGAATGTAGTTGCGATGAAATCCTGGTGTGATTGAGATGCTGGTAGATTGGTGAGAATGTCTGCATGTTCATCCGAAGACTACGGGCGGCATATATGCGTGAATGAGTTGCCAACTACCTGCAAAGCGCGCAACGTACAGGATCAGCTGTTTCAAGAAGTTCGCTATAGATGTCCAGGGATGACTGGTACGATCCTTGACGATAGCTCTGCAGAATGAATTATTTCGATCCTGATATTAAACGACATGACCAGATGCTTACCAACTGAGCCTCTAAGTGCATCGCGCCTCTTTGCTCTGCCTCCTTCCCATTGTTTTTTATTTCCTTTAGCACCTGAGTAGCGTCTTCTTCTCGCTGAAGACGATACAATGCATATGCACGCTCAAATGAACACTGTTCATTTATTTCGGCGATAAGTGCAAGGGCGGTGTCGTACTGCTCAGTCTGGAGAAGCAGGAAGAGCTTCGTCCGTAGTGCATCCCGATCGCTTGGATCTAGACGCAAGACTGTGAATTCCGTCAATATTATATTATAAAAAGTTTGAAACTGCATCACCGACTCTTATTACATGTACGAATCGCATTTGTAAAGTGCCCACCATCAACTTGAGCGCAGAGGGAAGTAAACAGACGTTTTAGTCTATCCGTCAGTGAAGCAGGCTGCTGCTTTTGTGGACGTCGCTGTCTTGAAGGAGTCTTGGAAGATGTCTGGCCCGCCTTGGCTGGGATAGGTTTAGGTGGCATTTGATTCTTTGGTCGTCGGAGTCGTTAGTGACGATGGGATGAAGTCGTGAGCCACGTGTCACAGTTCCTTTCTTGTGACATAATCAACCCAATTTCCGTCACTGAACGAAAGCATTGTTCACCTGCTACCATCAGGCAATGTCTACAAAATTGTGAGTCGTGTGCTATATCTCATTCATTCAGCCTTAATTATTGCACATAGGAAACCAGCAACCGATGCGAAATTTGATACTGACACCCGGGACAAGATGGACACAGAACAAGAACCAGACTCTCAGCCTGCAAGAAAGCGGCCTCGCATTGACCTTGGTGTTGGCGAGCGCAAGCGAGGCAAGAGCATGTTTGGTATTGTTCTTGGAACACTGAACAAGGCGAAGATTGAGGACAAGGAAAGGAATGCCAGTGAAGCAGTAAGCATAATTCATACACGCGTTTACTCATTAGAATGACGTATATATTTATCTTCAGGCTAAAAAGCGCCAGATGATAGACCAGCGGTTGCAAGCCAAACTTCGCAAGGAAACTGACTCAGTTCGACGCTCTGAAGAAGCCAAGAAGGACAGGAACCTCGCAAATCGAAAGGAAGAAGAACTTCAACTCAAAGATTCAATCGTGCGTTTCAAGTTAATATCCTCCATCTTTCAGCAACCAACGACTTTATCTTGCAGTATAAGCTACGAAGAACGCATTTACCACTCTATTCTCACTTCCTATGTACATCTGACGACATCCAGTCTATTGATTCCGTGGAGGACCAGCCATCATCAATAACTCTAGCTTTACCCACACGATCGCACCCTCCACCTCTCTTTTATTTCCCTACGATACTCACAGCAGCCCAGGAAGCATTTCTAGAAAAACGCAAATTCAAGGTAAGCTTAGTATTTGAAAATGCACTGTGGTCGATGGTGTAATATCTACTTTCGCTGTCGTTGCATCGACGAAATCGGCACTGATATTTACGACCTAGGTCAAGGAAGCAGCCGAATCCGAATGGTCCACCTTCCGCGGGGAGCGTACTGCTGGTATTGATGAAATTAAGGAGCTCCGACTACGTGTTGCCGATGAGGACGCAAGACGGAAGAAAGAAAAGAAAGATGAAATCGAGGCAGACGAAAAAAATCAAATCAACACGGACGAGGAAATGGCCTCTGAGGCACCCAAGCCTTCTGAATTGAAGGCGGAGGAGCGTGACTCTAAGACAGAAGAAAAGACGGAGGAACGCGAATCGAAGACGGAAGAAATGGAGGTGGACGTTGGTACTAAGGAGGAATCAGGCATGCGCGCAGACGATGAAGATGCAGTTGAATACTGATTTAGGTGAGTGAATCGAAAGCGTGAATTTGTTAGCCGTTAATGATGGACCCTAGACTGAATAGTACAACTGTGCGTAATCATTTTGAAGGTGGTACAGTATATCTTTTTCTGTTCTAGGACACTCTTGTGCGCTTAACTTGTTGTTCTAGTTGTCACCTGTAGTTCGGTCAATATAGTCAGGTGTCAGATTTGCTCGTAATAACTGATGAGCCAATGGCCAGGATACATTTTCCCAATGCTAGGAGATGGTGATATCGTGTCTATATCTATCAATTTCGAAGTCGTTGAGGGCTAAGATCAACGAACCATGATGAGATACTGTTGGCCTTGGCTTGGTAGGTGACAATCACGCAGCATGGTTCCCATCCCACTTGCTGTGTCGGCTCCAGTCTGATCATTGATTTTGGCCATCCCGGACTCTGAACCCTAAGTACGTAACTACCTATCTGTGGTGGTGGTGGTCACTGCTTATCCCAATAGCATAACAAATATCTTGGGAACGCAATGACCTCCTACAGCAAGTGAGATTACACATAATAGGTGTTGGTGGGAAGTTGCATTATACCAATTGACAGGCCGTGACATTCTTCCTCCGGATGTGAGACACTCTGCCAACAGTTTCCAGCGTTAATCAAGAGCTGTATTTATCTCGTGCTTAAATACTGTAGAGGTGCGCTTCACCGAGTATTGTGATTATCTGGCCCCACGCAATAATAACAAAACCATCGTCTTATTCGAACCAAAAGGTAAGTCCATATGATGTTGATCAGTCTTTCTGTCTTGCTCATTCCGCAGCCAAGATTGGCAGCTTCCTCTGCCGGACACGCATACGCCAGACTGTTTGGTTGTTTGGCCGTTCCACGTTGCACTGCCACTTCGCCTGAAACCATGACCATCACCTTACCCGTGTATTCCCTGGCGCATCAGCCCTAGGATCGTTTCTCTGTGCCGATCGTGGGCTATGCTCACTTTTGCCACTCCCGCGCATTACGTGCTCATAGCGGGGTCGATGAATCTCGGTCTCAAATGATCCTTGTGGCCTGTTTCCTAGGATTCTTCAGCCCATTCGGAGTTTCCGATGGACTGGTACGAATGACTTTTGGCCTGGCCGGCCGTTAAGCGATACAGCTTGTTTCGCTTTCGACAGCAGCCAGCCATGTCGTGCCGGTGGTTTACAAAACCCTGAACGGCAAACGCCTGGGCTGTTCTCTGATGGAATTGCCATGGCCAACGCCGGAGAACCTCCACAGAAATTTCTTGAGAGAAGTTTTGGAAGCCTTCACGCCACATTAGAGCGGGTATTTGCAATTATCCTATGAACGGCCAGCTATCATCTTCGGATCCTGGGATATACGATTAGAGGTTGGTTGACAATAGTATCAGGTCAGTTTGTAGCGGTAATTATTCCACACGTGTGATGTTCATGAGAAATTCAGGACATCGAAACATTCGTGATGGTACCGGAAACAATGCGCCTTATAGATTTCAGGTAAGGCCTGTCGTTATGACTTTCTAAGAGTTAACCAGTTGACCTCAGAAAACAAGGTTCCCGACAACATATTAGATATAAAAAATGGGTATAAATACTTGCGCTATTTCGTTCAAATTATGAACCTGTCATCATGACTTAGTAGAAAAGAGCGAATGATAGTGATGATAGCAAGTATCACAATCGACGAGCCTGTATGTAGCTATGCCCTGCCCCTCGTACTCTGTACCAAAGGAAAATCACGAGCATCGAAGAAAATGCGTAGTCTTGTGACAAACACAAAAAGATAAAGATTAGACCATCCTCTTCATCCCAAGATGAGTCTCCTTAACGTGACGCCACATACAGTCGCGCCGCATGGTCTGAATGGCTGTATTGTCGCGCTTCCGATATGTGCAACCTTGCCAACGACATACATTTGGCGCATTTTGAGTCCCAGACAGATGGCTGCGCCTGACATGTATCTTGAGTGCATGCAACGGCCCTTCAAATACACAAGTCACATTTTCTCCGACAAGCCAGCCGCAAGATAATGTATCGGATGGAGGATGGTGAGTTCCATGGGAATGAGATCCACTAAGAGGCAGATCTTCATGTGGTTGAATGAAAGGTGGACGATATGAAAGGTTACTCATGTCGCCTCCATCACCTGTATTGGATGGTTTACGGTGGAAGGGTGTTTCACGGTGGTAAGAGGGTGACTGATGATGGGAGCTAGATGATGCATTCAAATGATAATCGGAGGATGATTCAGGGTGAAAGAATTGTTCACGGTGGTAGGAGGGTGACTGATGATAGGAGCTAGAGGATGCATTTGTAGGATAATCGGAGAATGATTTGGGGTGGACGAATTGTTCACTGTGGTAGGAGGGTGACTGATGATAGGAGCTAGAGGATGCATTTGTAGGATAATCGGAGAATGATTTGGGGTGGACGAATTGTTCACTGTGGTAGGAGGGTGACTGATGATAGGAGCTAGAGGATGCATTTGTAGGATAATCGGAGAATGATTCGGGGTGGACGAATTGTTCACTGTGGTAGGAGGGTGACTGATGATAGGAGCTAGAGGATGCATTTGTAGGATAATCGGAGAATGATTCGGGGTGGACGAATGGTTCACTGTGGTAGGAGGGTGATTGATGATAGGAGCTAGAAGACACGTTTATAGGATAGTCGGAGGATGATTCGGGGTGGAAGGATGGTGATTGATGATAGAAGCTAGAAGATGCATTTGTGCTAGGCGAGGCGTATGGCGGTGGATAAGGGGCATAGCCATCTAGATGCTGCCTGTATATGGGGTACTTGTGAGAAAAGTAACTGTTCATATATGATGACGAGGGGCATACGTTTGTGGTGGACAGAATGACGAATGATTACCCTCTGTAACCCAAGTGTCAGGAGACCAGAGGTTGACATCTCTTTGTGCGATGTTGTAGTACTGGATATTATGATAACTCGCGGGGTGGTGGACAGGGTCTCTATAATCTAAGTTGGATTGAAGCTTGTGTGTTACCGCCATGTAATTGGCAGTTGCATAGCAGTTTTGCAGCAGAGCTACATTGTCTATTATGGGATGGGTGGCAGTAGCTCCATCCCCGTAGTAGGGGGGGTATCTGTTGGATGAGACATTTGATTGCGTGGATGTTTTGAGAAGATAGTTCATCATATCGGCAGCGGAGTCAAAAGCGTTGGCTGTGGTACCGACATCCGGTGAGGTGCCAGTGCGCGTCCCGCCAAGAGGGAAGAACCTGCTTGCCCTGGAATCGGCCGATATTGAGAAATCAGAGGGGGGTAAAGCCCGAGCAGGGCGACTTCTAGTGGTTATTGCGTGAGATGTTTTTTACGAGGAAACAGTAGACTAACTTGAAGCCTGACACTGTATTCTGGTGATCGCCATGAAATAAACTGTCAGATATTAAGGGCTCATCGTCGAGAGGAGGCGACGAGCTCTGTGATCTCGAGGAAAATTCCTTTGAGAAAGATCAGTGTGATGGAGAAGCATGTTTCTAGGGTTCCTACCATTCCAATGGCACAGGATGAGACGACGTGCGAGGGGCTCTAACTAAGGAAAAACGAGAGAAGGCGGAAGTTCAAAGGGTGCGCCCAAACCAATAAATACCCTGTGATCACCACACAGCAATAACCGATCCTCCAAGTTGGGGCGCAGGCAAAGGACTTGCCATCATGGCTCAAGGCCAACCTGACCATAAGCCACCAACCACCAGCCAACAGGGAAAATTGAAAGTCATGTTCTAGAAGACAAAACCGGCCAAGCCATCCTCCAAGATAGCACGATGGAAGGAGCAGAAGATCTTTGACGAAGGAGGTAATGGATCCGACGACACCCGAACATCGGAATACAATTTTTGGAGACAAGAATTGGGACGTTAATCCAACCAACAAAAGGTAGCCAATTGAAGCTATACGATTAGAATTATGTCCCTCGGGAATAAAATGCTGTATCGAGGAACATATGGAGTCAGTGAATGCAGCACCATGATGACGCTTGATGCAAACGAGTCTGACACAGTGGAATAGAGGCAGCGGGTAGGTGGGAGAAAAGTAACGAGATTAAAGACGCTGAGCACCGAGCCCTGGGTTATTAGTATATGCCCAGTGTACAATAAGGACAAGCGAAAGGAGATTTCCGAGTGCCGTGATCATGGGAGCAGACCCTGTATGTGAACATGTAGAGTCCATCATGCATCATATAGGCTAGTACTAGTAGCAGCTGATTACTTACTGCGCCACACGGAGAGATCAGATGAAGAACGTGACTCCTTCGATTTGTGAGGTAGATATTGGTACCACACGCACTCTTGAAGCTTCAAAGGCTCGAGACCGGCGTAGCGTACCAAATATGGTTAACCATGTTCCGCGAATAACTCGATTACCAACCCAGCGCTTATACTGGTAGTCGTCATTCTCGCGGCGAGCAAAACAACAAAGTACTAAGGAACTGACATCAGTTTTCTTTTTCGTATCGTTTCTTACATGGAACAAACCCGCCAACAGACTGTGGTCATTTCTTGACCTAGAGTTGAACGTCCAACTTGAAGGTCGATTGATCGGCCGACGACGTTCTCGAATCGAAGAAGCGTCGATCATCGCGGTAAATCATTCATCTACAGGGATATCCCGCAGACTGACGAATGATCATCGAGTGCCCTCAGTTGTTAGTTCAACCGGCCCCAAATGTTGACGAGAACAAAAGTAGTACGTGCAGAGTAACGTAATAACGTAATGACAAGACCTGAGCCTCGTCAGCTGCAAATTTGCCTCAGACTTACCCGAATAGTACGAAACAGCGACGTTAAAGACCTACCCTTTCACCACGAATTTCTAGGGGACAAATATTTGACGCTCGCCAACGCCAAGTTCCAACCATGAATGGCAGCGACGATTCATTTACATGAAGGAAGCAATCTCAACCTACAAATCGGGTTGCTCACTTGTGCTCATCTAACTCTCATCAAAATTCTATTTCGTCGATACATACGCCCTCCACCGCACCAAAACACACTCGTCTGTCACATGCGCTGCTCTTCTCCCGGTGATTGAGGGTGCGGTTTGGCACCTACTCCATAATCGTCCTTCACCAAGTTCATTTCACACTATCCCGCCGACACCGACTTATTTAATACCGATGTCTTCGGCCTCAACGGCGTCCCAGTCTCATCCAGGTATGGAGGTTTGTACTGCTCGTATCTATCAGTCACTACTATCATTGCTAGGTATTACAAACCGAGAGCCTGCGCTTGTACCACCGCCTCCAAGCATCATCATTATCCTCATACTCGCGAACGACAGCAATGACTTCGATAGACTTGTTGTCCGTTTCGGGTTGCTTTGTTTGAAGTTGGACGAGCTTTCAAATGTATAAAAACATGTCTTTCACCTGATTCTGGCTTGAAACTTTTGTCATGCTTCCTTATTATCATCTTGTGTGTCGTTTTGTGCTCTATTTTTCAGGAACCGGTACCATTTAACTCACATAATTTAGTAAAGGTTGGTCGGAGAAAGGTACAGATATTTTTCTAGATCTTGTCGTCGTCCATGTCCTAATTATGACATGTCTTCGCTGTCCTACTCATCGAGCTCGCAGTCTTTGCGCACAGCATCCAACCCTGGTGCCCCTGAACGGCGCCATCTTGCTCATAACCCTCGACACCAATCCCGCTCCCGCTTCTTCCTGGGATCCTAGCAACTATGCCGTTGCCACCAGTTGTTTCTTTTTTATTTGCAACAGGCATCGAGACCGAGCAGCACGTCCGCTTCAAGATCTAGTGTCGGATTCGCATCGCGCTCGCAGTCGACATCTCCTCCCCCGTTGCCTCTTCCCATCAATCCTCCTTTTCAGTTACCACTGCTGGTGCAGCCTTCACATTCATTCTTCAGTAATTTGCACTGTGTCGTAGATTTCTTTCTCTCCTAGTTGACAGCTCCACCATGTACATACTACCCCAATATACATCAATGTGTACATACATGTTCCTGTCATTGGCAGAATTTTATATTGTATCCTTATCTCGCTCAGAAAGACAAATACGCGAGAATTTGAATTGGTTCATGAGTAAAATTTTATCATACATAAAAGACAAGATACGGTCAAGGAGATGTAACACTGCACATCCAAGCTATGTATGAGAGGATGGGAGAGGGTGGCAGACATGATGATGAACAAGCCAAAAGTGATGTACGAGAAAGCACTGCCCCAAGGAACGCGCTTGACTAGAAGTATCGATGCAGTGACTTCCAATCAAGGTCACAGCATTCGTCGTTACTGATGTCCGTTGGCTGTGCCAGGAAGTAAAAGCGCGTGGAGGACTTTGGAGAGGCGGAATTCGGAGAGAGAGAAAGCACAATGCGAATACAAAAAGATCAAATACATCTCTTTATTTTTAGATGTCTCTCCTGGACATGACGCCACGTGCTGTCGCGCCGCATGTCGTGGATGGTTGGATCTGCGCGTTTTTGATACTGGCAACCTTGCCAATGGCATCGACTTGGCGCATTTTGAGCCCCATACGAATGACTGCTTCTGAAATGCTTCTTGAAATCACCCAGTAGCCCTTCAAATCCACAGAGCATATTGTCTTCGTCAAGCCAATTGCAAGAATATATGGTGGATGGCGAGTGGTGTGTTTTCCGTGTATGAGTACTACGAGGGCGCCCGGAAGTCGAGCAAAGGAGTAGATCACGTCGAGGATCTTGTTGTGGGTGAATGGATGGTGAAGGTGCCATAAACGGGGCTGGCTGATATGAAGGACCAGCTAGTTGTGAGCCATGCTGCATCTCGAAATCATGGGCGAATGATTTTCGACAGACGCGGGGGGGCGCAAGATCTGTATTTTGAGAGACATATTGCGGTAAGCGACGTCTGTAGATGAGGTGGTTGTAAGCAAAATTACTTCTCATAGATGACGATGGACCTACGTTGGCAGTGGGCTGGATGGTGAAATATCGTTCCTTTTCACTTTGTCGTGGTACTGGGCACTATGAAAGTTTGGGCGGTTGTGGAAAGGGGTTTCATAGCCCGTGTATTGCTTAAAGCTGGTCGCTGCAGGGTGTGTATGGGTGTTTTGTGGACCAGGTGCGTTCATAGGCATCATTGGAATAAACCCATTAAAATTTATGGATTTGGCCGTTAGAGATTGTGACCGTGCCGTATTGTCAATCATAGAATCGTTCAGCTGGGCGTAACTTTTGCATGTGGAAAAAGAGGGCGCCGAGGCTGCCTCACTGGCATCTGATGCACTACTTGAATTAATGGCGGCGTCGATGGACATGTTGGTGACGTGGTTTGATGAATCGGCGGCGAAACCAACAGGGTGGGTTGCGTTATTGACATTCGATGAGTTGGCGATGTGCGTCCTGCCCGGTGGAGCGGAACTCCTGTCCCAAAGGTTGGGCGATGTTGAGGAGCCAGGAAAATCAGTCTGACTGGAGAAGCTAATTGCGGCATGAGATGATGTCTGCTATGGAGGTAAGTAGTAGACTAACCATGATTTAGAGCTTGACATTGTATTTGGATAATTTCGAGGTCCAGATACTGTGAGTTCATCATTGGGAAATGAGGTCGAGCTCCGTGGCATCGAGTGAGACATCTTTAAAAATGATCAGTGCGATGGGGAAGGATAATCCAAAAAGTACTACCTTAACTGCAGGGGGAACCCGCATAAACTCTGGGGTGTAGTATTGTTCGGTTGGTTGCTGAATAGTCTGGTGTACTCGTCCTGTGGAAGAAAAATGAGGAGATTCAAAGATAAATGAATGGGAACCACGATACTAGGCATTGAGGCAGTCATCGATGGGTTAGAAGGGGGGGACATCGTCGAATGGTATTGCTGGGTTGGTTGCGAATTAATCTGGTGTGCTTGTCCTAGTAGAGGAGAAATGAGGATATGTGATACCAGGTATTGGGGCAGTCGGCAATGGGTAAGAAGGGGGCGACATTGTGGCAGAGAATCGCTCAGGTAGCTGCTGAATATGACGTGTTTTTCCTGTGAGAGAGCGATGAGAAGATGCAAAGATCGATGGGTAGGACCCACCTATACGAGGCATTTGTGATTTCAGTAGCGGACAAGAAGAAGGGAAGGTGAAAAAGGTGAGCCTGCGACGGAGGTATTAAAAGGGGGGCAGGACTGGCCATCGCAACCAGACAACCGAATAATTCGAAGATGACCTTCTAGAAGATGTCGCCGACCAGACCAAGCCAACGACACAACGTCCAAGTGAATGCTGTGGCGATTGCCTACGAATGGGTGTATGTTGGAAAAAAAAGGGAAATGGGAGTATTCCGGCCATGGAACGCTTGATTTCAAATGGAGGCCCGGGAGTGTAGCATGGTAACTTCGGCGACTAAGGTTTATCCAGAGATCAGAAGGGACACCGGGTCCTATACACTAGAAAGTAAAGTTGTCCTGCAAAAGGTTTCATCCTCGATTGGGATAAGATAAAAAAGAAAAGAAAAGAGTTAGCTAGTAATAAATGGCGAAAACTGGGAACAAGGATCTAAGTCCCAGATCTATTGAAAGATGGATGTGTGGAGAAGCAGCTGAAGTTAGTACTCCGTTTGATGCAAACCAGTCAAATTAGAGGCAGCGAATTTTTGTGAGTGAGTAGTGTGAGTGGGAGAAAGCAAATAGATAAAGACGCTGATATCTGGTTATTTGTCTTGCGATAAGCCTCGGCAAGGGACAGGACATGTCCGAGCCATTTGAGCATGGGAGTCGACCCAACCCTAGTCAGATTTCTTTTGATTTACAACAGCTCAACCATTGGCGAGGATCTAATTCAAATGTGTAAGATGTCTTATGTTGGCTTATGAGTTGTCGTACCTAAAAAAACCCGTTGTGGGTGAAATTACCAACCCAGCGCTGGACAGCGCTCGTCTCGGCTACGTTCGCGGCGAGCAATCGGTAGTAGGTTACAACCTGCTTGGATAGTTATGATCGACGATCAGCCACACTCAACCTCAGCTATCCTCATTTCTTCCTATGTGGAGAAAATGACTCACAGCAAAAATTTCCTGACATACTATGGTTTATGATAGCTGGAAGTTGTTTGGTTGACCGATAAATCAACGAGCAGTCAACCACTTAAGAAGCGTCGATCCTTTACAAATCATGGACATTCAGCCCAGACTGACGTTGTCATTGCCCACTTATTTCTGATAATAAATCACGCTGTTCAATCCAAGGTGATCGCAGACCTGCGAAGAATCAACCAAACAAGAAGTTAAGAACCGTATGCTGAACTGAAAAAAAAAAACCAAAATATCGGACCAACTGGGTGTCGTTGAAGTGGAAACAATGTATGAAATATACTAAAAGTGCAGAGAACATGTCCGAACCTTTCCATCGAATTCAAACCCAACGTATCATTTCTCTAGCGACCGAAAGTAGATGAATCAGCATGGATTATACTCAAGAAGCCGTGGAGAAAGTCACGGTTCCGAAACTTAACATCTTATGAGAGCACTAGGGCCACGTTTGACCTAGGGAAGACAGTCCTCCAAAGAACAGCTTCTCGTCGCTCCTTCGGTCCAGAACTAGAACACGGAACAAGGAAATAGGCTAATATTAACAAATTGCGTCATTAGTATCGTTTGCAGTGCTGCAGTTGCAGGGACATTTCATCCTAGGATTGACCTGAAAATTGTTGACCCTGAGGCCGGGAATCGTCCGCATTTTGAGACCAAGTTTGGTCGATATTGACATCGCCGGACTGCCTCCGATGGTCAATTTTCCAGGGTACAGTTCTTCCCCCGCTAACTTTAGTCTATATGGATACATAATGGAAGGAACTTGAAGATGTGGCATCGGATGTTCAGGCACCGAGGTAAAAAAAAAAACTGGCTTGACGTGGATCACATGACTGTTTGCCCTGGGAACCCCTCTTCGGTTCGGAAACGACCGAAAGGGAAGCCACGCGTGGGGCAAGTTTCCCACCGGTAGTATGTACTCCTCCCCCAACCGTAAACTACGCTGCCGGTCATCGGACGTGGTACCTTGCAGTCATGCGACAGGACTTTTACTCATACAAGATATCATCACGGGCTCAATAGTTAAACATGAACAGGATGAGAAGGCCGGTGCGGTTAGGGCTAACGGTAGCCACCTGACGAGGACCTTCGCCAGTTCAAAACCGCTGACATCCCCGCCATCATGGCGTCCCTCTTACCCTAGCTAACAGACTCTTATCCTAGTAGGTGACGGGTGACTGCCACAGGTACTAAGAACGTGGTCCGCCTCCCAACGATCTGATGGAGTGTCCAGATGTAGCATGCGGCATTATATATGCGATTCTCATACTTGGCCTCACAACTTGTCACCGACTTCAGCTTCAACACCGCCACTACTGCACGATCATCTTGAATTCCTAGTAAGCCCCCTACGTTGGAACTGTGTGTTAAGCATTACAGCTACAGTCAAATCTTACTGATATCTGGGGGGGATGTACCAGCGAGGCATTGATTTGGGTCATTCAGCGACCGCGCCTAGAAACGGTAGAAGACGCAATGAAAATCATTTCCCTGGCTTCGAGGGAAAGGCTTTTGGTGATTGTCCCATACTACGAGGGCTTACCAACCAGCGCACCACCAGAGAAAAAATATAACCCGTTTCGCTGGTTCCGAAGTTCTTGACACAATCGCCAGTGCCCTTTATCCAGCACTCATCGCCAACGGAAGTTAGACTGTAGTCAGTTCGTATGCCTCAAACGAGCTGGTCACCAGTCTAAATGCCAGAAGCCACCAATGTTTTTACTTGGCCTCTTTACCAGTTCTTTGGGACATGCGACTTGACTAACACTCAAACCAGTTATACTCTAATCAAATATTTTCCTACCAACTCGTCGAAGTGTTCACAAGCTTCTCGTCTTCAACTTCAACCTTCGAGCTCGACTTTTTGCATCTCTAGCCAGAACTCTCTGTCATACCCACACTGATTAGATTTGCAACACTGGCACCCAACGCGTATTCTGCTTATTGGTGTGTAAGCCTAGGGCCCCAAACAACGATATGGAAGGAGGACCTTAGTGTTCGCTAATATACTGGTAGTAGCATGCTTCGTTCAGAACATTCCAAACACGCAGTCAACATGCATAGACAGTGTGAGAGACCTATATGCAGTAGGTCTGCCTGCGCAGACTGCGCCGCAGAACATGATTAACACTTCCATCTTTCGTATCAGAAATACCATGTCAGTATCTCATATAATTCCAGCTGTGATCGCTCGATTATACGCTCACAATAGGAACTATGCAACGCAGCCACAGCGGTCTTACTGAAACTTCTTCTAACCGGCAACTCGGAAAAGTCGGAAGTGAGAAGCTTGGCCTTACTTTTCGACTACGACCAGCGCCTGTGCTGAAAGGCGTATAATATTGACAGTAGAACAATGTAATTAGCGGGCCGTCACCCAAATTATAGTGATGGGCCCGTCATCACGTGTGGTGTCTGCAGGGGAAGTACTAGTGCATCTTCGTGTCGTCTCGGTGTCTCGGATAGCCACAGGCAGTGCCGCATGGGGCGATACAAATATTACGCAAATTTACATAAATTTGCAGCTTCCATTTGCGACGTCGGACTTTCACTGGCACGCACGAATTTGCCAACTCCTCAGTATCACGATCGCCTTCATATGTAATTTGCATGTTCGACTCTGCACTTTCCTATGGATATGAGCAAGAAAACATGAGATCTCGGGCAACTAGACTATCTCCGCGAGTGCCCAGGATGCGAAACCATGAGGTTGCCATATGTTGATTAGTCGCTAATAGGTATAGGTCCAGACGTTATTGTCTTTCGCACGTAAAAACGATATTAATGTTTCGCATGTCCAGGTGCATGCTGGCCTGCAATGATTCCAGTTATCTAATCGTGGGCGGCATGCTTTTCATTTCTGGGGGGTTGCCAGCTAGCGCACGTTAACGCCTTCTTCTCCGGTTATTGACATTTAGGTTCGGCCAGTCAGGGCTTAGCTCATTGCCTTTGTTCTGCTGTGTCCCTTCTGCGGCTGCCCACTAAGAACTCTTCTTCGTACTGCATTGGATCTATGCTTTGGAACTGGTTGAGCCCTTCGTGATTTCTGGTACGAGTGCGTGGAAATTTCTCTTGACATGAACGATTGAAGCTCTCCGTGGTCTTAAGGAGGCTCAGCCGACTCGTGGTACTGGTGAGGCTGAATCAGGCTCTCCGTCATGCATCGAGTCTTGACCCGAAACAGCAAACGGAGCCTCATTTATCCTGCGCCCTATCAAAATCAATCCATAAGACTGATCTATCCATGATCCTCGCTTGGCTATTGCCCCCCAAAGCACCATATCTACGTTGAGGCTACGATCTTGGTATGATACTCATCGGGCCATTTCAGCAGGATAGGGACCTCTTTATCCGCGCAGGAGAACTTTTTCGAGTTTTGAACTTGCTTACTCAGGCTCTGCCGTTAGGAAGCAAGTGTAGACATGCACTTTTCAATTTACAGAATGGCCATGCTCTCCGCGAGCTTCTATGCATTGGCTCCGTGCTGTCCCCTCCTTGCGTTTTCCAGGCCTTCTCCTTGCTCACCTAATGTGATCTAAACTCGTCGCTTAAACAAGTGCAAGGCATACAAGCGCAGGGGCTGGCTTCTACTGATTTAAGGACGAGAATTCCAACTGTCACAACAGAACAGCACTCCTCTCCAGTTCCTCAACCCTCAACGACTACCTACTCCCAATACCAACATGACTGACGTTCTTGGTGTTCTTGTCATTGCCCGTAATGGTGACCGCACAGAGTACTACCAGGATCCCTACACCTATGAGAGCTCCTACACCGAGAGTACTGCCCTTGGTGCTGTAAGTTACTGGTATGCGGTTCACAACTTCTCCAGCTGATGCAGCCTCATCACAGGCCGAGTCTCACCAGCTCGGATCATTCCTTCGCTCTACCTACATGTCCTCATCTTCTCCTTCATACATCGCGGACATGAAAACCGACCTCGTGGACAACCACGAGGTCCACGTCCATGCCAAGGCTGGCGGTGAGGGCGCCGTAATCTTCGACTCTGCTATCGCCCTCCTCCAGGGTCTTTTCCCTCCCAACCCTGCCAACAAGATCGTTCTTGCCAACGAGACCACCGTCATTGCTCCTCTCGGCGGTTACCAGTACGTTCCGATTGAGACCGTCGAGCCTGGTAACGACAGGTCCCTTGAGCCATGGACCGACTGTCCGGTAAGCAATACAACACATACCTGGGGGACTGCGATCTCACCATGGCCTGTAGGCTTTCGAGCAACACATCTCTAATGTCTACTCGTCTCCTGAGTTCAAGGAGACCGCAAAGGCAGCTAGTCCTTTCTTCGATTCTGTCAGGGACTACGTGTTCGGCCGCCCTACTACTCTTGAGAACGCTGTAAGTAGCACTTCTCATCCTTTGATATATATGCTGATTACCTCTGTGACTTAGTGGAATGTGTGTCGCTATCTAACTTAGGTTGCTGATGTCGGGCTGAACTTCTTCTAGATCTACGACTACATCTCGACTGAGCTCTCCCACAACAAGACATACGCTCACCGCCTTCCCCCCACGTTGGTTGAGCAGGCTCATGGTTTTGCTAACTACCACGAGAATGCCATCTTCTCGGACAAGGATGTCGGTGGTATTGGTAACTGTGAGCCGATTTCGATTCACGTACGCTGTCCACCACTAATCTTGTTACTGTTCAGTGGCTGGCCGCACGATTCTCCACACGGTCTTGAACTCCCTCCAACGGATTGCATTCAACGGCGACCCTCTGCAGTTCCTCCTCATTGAGACCTCCTACCAACCTTTCATCTCCCTATTCCACATGCTTGAGATAACCAAGGAAAACCCGGAGCTTGGCAGTATCCGTGCGTATGATCTACCTGAATCAGATTCAACTGATTGACGCATGGATTATAGCCAACTATGCTTCTGCTCTTGCCTTCGAGCTCCGTCGCGGACCTGCCCCTGAAGACCGTGACTTTATCAGAATCAAATTCAAGAACGGCACCAGCGACTTCCAGACCTACCACGCTTTCGGCCACAGGTCTGACATTGCCGCAACGGAATTCATCTACAGGATTGAGGTAGGCACATGCGCTAGTTTATGAATTTGCTCTTCTCAATACCACTGTTCCAGAACTACGCCATTACCAGTCAGAAGCAATGGGCCGCTGCTTGCAGCGCAGGTCTTGAGGATAACTGGCTCCACATTGGCTCCCAAAACGCGATTTCCAGCACTGTCTTTGCTATTCTGGCTGCTGTCTTCCTCCTCGGCATGTTCATCCTCTCCAAATTCGTCAAGAGCGCCCGTGCCAAGGCTCAGAACACTCGCATCCGCCTTGCTGACGACGAGGTGAGTCAGCCGCACCTACCTGAAAACCAGTACCCCAATTATGGAACCCTTTCCAACGTGGGTCCTGGTATCATTGTCGTACCTTTTTGAATCATGCTAATAAAATGTCATCTCTTTTGTTTTTTCATGACAGAACATCGTCGCTCAGCCCGCTTCCATGAGTGAGAAGCAGCGCCTTCCCTTGTAAACGCTGGTTTAGAGGTGCCAGAGGTTGAAAAATATCTGCTTCAGCCGGGGGTGGGTTTCTTGTTTGATTGGTACTTGGACTGCATCGCATTGTTTCAGACTCTTACCGCATTTTTCTTCTCGTTTACCATATGACTGCTGTGTAGTTTACAATATGGGACTGGGTCCCCGTAGTTGTGAAAATTTACACATTTTCTCGGATCTTTGCGTGACTTGCTAAGACATGATGGCTACAGAATCCCCTGTATCGCTGCCATACTTGCCAATGCAAATAACTGAGTCCAGCTCGAAACTTACTCTTTTGTAGTCCAACGTTTAAAAAGGCGTGGTTCCCACTAGGAGCTCAGCCAATTAGCTTCCAGGCACGTGAGCATATTTGTTTATTCGGTGTGCCGGACTCCAACAATTTCAAGTTTTCAACCGACCCACCCGTGCAGGCGTTTATCCGCGTCTACTTCTCAACATGACCAGAATTCCCTGCTGCCACATCATATGGATTCGATAGATACTTGGGCTTTCCGAGTCTCCGAGGCAACTTAGGCTGAGCTTTTTGACTTGACATCGTAAGTGCTTCCCTAGCCATTCAGTATTTTTACACTCTTCCACTGTGTTTGATGAATTAAATGTATCCATTTATCATTTGACTCGAGGTCGTTGGACGCTCGTGTATGATCGAATTTCTTGCTTTACCAGCAAGATCGACAATCTTCTCTCTGAATTATGTTCATTTTTACTACATGCAATGTTTTGACGGGCGGATACTGACGAACGTTTACCGGTGACCATAGGACCGGACCACCATAATATCTGCCAGCGCAACGTGCCTATCATTCCGACATACGTACGGAAATATCTGGATGTCGTGCGGATATGGCAGTGATTCAGAGTGTACCTGGTGTCATGATCCTCCTCTTCGGTGCTGTCTGCCTGTTTTAGCATCTGCAGAATTTCAGCTGGCTATAGACGTGTACAATTATGCACTAACAATCGATTTATTGCATATTGTCTGTAATATGTCTTGCGCCCTGTCGTGACCAGCACAGTACTTGCGCCTCGGTTACCCTTAGGCGCGACACTCTCGCCTGCGTGTTCGCCAGTGGCGATGAAGGTTCTGGCTTAGATCTCTTGCCCTGTACCGCGTTGTGTCCCCAGATTTAGAAAGCTAACCAATAACGGAAGCCCTTCTTATCCTTCCCTGATACACGAGGCAGGGTAGCCAGTTCCGCATGCCCTCGGACAACGGCTACATATAGCTATCGGCAACTCCACGAGCGATTCATTCTATCAACTCATCTGTTCCCTACACCCAACACCGATTTCTTTGTGCACTCCCTGCATTTACGCTCGTGTTTATTGTATAACTGCTAGATTATGATGGATATCGACATGGATTCTCCAGTTGGTCCCGTGATTGTGACGGACTACCATGAATCGCACAGCCACGGAATTTCGGTGAGATAACATTAACGCCGAATCAGTTCTCAGGAGTTCTAACGCTCGTCGTGTTACAGGTATACGGCGCCGAGATTGACCTTTGTGAGCTTCTACAAACACTATCTTTGTCGAAAGGCAAGACCAAGGTAAGCACGAGCCCCATCCCGTCACACATAAGTTTGACTCCGCAATGGAGAAAGGCTCCCGCAAACGATCCAACACTCCCTGCTGTCCCCTATGCCTTGCAAAGGGCAAGCGAGGACGCTGCAAACACAGAGGATCCAGCGTACCACGTGAGTGTAGCCGAAATCATTGCAATTCTCACCATTAAACTTATGACTCATCTTAGTCCGACGCGGAATCATCAAGTTCAAAGTCCAGCTCCTGCGACCCAACCCCAGACACCACCAACCACCTGCCCACCTCATCTGTCACAGTCCCGCGCTCTCCACTTCCCGCATGCCACTTCCTCCAATCCATCCTCGCTTCGCTCGCCCCCGAATCCCACGTGCTCTCTCCATCTCCTTACCCCTACCCCGCGTCATCACACTTCCGGACGACGGGAGGCGAATATCTGGACACGATTCTCACTCATCGTGCGCTGCTCAGTGCATTTCCCCCTGCACACCGAGGCTGTGCGACTGCCTTGCAGGAAATAGCGAGAGCAGTAGAAGTGAGGGCGTGGCGGGCTGATCGTGAATCGGATGCAGAGGCAGTGGCGACTCTTAGGCAGGAAGCATTCTTAACTTCCACGTGGCTGTAAGGGATTAACATCATTACGTGCTGCGGGTCAGCTGCGCACACTTTAACTGCTATATATATGTACATAGCACCCTTCCAAGAGTAGCTCATACCGGATCAAAGACGATTATATCCACATTGAACGTTATCGTTTAGTATAGGTTGAGTGAGAAGCGCCGGTTCTACTTCATCTTCACTTGGTATGCCAGAGATTTATCGTCTGGCCGCGATCTCATGCTGAGGGAGTCACCGTGGTGTATCTGGAAGTCGAGCCTGAGAATTGCCAGTGTCCGAGTCAACGTCGACATCGGCGAAGAATTTTTATTGTAACTTCAAATTACCAGTTTGCAGAAACAACACTGGCAGACTTTCAACAGCTGGACCTCGAGGAATTAGCGGTGTAGAGCTGTTGTCCATAAACGCGCATTTCCCACCAATTCCTTCTCGATGGAGAGGTTGTGCTGTTTATCTTATGTAAGCTCTAGTTGGTGAGGAGAGATTCCGCCGTAAGCATGAGTCACCAAAGTCACTATTCAGGTGTTTTTCAGGTGCGTTGCCAGCTTCTTTTAAACGAGATGTTTGAAGTCAAGTAGCAATCTTATAGGTATATCAGTTTAATTTTAGTCATCAATCATTCTGTACTCATGGTAGTAAAGTGTCCAAAACTGTCGTTGAATTCGTCGACGAATAGATTGCGTGGCGAGAGTAAGGCCCCGAGCGCTCTAGGCAAGATTGCGCATGATCACAAGGAGGAAATGCGAAAATGAAATGCGAGAGCGCACAACGTGACAGAGTGGACCCAATTGACACCGAGCAAGCGCGTCAGTGCTGCATAACATGACGAGGGACAAAAACTGTGCTTATATATGTTAGAAAGGTTTTGACTGCTGTCTTCCCGTCTTGTTCTAATCTTGTCCGTATCAAACTTGTACGCCATTCTCAACCTTTTGCATAGTAGGTCTCTTTTCAGGTCACTAACTAATATTAGTAGACCGATGTCCAGCCGGTACAAACGTCTTGATCGTGTTATTGGTGGAGACAGTGGTTGGTGTCCTCGACATTACACAGACTTACTGACGGTGAGTTATATAGGAATCTAGATATTACTGAGTGCTCACTAGCCCACAGAACCCTTTACCAGACGACGATTCCACTAGAAGGTTCCCCATCTCCCCTGAAATAACTGGCAGAATCATGGAATTGCGTGAGGACCACATCCACACTCTGGAATTTCTGCACCGCAACGGATCTCGTGTCGTTGATGGTGATGTGAAACTACTGGAAAGAAGAAGAGATGGATCCTTCCTAGTAGTAGCACCTGCACTCGGTTCCCAGTCTTCCAGCCAGCTATACTTTATTTCCCAAGATGACCGAGTTTATGAGATATATGCTGCTGATCGCTATATCGGTGAACTTAGCTTTCCACGTGTAGTTCATGTGGTTTCGAGAAATGTTATCACAGAGTGTGCTCTCCTTATGCAGCTCATTGATATCACACTTCTCCGAACAAAGCACAAAACTCCCAAGCCCTCCCTCCCGTCCGACGAATATACACACGGTCGACGGTCGCTCTGCACGGAAATAGTACATCGTCGACGACAACGTGTCTATCAGCGTATACATGTGTCCCGCATCTGGTCCACTAGTATCCGCTAGTTTGGCAGAGTCGTATTGTCTGAGCGAACCTCCCTTTCTAGGCCATGTTCTGGAATCGAGAACTGTGATCCACTCGGCGTTAAATACATTCTTGGGAAGTGTCGTTTGGCACCACCGTACAAGTGCCGCTCCACCTCTTTGATGCTGATGACCCCTTTCACTCCGATGAACCATGGTTGTGCGCAGACGATACGCCCATAATGACTGTAAACGAACAGCCGATGGGAAATGATAAGGAGCACGATTCCGATTACGATAAGCACGATGCCTCCCACTAGGCCGCCCGGGCTGATCTGAGTCTTAATGATACATAGCCCGATAATAAGAGCTGGCCATGAGAGATACGGAATGAAACCGATGATGGTCCTCCTCAATGAACGTGTGGTTGAAAATGCAACCTCCGGGAAATCTTTCCATCTGATGGCTGCCGCCCGACACCCATCAATCACAAGAGCTCCATTCTCCGTGACACCAGCGACCTGGATCTCCGGTATAATGTCCCAAAGGTTAGCGCGGTAGATATCATCATCAGAATACCAACACGCCGTTTTGGTAATGGTCGAGGGCAGCATGGATATCATGCGCTCAACGATATGGTCATTGTCATTGGTCATTGACAGCCTCACAAGAGCGCGTAGATCGTTCTCCGAGCGGTTTGGGTGAATCCGGTGCTCAAAAAAGCCCGTCAGCGCATACACACGCTCAGCCTTGTATGCCCCACTGGTGACAGACTTCTCGAGGTCGCCTATCATATCCAGCTTTGGCAGGGGAGGAGCAGCACCTGGTGCTAGAGCCGCCGTACCGCGCCGCCATATAGCTGATTTTAACAGCGTCAAGTGCTCCAGCCTCTCAAGCGGATCCTTCCCGCTGTATGCATTGACGATAGCTTGTTCGATATCATAGTCCGTATAGGCCAGGTTGGCCAACTCAAACAGCGACAACGGCGTAACTGCTTCCCGATCGCGGAATTTGTAGCAAAGGCCAGAGCTCAGGAGGGCTTCTGGCATAGTCCACACCCGTTCGCCCTAGCCTCTCTCTCCAGCACTCGTTCTCCCCGGTTGCCGATTTTCCGAGCATGATCAAGGTCACATCTGCTCCACGGTAGACGTCTGCCATGCAGTACAAATCCAGATTCTTCTCTGACAGTGTCTCTCCTACACACTCCAAGTCGAGCCAGTACGCATCATATTTCTGTCCGAGCACCGCTGCACGAATCTCCTCTATGAACTGAGCCTTTTCTGCCTCCTGATCAGGGCCTCGAGTGAAGGCATCAATGGCGCGGTAAGAGATGGCGATGAATTTAGTACGGATGATGGTATCACGATCTGCACATGGGACCCACTCATTTCGGATCGGGTCGCGGATAATAAGAAGTCGCGGATAAAGGGAATGGGTAGGGATATCCATCTCACCTTCCTCGAGGATGCGCGAAGAATACTCCATAGGCGAACGAGCTGCCCACAGCTGACCCTGGAACCCGCGAGCATATGATTTGTAGTATCCAGTGTTATACAAGTCCCCATCATCCTCAGTGGAATCGTCCATGTAGATGGGAGTGTAAAGCTGTGTGAGCAGCCAGACGACTGCCCAGAAGAGCCTCAACGTAAACCACAACCATACGGCTATCCATTTAAAAATGAGCCACCCTCGTATGGGGGAAGTGGTTAGCCATATGGCGCTTTTGATTGCATGATTGGCATGGTTTCTGATGGAAACTTCGAATTTGCCGGAGGGAGTGACGGCTTGCACGACAAGCCTTCGACAGATTCCTGTAGTAGGACTGACATATCTCTGCTCTAGACCGTGCGTTTTGGGATTGCCCAAATCATCGTAGCAAGTGATGGTTTCGTTTCGCGTGACTGGCTGCCACACTGGGAGCCGCATCCTGGCCGATCCTGTCGAAAGTGTCAAATAAGGATGAGAAACGTGCAGGACTTTTAAGTTATCTGGATTTACGGTGAGCAGAGGGATATGAGCAGGGGTGTTATTTGGTATTACTTCACACAGCGACACCCGAGCACCAGTACCTTTATACACTTATGCGTACCATAGCTTTAGACATCTGTGCTTCCACGTCAGGAAGACAGCTGATGGCCGTAGATAATCTGATCCTCATTGGACAAACCGATAAGATTTCCCCTATGTGCCAAGGCACGGAAACAGGACCAAAACTATCAAATCCTGTCGCCTGTCGTGAAGGCTTAGAGGGTGCTTACGAGTATGTGTTACAGCTTGTTACAACCCCTTATATTACATCAAGTCCGTCAATGACTCGGGTCTCCTTTGACGGATGTAGCAGAGGTCACGCCTGGAGACTCAAGAGACTTATCTGCGATGACATATCAGTGACTCGGCAGTCGACGGATAGTAAGGAGCGCTCGCCAGCGCCCTGTGTAATTAAAAGTTCTGAAAGAGCTTAGTGCTGTCGCTTGGCAGAACTTGGCAGAACCTGGCAGTAGCAGATCTGGAGCAACACTTGGCAGGACTTGGAAAGGTATATGAGCTGCAGAGATGACTGTATAAGGCGTGCTAGATTCTTTTTCATATCGATAGACCGAGCGCGCGAGGTACCCTAGAATGGCAAGCGAGATGAGTCGATTTGTGAGGGCCTGCATTATCCGTCACAATTATGGTGTTTTTCTGAATCTGAGGAAAAGAATTCGTATTATCATAGCAAACCGTCTATGAACTCTTTGAAGGTTACCGCCATCGCTGCTGTGGGCAGGCGAGGACGCTCACTTTCCAAGGGTCTTCGAACAACAAAGCCTGTAAGACGAGACTTGAAGAACTTGGTTGACTGGCAGTTCGGAGGCTGGCGCTATTTCATCGGATGTCACATCTGGGTAGGCATAGTCACCCATTGCTGTATCATGGCAGCTAACGGGGGTTTCCAGGCAGTAGTACAATGGTGTCAGGCCTGAGAGCGTTGGACGAGATGCCATTTTCGCGACCGTTTTGTTTGTCCAGTTCCACAAGTAAACAAAAGCGATGAAAGGAATCGGTAAATGAGGTCAACACCGACAACACGTAGTACCACCGAATTGAGATACAAGAGCATGCAACTAGACTCCACAAATCCAGTTTTTCCCACTCTGGCATGTGATTGCTACTCGCTTTAATGATTTGAAATCGCTTAATAGTAGACCAACATCCTAAATTCGACCTTGGAAGTTACCACTGGCATGACAAGCGTTCTACCACCCTTCGTACAGGCGGCATCAGGCTCACTAGGAGCAGCGAGCGCCAATGCGTTGACTTACCCTCTCGATCTCATTACCACTCGTATACAGGCCACGGATAAGGGTACATCCATACGCAAACAGATTCATACCTATGGACTATCGTCGTTATACGACGGCATTGGCGCAGACACCAGTGCTACCCTCCTTTCAAGGTCAGTAGCTTCTCCATCCTGCGTCTTAAGATGTTCATCATTGAATCCGAAGCTTCCTGTATTACTACGTATATTCCTTCCTGCGAGCATTCGTCGTTCGCGGAAATGGAAAATCAAAGGCAGCCATGTTATCCCTCCCACAGGAGCTCGCAATTGGCTACCTATCAGGCATCGCTAGCAGGTCCATCACCACACCTCTCAATCTCATTACGGTGCGCTTGCAAACTGCTCGAGTAAGCGATGAAGATGCCTCTCAAGGAGGAACGTCGCGGTTCACGGCAATTTGCAAACAAATACTTCGGGAAGAGGGGTTACGGGGATTCTGGAAAGGTTTGCTTTTGGAGAAGCGCTCGTCTGACCACCAGAACTTACGATAAAGCATCATGATAGGGTTCTCGTCTAATTTTGTGCTTTCGCTCAATCCCGCGGTCACGCTCTATCTGTTCCAGCAGTACAGACGTGTCATGCTGAAGGGGAAAGAACGTGCATCTCCACCCCCAGGCCATTCCTTCGTAGGGGGTGCGCTTGCAAATTCCATAGGTGAGTCGCTTCTCCGGTGTCGGTGTTCAACGAGTGCTAATACACGATTCACGAAGCCGTCATTATGTTATACCCGCTGCTACTCGCAAAGACTGTTGTACAAGCTTCTCGTAGATCTAATTCAACCAATGATTCGTCACAGGGACCGTCAATACGATCATCACTCCAAGGAATATATACCGCTGGCGGATTCTTCGCCTTATACCGTGGTCTCGGGGCGCAGTTGTTCAAAGGCATACTCAGGCAAGGAACGGCTATGATGGTGAAACAGAGGTAACTTACTGGCCCTCTTCATCGATGCACGCACTGAATTTATTACTTGACCAGGATCGAGCAACTAGTCGTACAGGCCTATCTCAGACAGAGAGCACTGCGTCGCATCCAATATAAGGGCTAGATAGGCGCACCCAAAAACTTTTGTTTATTATCTCAAGTGCACAATATGCTTTAATGAATGTAAGTATTCCAAGAAGGGAGGGTGTAAGTATGGTCCGAAAGTTCTCTGCTTAGAAAAGCTTAAAGAGACATCCACTTGCTAAGCAGAGAGGGAAAGTAGGGGGTCCCGAGGCCAGTAACGGGATCCCAACCTTGACTCGCATTGAATCCCAGAGTGCCACACCCTGGGTTGGTTCCGTTAGCGACATCCTTGAAGCCACCAATGAAATTAGGGGAGTAAATCTTCAAACAATGTCAGCGACAAGTTGAAATTAGAAGAGTGATGCATGACGCACCGCGGGGTTGATGAACCCAAGAGGTGGTTTACCGCGCGAGATACGAGCATCATTCACCATGGTCAGGATAGCACCAACGACAGGCGAAGCCGCAGACGTTCCGTACACGAGCTCGAAATTACCGCCGACAGCAACGACATAGTTTGCACCGTTGGCAGAAAGATCGGGATATGCACGGGACTGTAATAATGGTCAACCCCTTGACTCAACTTAAATTATGAAGAGACACACCCCGGTAGAATTGTAGATATCCTTGGAGTACGAGATCGGGTTAGCTGCTAGGTATCCTTCGACCGCTGCCTGCTGATAAGAGGGCATACTGAAGTAGTTGCTGAATCCACCGCCAGAGTAGATGACTTCTTCACAAGCATCTTCGGCCTCCCATACAGATTTGCCAGGGCTAACTTGGGTGGCACCGACGGCAGTGACATACGGGCATGTAGCAGGGAAGCCGGGATTGAAGATTGTACCATCCGGGGATTGAGTACCTGCGATAAAATAGGTTGAGGGTTTGATAATACTTGAATAATTTGCGAATTTACCATCGGGATTCAAACAGTAACCCCCGTTGCCTGCGACACCCGAGTCTCCCGAGCTAAAGAGGAAAGTGACGCCCATGAGGCCGAGCTTCGCGTACTCATTGCATTGACGAATAGCATAAGCGGGAGAGAGGTCGGCCTCGTCGTATCCGTAGGAAGCGGAAATGACGTTTGCGGGCCTGACAGTTCCGCACTCCTCATTGCCTGCATCATGCAGCTGAATATAGTTAAAACATGTTCAAGTTAATAACATACCATCGTATCCGCCACTAGCGGTGTCAGGATAAACGGGATCCTGGGCGGGATCATCACCGCCGTCGTAAGTGCAGTATGCTCCATCCAGTGCATCAAGAAAGGTGTTGAAAGAACCGCCTAAATATCGATGCAGTCAGCAATATATGTTGAACCTGCCAGTTGTCTCCATACCTTCAACCGAATCTCCGACTTGGTAAAGAGTGACGCTCTGTTCCTTTGTTACCAAGGTCATACCGTACTCTAGATCGAGGTCGGATTCTCCATTGTATCCAAACTCAGAAGCTGAGGTCGAGACGCTACCTAAGACGACCGACTTAGTCAGTTGCTCGCTGTAGATAATCACTTATAACAGTACCTCCATCGATCGAGACTAGTGTAGGGGAAACACCTTCAAGACCGGTTGAAAAATTCTGTGCAAACAAGTCAAGATCAGACTGTACATAGGACTGTGGAGTGTATTCCACTTTGTGGTCCGTCAGTCCCTAACATAGAAGTCAGACGACGTAGATAAACGTACCGATTCCATAGCTGTTGCGGTCGCCGGCGACTGGCTGATACCAAAGTCCATAGAGAGCCCTCAAGCAAATTGGCGTGATCTGCTGATCGCAATCCTCGATTTGGTCCAGAATGTTTCCAATTTGACCGGTCGTCTTGGGAGTGCTACCTTGACCAGGTTGTCCAATCGGAACTCTGCTATGTTCATTGCGCTTTGAGATTTTGGCATCAAAATGTATGGTAGGAGTCACAAAGTCGACGTGCGGGGTCACATGCTCTGGCAAATGGTAACTCTCGCAGGCTGTGGCCAAAATTAAAATCAGGTCAACGAGCGGTAATGACCACAAGACTAACCGATATGTTGTGTGCCAGTTTCGTGATCGTACACATGATACTCGGCAAGCAAAAGGTTTTCAGCCTCTTCGACAGTAGAAGTCACTTCGAGCCACCCTTTGGTTGGAGAGAGTTTTATGCGGTAAGGCTCCACACCGCTTTCGATCAACCATGAGCGCACGGTCTCGATAGAGTCGATACTTGGTGCAAATTTGGCGGCAATCTGACTTGGAGACCAATGCTTTCCGTAGTTGGATGAATCGGGATGTGACACCTCGTAGAGAAGTGATTCGATATCATCGATATTTGACTGGGCAAGGGCAAATCGTAAGGGAAGCGAGGTAGAAGAATCAAGTTTTTGTGTTCGAGACCATCCTGCGGGTATATGTGAACGCTGTTCGTGAAGGTGCCAAGGAGAGAGTGTGGGGTCGGCAATCGCACTAGTGGCGAGGCCAAGTGTAAACGAAAGGACGGGTAGAAAAAAAGAACGCATTGGCTGTAAGAGCAAAAAACAACAACAACAGGAAAGACGGCGCTTAAGACAGTGAAGAACTTCATTATTCGTTTTATACCACTGGTGGATCGAGCTATAATAATCCCGGGCATACGCTAGTAGATCATTGACGTAATAACGGAACGTTCTGAGACGTGACGCGTGACATGTCACATCAAATCAGAGACAAGACAACGGTTATTTCTGAACGGTAAGCCCTCAATGACCCCCACCATACAAACGTATTAAATGCATATGTCACTCCTGCCCTATATATACTAGTACTATATTCTATGAACCGTGCATTACTTTCGTCAAATTGAATCATCAAGGGTCGTAAGTCTTCGCCAAACCACATTGTGCAGATTGCATATCAGACCCATCAGTGCTGCCCAATGCTCGTCATGGCATCTCCCAAGGTGGCAAAGAATGCCTCGGAGCCTAGGAGCTCCACAATACCTGCGCGTTCAAACATTTCTCGAGGGCCAGAACGAAGGTGAGTTACAAAGAGCCCGACGCCACGGTTCTAATAGAATGAGATAAAGCTTCTAAAATCACGTAAGCTCTCACCTGATACGTCTCCAACAGCTCATGGAAGATCTGCACTGCAGAGGCATCACATGTCTCAACGTCTGCCATGTGGAATACTAATGTGCTTGCGGGTTGCCTCCTTGGCTCTTCTGAAGGGTGAGTTCTTTCTGGGCCATATAATTCTAGTCTACGAAGACGTTCTTTCAATTGTGCCGTGTTAGCTGTTACGCGTATTCAGCTTCGTCGGCATTCAATAAGATAATATAGAAGCACACCAAAGTCCAAGCTCTCTCTGATACGGATGATTAATGTGCCAGGAACGTCTTCCGCGCCAGGATTGTCAGCAACAGGCCCCCATTGATCAGTGCCAGGAATACGTCCCTGCAACACCGTCTGAACGCCTGAATATGTTATAGGTAATGACATACCAGTATAATCATTCGTGTGTGCGAGGAACGCTTGATAACAAGCAGCAAAGAGATAATGAGGCTGACAATGATTCCAATCTCGATATTCCAGATAACAGAAAGCGAGAAAGTGAGGAACATCATTGCAAGGTCAGTCCAAGCCCTTATCCTTGATGCCAGTCATCAGCGCCCTGAGACTATACAAGACAGCCTATCGCACCTCCAATAATACACTAGGTCATGAGGAACCTCGCTAAACAGTGATATCACAAAGAGGCAGATGCTGAAGACAAGTTAGCGCCACAGACCAAGCGAAGATGAAAGGTACATGCATCGAAGCCAAGACACATCTTGGTAGGTAGTATAGATACGGGAGAAGGAAGAATGTCGCCAATAATGTTATGCCGGCAGTAATAAGGGAGGCCAATTGCGTGCGCGCACCAACATCGCCGTTAATTTTCGACCTCACAATTGAGCCAAATGCTGGCAATGTGCCAGGAACGAAAGATCCAAAAAGGTTGGCAGCCCCGAGTGCAACGAGTTCACGGTTCGGACTGATGGAGTAGCCAAAGCGATCGGCATTCTGCTTCGCTGCAACAGTACTATCCAAGAAACCCATGATAGTTATCAAACTGATTGGTGTTAATGAATGCATTCGCGAAAGAAATTATGCACATACATTGCAGTCGAAGTCGTTCCTCTGATATAGCCTATTGATTGTTTCAGCGGAAAGCTAAAGAAATGACCACCAGTCTTAATAGGAATTATGCCGAGGATATCGACACCTTCTTTGTCCCAACGCAGATAGCCTGAAATAACTATGCAAACCAGTCAAAGAGGACCAAAAACGAGAAGACGAAAGAATACTTGTAGAGAGCACGACAACGAGCAGGACTTCAGGGAGCCGTTCGATCCACCAAGTTCGTTTAAAGTAACCTTTTAAAGTTCTCATGAATATGAGCACGAGCAGCGCCCCGAAGCTGACTAGCGTCGTCGGTTTGTGGTAATCAGTCCATGCATATTCTAGAAGAAAAATTATCTTGTCCAGGATTGACTCATGATTCATCTGATTCTCCAGGGCAACGAGGCCAAACATAGGTATTAGTTGTTCTCTGTGATACAATTGAACATTTCGCTTGTCGTGTTTTGAACGACTATACTCACACAGCAATGACGACCGCAACTGCAGTCACGAATCCTCGGAGAAGCGCACGACTGAGGACAACATCCAGGAAGCCCAACCGAAAGAATCCAAGCATCGACGCAAACAGCCCAACCTACGAAGTTATATAAATATATTTTTGAGCTAATGTTCTAGCCCAAACTGGATATATCGTTACTCACCTGGAAGGTGATGGCAGTGGAAACTGCAATACCAACGGCATCGGCGTCTTCCGGACTAACATGATGATCCCCACGACGATAATCGGAAACTGCTTGTCCAACGAGGAGCGAAAGCGCCGCTTCTGGAGCAACATTAAGTTGCCTTGACGTTCCCAAGAGACTGTACATGATCGGTGGTAGGGCGGCAGCGAACTAAAGAAAAATAAATGTTTTTATCGGAAAAAGATGAAAGGGCGCACCAAACCAGTTGTAGGACTTAGCTTGGCAAGTGAAGTCCCATAACTGACAGACTGGGGAATGAGCATAGCCGCAAGAGTGATTCCAGCTAGAAGATCACCACCCAAGCTGGCAAATATGAGCTCGTGTGATTGATATTGCTATGTCTACTCACAGGGAAATTGAATAGTCAGGTATCCATGCAGTGGACGGAACATAGTATCGGACCCGTTTCTTGAACATCGAGTTCCGTTTGCTGGTGTCCACTGGCAATTTGACACCTGTATTTTCTTCCATGAGTGGGTCTAGGCAATGCTCCTAAGTGCTCACCAGAAGCAGAAGTTCTTGTAGAAGAAGAACCGTACTGAGGGTGCGTCATATGACCCGCCTCGACGTCGTTTTGATTTACGAGGGGTGCCCGTTCTTCTCCACGAACCATGCCTGGCAAGGATGAGACAGAAGTAGTTGTTGACAAAGTGTCGAAGCGCGAGACGGGTTCGGTGGTGTTGTTTCCACTGTGCCGCGTCATTGCTGAGCCACTATATTTTGAATTTTCTGAATGATGAAGAACCGTGATCAACTGCGGACTACCGTGTCGTCCGACGGACCACAAGCCAAATTCGGATCCACCGTGACTGGTCCACGGTGACGACATTTAAAGTGGACGGGCCGAGACCCGAGCTGATTCAAACAATCTCGAATCAATTTAGCAAAGTTTACATGTATACTAATAACACAAGGATGCTCTAGGCAGGCAGTCATATACAACATATGGCTGTTGAGTTTACCGCAAGTCTCAGACACGTCCGTCGATGTACGACCAAACTTAGGTGTACATAGTGTACAAAATGTAAAACTAATCTCTTTTCGGTCCGGTTACAAATATTACATAATTATGCGCTGTGCGGTATCGAGCTCCGAGTTGCTGGTAAGCTCTAAATCCTACTTGCTGGAAAGTCAACTGCAGTGTACCACGAGCAGTCAATCAATAATTTGCAGCCATGGTGGTGATTGAATGACTTCGAACGCCCGGGGCATTGAATATGCAGCAAGTTGATGAAGGAAGCAGCATCAAAATACACCACACACATCACAGCTGCAGCACTAATAAGACCACAACAATTCTTCCACTTCGGCCATATGCCATCAACCTGGACCTCCAGTAAAATCACGATGTCGCAGCTCAGAAGTTCAACCAGCACCACACCCCATTTGCAAATCATATGGATGTAACTAAGCGGGACAAGACACTTCTTCATCTGTGGGACTTGGTTAGATGAGTCATGTTGAATAAAATGGTTTGACATCACAAGATGGTGCATTCATTCACTATATCACAGGAAGGACAAGCTATTCATAGCATATGGTGATTGGGCACGGAGAAACTGGGAACCTACATTGGCGCAGCCCACCCTGAACAGATCCTCACCCTGGACTTTCTCCCAATGAAACAATATTACTGCCACTGCTTCATCAGATAGAACGGCTTAGCTGAAAACATGGCATTGGCTACAGAACGTGTTGCAAGGGTTCAGGCCCGTTCACATGGCACACTCAGGCTGGACGAAAAATTCTGTCTCACATAGAAGCCTTCTCCAATCAGAAGGCGATCAAAAGCATCCCCGGGCCACATACGTGAGTAGGATCCATCAACCTGGATGCAGGTCGGTGATCACTGGACTGGCCATACCCATACCGTCCATGCCATAATCGTGGCACACTCATCATGTCTGCATCTGAGCAACTATGTCTGTCTCTCAGATTGGTGAATCATTACCATCTTCCAGTGCTCAGACTGGGCACTTGATCACATCCTCCATAGATGGCAGGCACATAATCCTCAGCGGAGGTAGTGATAAGATGATTTCAGAGTGGGAAGTACATGACTCAGAGTTGGTAGGTCCCTGATGATTTCATATTCATTTCCCATATCATCTTGTCCATTTCTGATGCCAATGCTTAGGGATCTTCGCTATAAACGGGACTACCTGCAGTGCATGCATCGCTGGCAATGTGTCTACCGCTGAACAGCTTCTGATACAAGAAATCGACCCTGATGCCAGCATTCTCTAGCCCCTGTTGACTGGCCATATCTTTGAGGCCATCGCCCTATGCAGAAAAGAGAAAATCGGAGATGTGAGGAAAGTGCTTGACCTCACATCATGCTCACGAACAAAGATTCAAATATCTTTCGACTTCTTCTCTTGATTGCCACGTTAAAGTACTCCGTGCTTTAGCACAGATTTTAGTCCATCGTTACTTTCAATGGGAATCAGCATGACGGGGCAATCATCCGCTTTTGGAAGCTGGCTGCTGCTTGTCTGATCAACAATCCCTTCACATATTGTGTCGTGAAAGTGTCTTTATCAAACCCAGGTTTCGTGCATTTACCCTGATCTTCCTGAACCTCGCACATCAGGCCTATCTACATGTTCAGCTTGGAATTAGTGCCCTTCATGGCGCCTGTCCTGAAGAAGCTGCTGACTACTTCGCTACTGTTGCCAATTATTGCACTTCCCCGTCATACTTGGATATACATTTAACTTACGAGGTCCTGGTCACGGTGGTGGTATGTTATGATGTAACTGAATGTGCTTTCAATGCCCTACCGTGTTCTTTTTGGAGCTCTTCCATTGGAGCCTGAAGTTGTTGTGGCAAATGCACACCAGAGGCTTTGCAATGCACTTCGTTAGGGAGATAAACTTGAAGAAGCTCTGGGGTCATATCAAGGGGTGATGGTTATAATTGACGAAGCCAGAAAGGCACACTGCTTTGATTGCTCCAATGACAAGTTTGCAGCCTACGTTGGCATGCATTCAAGGACACTTTGGATGATGCTACCAAAACCATAGCTACTTCCTAGTAAATAAGTGGTCTGTGACTCTAGTCTGTCCTGTTCATGGACTTAAATACATCTGGCGGACAAGCCAACATGCATCTCCAAGACTTACTTTTGGCTCATAGATCTGAACCATGTGCTTACAAATAACACTGTTGCTCAGTGATTGTCATGCCCACAAGTCAGAAGAGCAGCAGGCGAGAATTTCGAAATGAATTTAGTAGTAAACTCCATCTTGCCTGTTGTTTACAATTGCCGAATACAGCACTGGAGGAGGTTGAATAATGCTGCTACTGGAAGAGTAGCAGTTGAAAAATTCTGTGACAGAGGAAAGAGTAAATCCAGGAGAGGAGACAATTTCATGGATGCGAGGTGGGCATCAGAGAACTGGTGGAGAAATTAGAAAGACATAGATAGCAATATATCGTACATAATCACAAGCATCAGCACAATCCTGTTATCGACCATCACATGATCATATTTGACTTTATACAGGAAAGGAGAGTTGCTTATTGTCTTACACAAGTTTATCATTGGAAAAAGATATGTACATTGCTCGACCAAACACTTAACGGCAAGATGGAACCACAGTTAATTATCAAGCTAGAGGCATCAACAACAACTACGTCAGAAGTAAGGCTTGTAATTTCGAAACCGAAAGGAGAAGATGTGATCTTTCAGAGAACAACAGTTGTCCACCAAGTGAGCGAGAACAGATTGTTGTCCGGCAAAGCTAATGGTTGAGTTAATGTGTGCCACTTTAAATTTTAATACATCATGTGTTAGATATCTAGAGATCATCTACCATATATCAATTGGGAATTCATGCAAAAAAGTGTTACCTTTGCGCACTAGCCGAGGTGTGTTAACCAAGCAAGCGACAAACAGCCTATGTCTTGCCTCGACTTTCCAAAATTACATCAAAGGATTTGCGCACCACTGCTTAGACAGTGCTATGGTGAATGTTCAAATTCTTAGTGTCCTTTGAGCCTGAATCTCAAAAAACACAGCGATCGCGATATCTGCGCTCTGCTGTGTATACTCAGCCTATCCACATCACACTGAAGGATCCACACATTGGAACTTGAACAGTGCCCTGGAGATTGTTCAGATTTGTAATGGCCTATGAGCACGACTCTGAAAAATACAGTGACCGCGATATTTGCACTCTACTGTGTATATTCAACCTATCCACACCGAACCAAAGGATCTGTCTGCCACTGCTTAGATAGTGCTATGGTGAATGTTTAAATTCATGGCATTTTTTGAGGCCTAAACTAAAAAACACAGTGATCATGATGTCTGTTCTCTACTGTGTATATTGAGCCTAGTATCTACATCACACTGAAGGATCCGCGCATTGGAACTCAAACGGTGCTATGGAGATTGTCCAGATCTGTAACGGCCTATGAGCACGACTCTGAAAAATGCAGCGACCACGATATTTGCGCTTTACCATGTATGTTCAACCTATCCACACCCAAGCGAAGGATCTGCCTGCCACTGCTTAGATAGTGCTATGGCGAATGTTTAAATTTGTGGTGTTCTTTGAGCACGAATCTAAGAAAAACACAGTAACTGCGATATTGACATTATTCATAGTTTTCATTCTGCAAAATGCAATTATGATGATATTGGTGGTAGAGTAGTAGTATATAGATAACACTACAGTTGTAAGGGAGGTAGGGATCACAAAGCTTAGAGTGAATCAAATGCTACATCATCACGTTGTGCCCTCTGCCTTGTGAGTGTGAGTGCGTTAATGGACATGTTGGCCTTGGCTGTATTGCTAATATCATCACTGTAATTCCTTCCAAATACCTTCCTAAATAACAGAGGTTGGGTGAGATTCATCGAGACAACAACAGGAGCACTACAATAATGTACCTAGTCCACCACTCGAGGAGTTTGTCAACCCTGCGCTGTGCATCTCGACCAGGGGGCTTTTTGTAAAAATCAACAATGGTCCACCAAAATTGTATGTAGTCAAAATCCCCATCAATGGACCGCCATGAGGTGACAGAAGAGAGTGTGAATTGAACCTGCTGATCTGGTCATCATTTCTATTGTTAATCCTCACCAAAACACTTACTTGACACACAATGTAGGCGATAGAACAAGGGCTCACTTTTCTCAAATTGATTATCTGCGCTACATGCTTTTTGACTTTGATGCCAACAAAGGATTTCTTCGTGAGCCTGTTGTTTCGGATGATATCCGCCCCATTGCCATCACCCTCGATGTCTTTGGCTGATGATGGCAACGTGAATACGGCTTTGTAAGCCTGCAAGAACTTGTGAGATCACTATTATACTACTCGGGTGCGACACACCTGAAGAAGGATTTTGCCTTTGAAAAGCCCCTCCTCCAGATCATTTGGATTGCTCTGGTATTTGTCATATAGGAATGCCGGAAAGGACAGATCCGTCACGACATAGCCTTGTGAGCGATCTCGAATACCTGCCTTTACGCTGCTGAATAATAAGTGTCTTTTCATAGTATTCTCAACAAGCACTTACACTGGGTCATTCCAATCAAATTCAGCTGGGCAGAGAAGTCTGCCACACGTGTCATTGCTAACACCACGGGAATGTTTGTTGTTGGGGTCAACTGGGTGATCCGGCTTGAATTCGCGATTTACCCATTCAGCAATAAGTGTCTTGAGTTTCAAGCTATCATCACCTCAAGCGCTATCAGCCCCCTGCCGAAGCTAAAGAAAGGTGATGAACACAGCAAAGCCTATCATCGACATGTGAAAATCTGACCATTTTCATCATTTGCACATAATCATCATACTCCAACTCCAGGGCTTTCTTATGAAACCATGTCAAGGTGTGGGTGAGAGTGATGTACCCCACCTGCAGTCGATCTTGACTATAGAAACCAGTGTATGTTTAGCACTCGCAAATTAGCTTGAGGGGCGAAAGACTTACTCAAAATTAGTTTCATCGTCATCATTTGCTTCGTATCTTCTGTCATTTTCAGAGACAAGGTCCTCAACATTGTCAAACAGTGAAACAGTGCACCTAATAGCTCGCCCTTCAGCTATATAATAGTTTGTTTGCCTGCCCGATGGTAAGTAATGTGCCAACTTCATATATGGAACGGTGACTATACCTTTCTTTGGAAGCATGCCCCGCCTCAAGAGCCTCCAGCTTCTCTTCCAGTTGCGCAATTCTGCATCTCTGTTGAGCCTGCAGAGCTGCTGCAGACTCAGGGCTGGGTTCATCCCACCGTGACTGGCCTTCTGAGTCTGTTTGTGCTATGCTGCCTTGATCCTCTCAGTGCTCGATGTGCACCATAGAGATGATATAAAGAGAGAGAAAAGGTTGAAATGGCATGAGGTTATGAGTAGAGCGACCGACCAGCTCATCTTATATACCGCTCGGGAGTCCTATCTGGTGGCACTAGTCCAAAAAGCATACAACATCACTAGAATAATAATGTTAGCATAAGAATACCTTTTTAGGGTATCAATGTTAGCATGGGAGAAATGGGCAAGGACTGTGACATAGCTCCCACTTTATGATAGATATATTGAAAGCAACTGCCTGAACAGGATATGTGTCAGGGCGGGCGATAGCATATGCTGCAACGACTTGGACTACCTACTGAGTTGACGGTATATGATGATCATGGCACGCATTGTTAGAATCATGACAGCAAAAACAAATTTGATGGATACTGACTGTGGCTGAAGACTGAGCTGGATCTAATGAAAATATTAATTGTTGTAATTCCAAAGGACACGAATCAGCAGTTTTGATGTGTTTCAAATACCAGTCTTCATCAACGCCGACCCACTTGCCATCACACAATAATGCATGGGCTGGACGGAGTGTTGAAGGAACGGATGGGGAGAAGAATGACGAATGTTTAATTGCTGAAAGGACCTGGGAGTATGCAAGAGTTCTGACAATGGCAAAGAAGATGGTTGTTTGAATTGGCACAAACACAGTGTGTCCAGCCAGAGGCTGTAGAATGAACCCATTGTTGTCACCTGAAGACTAAAAGGTGGGATGGATGGGAGAGAAGTTTAACATGTCAGAAGCTATCAAACAGAACCCAAAGTCAGTAATTGGTAACGAAGTGAAACAAGCCCAAGCAGTGTTATGGGAGCAGGTTACTCACCGTGAAGGATGACATGCTCGTTCAAAAGATTGTGATGAGCAAGTGTCGGATTGGATTGCCTGGTGTGAGGGTAGCAGTTTGTTTAGCCAGTCTCAATAGAATGAGAGGCCTTGTGAAAAGGCTGGGACAGGGAATGGTACGACAGTTTGCTGATGAGCACACTTGCCCAGGACTGAACCTTGAGATAACCGTCTTTGCATGATTGAGGATTAAAACTAACGCAGCCTGTGTTGTGAGTGACGATGACTAGAGAAGACTAAACATTGCCAAAGTACCAGGTGGACATTGACAAGACTTGCATTCAAAGCGGGTTTAGAACCCAGCTATTCGGATGAGTATATCTAAGCGAGGAGGTCCTGGGGGTCAGGCATGACTAAGTAACGACACCTTACATGTACCTTGTTCTTCTTGAGTTTGATCAATTCCGGAACAGTAACAGGTCACTCATTACTCGTTGTTAGGAACATCCGCCTGTAGACATAACACCAAGGAGTGTAACTGCATTAATTGTACATACTGTTCACTAGACTCGGAGAATAATCATTGATACCATTTGTTATGAGCGCCACGGAGATTTGCATGACAAGATCTTATATCACAGTACTAGTAGTGAGCAAAAGATGATACATCTCAATTCGTAGTATGAATACATCAACCGCAGGAGTCAAAGTCAAAGTCGATACAAGCAATTACAGGTACTGAGCCAGCCTAGCTTTGATGCATCTCTTGTAGCTTTCCCATTGCATCTGTAACTTTGGGGAGTTCTTGATCGTCACTTCAATGTAATCATCAGTTTGTTGTACAACTCTGTGGAAGTTGCGCTCGATGATTCAACATCAGCAGATATGTTGTACCTGATCCTCTCCAAGCCACTATAAACTGCAACAGCAGCGGCGCTAGCAAGACTATCGAGTTCTTCTAGGTACCAGAAGAGATTGAGCTCACAAACAGTGCCCAAGATAACATGGAGCACGACCTTGTTTTCAAGGAAGTGCCATTCGTTGTCCGTACCCAGTCCCATGAGACACTTGGGAGGGAAGATCCGATTGTCGAGGAGATCTGTAATTATAACTTCCTGGTACATGTGTTTGGAGGCATCTGACCATATTGAAAGATGTAGGTCGAATCCATCGAGGACTAAATTGCATGCGTATTTTCTGCATATTTGCAGGATGTCTTTGCACGACTCAGACAAGGTCATGTACAGCGAGCCGGAGTTGTGTGATGCCCATGCAATTCCCTGCTCTATTGACACATAAACAAAATGTTAGTCAAGAAAAAAACGATACTTACTTTCACCCATTGCTTCCTTGGCTGCCTCCTGGAGCTTCTCATCAACCAACTTCACTCTATCTGCCTCCTCCGTAAAGGCAGCCAAATTGACCACATGTTTCAGTATCTTTCTCTATGCAGACTTCATAATCCGGTGGTGGACCTTGTTTTTATCGTCAAACCAAAGATCAGGTCGTGCCAAGCGCTTAACACCACGCTGGCATTTTGTTAGTGAGTAATTGTTTGAAAATATGACTATTCACCTTCCTTCCTCGCCGGTCATTTGGTCCCTGATAATAGCGAAACATCAACTCATCTTCAGGGTTTACTGCACCCATGACAGGCTTTTCAAGAGACTTGTCAGTTGAAATCCGATGGTAGAAACACATCTGGAACGGGCTCTCAAGAACCCTCATCTTGAACACCTGGAGGTAATAACACATTGCCCTTGATGGAAAGGGTTGGAGGCTCAAATTGAGGGAGGAAGGTGCTGAGGTTTAATGGAGGATAGCGTGGTTGCACAGATATGATGTGAGAATACGCGAGTGGAGAAGGATCAAACTCTGCAACAACATCGCGTATCTCTGGCGCTAGGTCGCCTGGAGGGTGAATAAACATGGGAGGGCCAATATTTCCATAGAGCCGATGGTTGGCGGGTTGCTGGTCATAGCCAAGGAGATGAGGTGGGATCTGTACTTGAGGGTAACTAGGTATGTGCCACGGCATTGGCTCTACTGCCACAGCTGCATATGGATTGGTGGAGGGATCATAGAAATTGATGTTGTGGTTGATCGGGACATTGGTAGGGGGGAGCAGATGGGTCTGATGCGATGTAGAACTAGAGGCTTGGGCCTGTCCATCATGCTGGTGACCGTAGTACTCGGGCTGTGATAGCGAAGGCTGCAATAGTACAGAGTCATTGTATGCATTTTCTGAACTATTCAAGTTGTGATCAATGTAGATCTCCGAGTCTGCCAGCGGTTGGCTAGTAAAAGTCTGCATGAGAAAACGGTTAGAAAACAAGTTGAGTTACGCCGATGCACGTGAACTAAATCTGAGCAGTAATACTTACTGTGACTAGTAACAATATGATTTGACTGCGATAGGAAAGTTGTCGTTTTACGACATGGGCGAACTCATTTTGCAAAACAACGAGCAGCAATGAGGTGCGTGCTTTAAACCCAATGGGGTGATCTTGAGCAGAATTAAATATTCAACCTTACTGTTAGGGAGGATGTTGTCTGAGAAGCATACCTGTAATGTTGCCGCCAATATCATTCTCCATGCAAGGCAGTCAGATGTAAAACTACCGTTAATTCACATTTGCCAAATAAGGCATTCAGCCATGCTTCTAATAAGAGTGAAGGGTACAAACCAGTAATCACAAAGTGATCGTGGAGCAAGGTTCTAGGTTCGAACCTTCAATGTGGCCTCAGACGTACAAACTAGTACAGTCCGCAAACATGTGCCAATTGATGAGGCTCATTGATATCGATCAGTCATCAGACATCAATCTTTGGGCTTACGAAGGGTCTAAACTTCAGGTAAAACCCAGACTGAATATTGAATAATGAGTGCTAATAGTAATAGTGAGGACTTGGTGAGCATGAATGATGCGATCAGGGCCCGGGAACCAAGAACCGAGTGACTGCAAACTCACTGCAGTAGGTGTCACGTGACATGCTATGTGTCAGTCTCGCAATAATCATATTATTTAATTTCAACATTTCAATTACCTAGGACCAAGCTCTGAGTCCCTAACCCCTACTCAATATCAGTTTATTTCTCCATTTTATTTGCTGTTTGAACAATAATTGATAAGCGATGAAATAAACTGAAATTGTTGGCAAGACATCGGAGTAAACTGAGTCTGATTGTATGCAAGCCGCCGAAGTGCAAAGACTTCTGAGTCACGGTCATTACTGGAATGAAGTCTAAGATGTGACAGCAGAAGTTGTCACTTAAGCTGGAACCACTGCATACATCCCATTGTCAGTGGTCCAAAGCCACCAATGCAGATGAAATGGCAACAAGTTGATCCCTAGAGTCATTCAATACCTCTGCCAGTGAGTCAGCGAATGCAACTTGCAAAAGTTCCTAGGAGGCTCATTGTGAATTGAAGTTCTTGCTGTCCAAGTCAGCACTGACGTTGTCGATGTACTAAGTTATCGCGTGTCATCGAATGATGAGTTATATTACAAGGTGTTCCTTCACAGTAGTGTCATCATAAACATCGCCAGGTTGAGTCCATTGATAAAAAAAGATTCATCCACTGTGATAAAAAGGTAAGTGACAATGAGGAATTTGCTACTAGGTCCATCCTGGCAAAAAGTACATACAAGTACTACTGATTTGAAGTGTCTTGGGTGTGCAAGTGTCTTCATCGATATCTATAGAAATACATCATTGTAATGATGACATGACTCTATGGAAATCAAATACTGACTTGTCATGAGTGGTACTGGGGCTGTCTCTAATACAATGTGATGGACTATCTGAGTCCTCAGCAGACAGCTTGACCGGCAGCCTCTGCATGATGTGATCTCTCATGAGATCAAGTTGAGCATCAGTCTCTCGAAGAGATGTCTTGTTAGATTGGCTCGCTGTATTGAGATATTGAGCATCATCCGCAACATGAGTCAGCGACTGCTTGGTAATAAGTGTTTTCAATAGCGCTTGAGCATGTTGCTCCGCTCTATGGAACTCCATGTTTGTTTCGGCATATAAAGACATAAGGAGAGTGCGCAGCCTGTTCGTTTCCTCGAGTTCCCAGTACGTCATGAAGAGACGCATACATTGGCATTCACGGACTGCTTCCTTGTAATGAACGACATAGCGGCAAGATGTAGGGCTAAGTCCATCCATGTGCCTTAGAAGGACATCATCTGTCTAAAAATTTGATGCATATAATGAAAGTTTTGTACATTTTGAGATCAGAGAGGCCTACCTTGCTGTCGGGAGCTTCTGAACAATGGTCACTGGCAGGTCTGCCCAGTAGGTTATCAAAAGTATGACTGTCTTGAAAGCAGGGTGGCTGGCAGTAAGGGTGGAAAGAATGATGGTGACCATTGCTATGATGTTTTGCACGACTTAAAGACCACAATTCGATCTTTGAAGGTGTGCTAGTAACGTGACAATATGCGCCGCCTGAAGACTTGGAATCAGGAGTTAAAGGAAAGCTGTTGTCAGGATCGGTCTCTGAGACTGTGCTTGTCACTGTCACTGGTGTATTAGTATATTTAACATCTTACTATGAGTAATCATACCTCTGGATGAAAAGGGAGAGCTCGGAGGACTTGAGTTGGAAACGTAACAAGGGTGTTGAGGAGGTGTAGATAGTAGCCCTGGTGTGATACATGTAGTTTGGGACAAGTTCATTTTTCAATCCTGAGGGTGAATACTAGACTATGGGGGGAGTTCACCAGTAAGCGATAAATAACCATTCGGACTTTCAAAGACCTGCACTGGAGTTTTAGGTTCTTTTCCCTGCTTTTCTGGGAACTTCCATCTTGACATGAACTTCAATTAAATCAGCCGGGAACAAAGGAAGTTGTGATACACCCCATACAGGTGATTACCACATTTGGTTTTGGCAGGGATTGAAAACCCACCAGACAAGGCTGTCCCGTGTGAATGGTAACACATGGAAGCAACCCTGGTCCCTGGAGGAGGAGACATTGTCATTGGACCCTCACTAGTATGATACTCACTACTATCAATTTAGGAGGAGTGGATGCTTTTCTCTGGTCTTTTGAACATTGGGGCACTGCTGAGAATACAGGACAGAATACCACCTGCACGTGGGCATGGTTGATGAAACTGAGCCAACAATGATTACACCTGTGCTCTGAGTCTGACTCGCTTCAATTATATAAGCAAAACCTCATGTCTGGGTCAGTTCAATTTGAGTTCAATGCGTGTCAGTTCTTTCTGCAGTCAGGCTCATACTTAGACTTTGAAGTGCGGCGCAATGTGCTGTTGTGAAATCCTTTGGACAGGATTTCTCTTATTTCTTCTGATGGTAGCCTGCAATTCTCTGGGTTGCTCTTGGAAAAGGACAACAGACAACTGCGGACTCACAAGACATCGCACATCCTGTCACTTCTACAAGAGAACTAGTTCTCTTGCAAGCTGGAGGAGACAAGATCATGCAAAAGAGGCTATCATTTCGAATTTGGATCTGAGGCTTTGCAGAACAGTGAGTAGCTTTAGGTTTACTTCGAAATAGAATATTCAATTTGTGTTAAATTTAGGGAATATCTTCTGTTCGATATGTGAGGGACCGGCCGATTTTCAAACCAATTATCTCTCATAGACTTCTCGGGTCAGTGTCCTCATGTAGTACCTTGAGTGTTGCAGAATTGCAACACCATTCTGATGCAGAGAACCAACAAGGTAATGTAATTGCTATGGAGATGGATGGTGATTCAGGAAACATGGGGGAATATACTCATTCAGGTTTGTGTCTCACTTGCAGACTCCCCTTAACTCCAAGCAACTTGAAAGTATTCCTATTGATGTTGACTTGGAGATAGAGAATGTGGAGCCTGAATTGAACACCTCAAATTATCGTAATGGTCTAGGTTGGTATTTCTTGAGTAGCGACCATTTTATCAATGAGTTGATATTTTACAGAGAAAACTAGACTACCAATGAGAAGAATCCCGAGAGCTTTCCGCAACGTTGAGCCTTCACAAGATGACCTCCACTACTTGGATGGTGCTAACATCCCACCAGTTCAAAGCTCAGATTCATTGCCTGCTCAATCTAGGATTCGACGAGTCCTTCTAACATTAAGGGACACTCTACAGACTGCGTACAACTCAGTCAGTCTCTGTCGACTGTATCCTCGTCATCCCTCCTTCGAGCCAGATCATGTGATCTTATCCTCCTTACTTGCAAGGACGTCTCCAATGGTTAGCCAACTTGAAGGAAGCGACGATCAACAAAAGGTTTCTCCACCTCCTTATCCCTTTCCTAATATGACGGTCCATAGACTTATGTCTTGGATGAATTCCGGGAGTGCACTGTTATCCGAAATTAAAGTCTCACACTTGGTCAAGGACGTGATACTGGCGGAAGACTTTGATCCTAAGCACCTTGAAAACTTCTCCATGAAGCGAAGCTTGCGAGAGCTAGATAGAGATGAGAATGGGAAAAAAGTAACCTTTCCTGATGATTGGATTGAGACTGACATTACCATCAACATTCCGACAAAGTCGAAGGAGGACGGCCTTCAGCCCTATATGATTCCTGGATTCCACTACTGCCCTCTTGTTGAAGTGATATGTGCCGCATTCGCAGATGTTCAAGCTCGGGTGTTTCACCTCCTACCTTCCAAACGGCTTTGGAAAGACCCTTTGGATGACCACGAAGAGAGGATATTCGATGAGTTATACACCTCTGATGCATGGTTGGAGGCTCAGGACCACATTAAGAAGCTGCCCAGGGAGCATGGATGCTCACTGGAGCGCATCATCGCCGGCATGATGCTCTTTTCTGACACCACACATCTGGCAAACTTTGGGACCGCTAAAGCTTGGCCATTATACTTGTATTTCGGAAATCTGACCAAGTATGCAAGGTCGTCACCCAAATCAGGGGCTTGCCATCTAGCAGGATTCTTGCTGTCAGTGAGTTTTCCTTGCATTCAACACACTCGTCTTCTGTTGATCAAGTCAGCTTCCCGATAGCGTGAAAGATATTCTTAGTAATCTATCTCGCATATCAAAGACCAGCATAGCATCCCTTCAAGCCTACTGCTGCAGAGAGTTGTTTCATTCCTGCTGGGAAATCCTGTTGGACAAGGACTTCATTCACGCATATCATCATGGCATCGTCCTTAAATGTGCTGACAGAATATGGCAGAGGGTCTTTCCTCGAATCTTCACATATTCTGCAGATTATCCTGAAAAGTATGTTCCTCTGAATACCTATTTTGAGACTGCTCAATCACTGTTGATTTACAGGGTTTTAATTGCAACCATTAAGGACATGGAGTTGTGCCCTTGCCCCCGCTGTCTTGCGCCAAAAAACTCATTTAGTTTTCTCGGGCTTGTGAAAGATATGAAAATTCAAGTGACAAATCTTCGGGTATATACTTTGGCAAAGGTTGTGAAGGCTCATGAATTTATTTACAATGGAAGCACGGTCGACGGCGTAAAGGTAGAACATAGTCTTGGTGAGGGCTCCTGGGTGCCCATCCTGGTGAGTGCAACTGTGCTTCCTTATCTCATATGAATTAACTGCACGTCATATACTGCAGAATCAGTTTGCCGAAAGGCTTGGACCGCTTGGCCTTGATGCATTTGGCATGCTAGTGGTCGATTTCATGCACGAGTGCGAACTCGGCACCTGGAAGGTGCTACTCATACACCTTATCAGGTTGCTCTATGCCATCCCTGGCGGGAGTCAGTTGGTATCAACCCTGGATGGCAGGTATGGAGATTTCATGTAGCGCTACCACCTACTAACTAGTAGTCTAATCCTGATTCTCTATAGATTTTGACAGATCCCCACTTTTGGTAATGGGGTGATCCGCAAGTTCTCAAACAACACCTCTGAGATGAAGAGGTTAGCGGAGCGCGACTTTGAAGATATACTTGATTCCTCAGGAAGAGGTGTAAGTTCGCTTCGCCATGGAAAGTCGCTTGCACGTCCTGGAGGGGAGCTAGATGATTGGGAAGAATACTACATCGGGATGTAAGTGTGAATATTCCTTATCCCTTGTGCCATAATTCTCACGATTTTGAGCCAGATTCATTGATAGAGATATGTTTATGCGCTATACCCCTTTGAGTGTTGGTCATTCAGTCATGCTTCGAAGGATCGCATGGGATGTTTTTGGTACAGATTCACTGACACGGACAGGGACCGAAGCCATGGACGTTGTAGATGAGGAGGACCTGGATGATAACGGTGAGGGTTTTCAGGAATGTGACTATCAACAAGAAGACTGCAGTGACGAGGATGACGCCTCGGAATGTGATGATGAAGTTGGTGATGAGGATGTGGACTCAGATGGAATGGACAGTGAGGAGCATTATGATGACGATGAGGATGAAGAGTTGGAATTTTCTTTCTAAAAAAATGCCTTTCTCAGATTCTATCACTTGAGTTGAATTTATTGTACAAATAATCCGCTCGCAGATTTTAAGAGCAATATACTACGAGAAGCAAATGACCTGATGTAACGACAGGGAAATTAGGACCCTCTCCTTGCGGACTAATGCAGTGGTAAAATGTTCAAATCAGCATGACCCACAGTGACTGAGTCGGACTGGTGGACAGAAGCTCTCCCACGCCCAGCGCCATCAACCTCTTGCAAAATGTCAAAGCTTATCATGATTCTATTCATAGGCCAACTGCGACGTCTAGTTGATTCACATGAAAGGCGTTTTCTGTTGCAAGGTCATAAATAAGCTTCTAGTTAAAACATAAAAAAATCAAAATAAGAACACTCACAAAACATATTAAGTTGATGCTATCAATCCTCACAGGCAGCGATGACAGATGAACTTGCAGTGTTTCAAGAGACTACTTGATATGGGTTTGAATCATAGTATCATGATTTAACACTGACCTCTATACTTGCGGTCTGTAAAGTCAAACAATGTTCACGATTCAAATGTACAACCACATGCGTGTTTCTTCATTGCAGAACACACCAGCCGGGAACAGGCCATTTGGCATGCTGCGCAGGAACAGCACACCCCAAAAGGGCCAGAATGAGTACTTTGCAATGCGGCGCATGACCTGAATGAAGAACAGAATGACATTGGCCATTCAAAATTTAAAGGCAAGGAGGGTAGCGATGTGTGGGAAGAACAAAATAGGAAAGGGATTGAGCCGGCAGAGTCAGGAACTGGCGCGTGAGTGGTGCTACGATGTTATTAACTTGCGTGCTAATTTAGTCTTCATGACCAATGCGAACACCACTTTCCGAGAGAAAGCCTTAAATAGTCATATAATCCATAACATAATTTTTGAAGAATGAGAATGGTCGACAAGGGGGACACACTTATGCTACCATATGTTACCGACCATCACACTACAACATCACAACCTTATCATGAACTGCTAATAATCTGGATTTGCAGACATGAATGGCTATGTACCAACAACTCAGATTTATCTCAGTATATATTGCCATATTTACTAGAAGCAGAATTATATCCTTCTATATTTACCATGGGTACAATATCATGGACTCATCAATTCACTGATGTGGAACTGGGGCGCAGCGGCATTTCTGCTTGGATTATAGGAATGGAAATACCAATCATTTGTACCAGATGAAATCTGTTGATACAGGCATATAAATTGCATCATATGAGTGAGGTGAATTGGTGACACCAGAGTCTAGCAAAGCGCCGTAACTCATCATTGCAAGACAAGAACTTTGTATCACAGGTTCTTAAAGATGGATGTCTAGATTTTTACTATGGAAATGACAAAAAAGCATTGAAGTTGACAGAGGAATTTCAACACTCAATTCCCATCAATGGCCTTCTCATAGCCATGATTGTATGATTATTTTAATTCATTTATTTCCACTGCTGATCAGTTCCCATAGGTGAAGGGCGTTCTGAGTGGTTTCTGCAACACCAGTACAAACAAAGTCCTAGATCTCTCTGCTGATAAATGCAGATCCAATTTCAACTTCCTATGAAAATCCATGGATACATTGATCAATATTCCTGAGCATCATCAAGAGCTGGAAGAGATTTTGGAGGAATGGGCCGAGTTTAGAATGATGAGGGTTCACAATGGTTCAGACAGCAGCTCAGCCGAAGAGGATGTCAACATCATTATATAGTGCTTTAATAATAGTTGTTGAGTTTACCGCAAGTCTCAGACACGTCCATCGAAGTACAACCAAACTCAGGTGTACAGGGAACCCATAGATAATGTGTAGTGTACAAAAAATGTAAACTAATCTTATATACTACTGCGAAATACACTTCAGTCAACCACTTGAAAAGACCTCTTAGGTCTATTTGTTTGTGGATAGCAAATGACCTAGTAGGTGTGTTTTAGGATGGTATTCCCAGTATTTTACCCTATGTACTGGGATGTCCCGGTCCACACTGAAGCAGGTATCTGGGCCATCCCAAGGACCTATTTTTGATCCTTCCTAATCCCAACCGGGATCACTCTAGCATGTCTCTGGGATGTCCTGGGGCATTTATTAGGTGGGCTTTCCCATCATAAATAGGAGTGATTGGGGTCCTTTTTCAAACATTTTGATGGCATAAAAATCCACAATTTGTATATTGATAGAAGGAGTAGTACTAGGTATGTGAGGCCAGTACATGCACTTCAGACAAGATTTTGATATTGGACAAAACCTGCAGGAATTCTGGCCCAAAACATTGTCCTGCATCAAGTGGACTTTATTGTATTTTATTAATTGGAATCAATAGACTTGAGCCTGCTGAGGGAGTGGTGGGCAAACACAAAAGAGTGATAGACACACCAAGTGTAGCACTAGTCATCAAGTAATTGCATTGTCTTGCAGGCAACATGCAACAAAATGTGGGAGCTTTACTTGCGAGTCTATCAGAAGGGGGGGTAACAACAGAGAGAATATGGAATAAAATGTGGAAGTTTTACTTGCAAATCTGTCATAAGATGATGGAGGGGGGGGTGCAATGAAGGGGGGGTGGCACAGGGAATATGATATCAAATGTGGGAGTTTTACTTGCAAGTCTGTCGTAAGATGACGGGGGGTGTGCAATGAAGGGGGGTGGCATGGAGAATACAAAATCAAATGTGGGAGTTTTACTTGCAAGTCTATCATAAGATGATGGGGGGTGACATGCAGAATATGGAATTAAATGTGGGAGTTTTACTTGTGAGTCTGTTGTAAGATGATGGGGGGTGTGCAATGAAGGGGGGGTGGCACGGAGAATACAAAATCAAATGTGGGAGTTTTACTTGCAAGTCTGTCATAAGATGATGGGGGGAGGGGGGGTAGTTTCATGTAACTGTTCCTGGCTGGGAATGTTGATAAAATGATAAGCTATCCTCTTGTTTGTGACAGAGTGTTGCGGGTTCAACTCAAGTAGGCCATTATATACAGCTTGAGAGATGAAGTCTATACTTTGAGGATGCATCCTGTATTGTGTGTTTAGGAAGAGGGCATGGTCCTTGAGATGCTTGACCTCAAAGATACTCTTCAGGTCCTGGTATCATCCTGACCATAGGGTGGCAATTGTTTATCATCGCCAATGAAGCAAACCTTTCTAATGGAGGTATGAGAGGTGAAGAGATACATGTAGGCGCCAATCTCAATTTGAGATGATATCTAGAGAGGGCAGGAATAGATAAATATGACTAGCTAATTACACTGGTTGGGCTCTCTTACCTACCTCTCTGGTGTCATCTGGGCTTTCCCGCTGACCCTAACTACACTGGTCGGGCTCTCCCATCTACCTGTCTACTGTCATCTGGGCCTTCCTGCCAACCCTAGTTGCACTGGTCAGGCACTCCCATCTACCTCTCTACAGTAATCTGGGCCTTCCCACTGACCCTACCAACACCATTTGGGCTCTCCCGCCTACCTCTCTACTGTCACCTGGGCCTTCCTGCCAACCGTACCAACACCATTTGGGCTCTCCCGTCTACCTCTCTACTGTCACCTGGGCCTTCCCGCTGACCCTAACTACACTGGTCAGGCTCTCCCAGCTATCTCTCTACTGTCATCTCGGCTCTCCCACCTGTCATTCTATTAGCAACTGGGCCTTCCCACTGACCCTCAAAATGTCACTTTGTTTATCATGTGAAATTGCTAAGGTATATTTGTAAGGTACACATTACACAAAAAGCATTGAATGTCAAACCATGATGTTTTGTGACAACTGAGCAATTATAAACTAATAACAAATAGGTGAAACAATGGCTACACGAAAAGGGAGAGAAAAATGCAAAATTTCAGTTTTCACGCTTCATTGGATGACCAAAATTGAATATGTTCTACAATTTTATGTGCAAGTCATCTTAATGTCACTGCTAGTCACAGTCACATGACATTCGATGCTTTCACAACCTTATTATTATGATGTACCAAAGGTCTACAGGAGTGTGCGTGATACAAAGAGTCATTTCCAATCTATAGATCAACTAGAGTACTACAACATAAATCCAACACGTCTAGTTGGGCTGTTTATCAATGAGTCGTTGACTGCATAGCCATCCTCAATATAATCTACCTCTTCCCCTCTATACTGATCTGCTAATGCAATATCTTCTAAGACATCCATAAGCTCATCATCACCGCAGCCAATGTCAGACTCCCAATCATCTCGATCCTCCCCTACATCATCTTCGTCATCATGGACATCGGGGCACACCACATGTGTCGCATTAGCAAGTTCATTATGTGACAGCGCCCAGCAGTCAGCCATAGGCCACGCACATGAGATGGGACAAACCTTTGTTTGCCACCCGAGTACAAGGTCAATAAACTGTCGAGCACAAAGATTCATGTGATAGAGGATTACATTGTCATCTCCTTTGAAAGTCAGCATAGAGTGTTAGCGAAGCACAAAAGACTTACTTGCATGTGCACAGGCCCTCTGCAGAGCACAGCGCTCAACCTTTACACGCAACTCTTCTTCGTCACATCAGTCAATCTCGAGCACCAGTCTGATCATAGCGCAAGTGACCTCATCAGCTAACCAATCAGGGGGTTCCAGCATGATATCATCAAGTCCAATGTCCTGCCAAATGTCAGCATCAACATCAAGATTGAAGATACCAGCAGGAGAGATAGGGTTAGGCGCTATAGCATTGGAAGGACTGCAGCATTGTCTGATAAGAGCACTGAGATCCGCACATAGGCTATTGTAGGAGGACACGAGTTTTTGTATTGTAAGATTGTGTCGCTGGATTGCAGTGTCGACATGAGAATTAAGCTTATGTTCTGCGACAAGAAAGTACAATCAGTTGAAGTCCATCTGTACAACTCAGAACATAAGTACCATTTACTGCTTGCCTGTATGAGCATTCAAGCTTCTCAATTTCGAACTTGCGCTGTCGAAGTCGTTCGTGAATACGGGTCTTTAAAGCTTAAGCATCTAAATGGACTTGTAGATATACATTGCGATGTAATTGGTCCAGATGGGTGCACTGATTGATGCCAAGCCTTGCCTTCCAGTGGCTCAAAGTGTCCGCGAGTCTCGATCGGTGAGCACGCTCTTCGATGAGACGAAGGTTGAAGTCGACAAGATTGTCGACATTTCCTGTACAAAGTTACATTTCCATGCGTTGCAATGATCCATCAAGCTCAGTGAGAGATTTCTCGATGGAGAGGATTTTCGAGATTTCCTCATCATTGCTTGTCTTCAATCTTCCTGTCAAGATTACACAAATGAATAATATGATTAAATCACCAACATGACACTTACAAGGCAGGGGTCTCGTCTGATGTTCAACCTGTAATTTCCACTGCTGACGGACAGGAGTTTCATCCACTGAAAGCTCACGTAGAGCTTGCATGGCATTACTCTTCTTCTTAGCACAGTTGTTCCACCTCCGGCTCAACCAGCTGCCAAACAAAACAAGGTTTTTGTCATCGAGGTGCTGGACCTGAGTGTCAAGGACAAAAAGTCTCTGATGAAACTGAAAAAGTGGTCAGTAAGTAGGAAATATATAAATTGTAGTCAGAGGTGAATCTACGGTACAACCATGGCAATTGTAATATGACGAGTGGCTATAACCCATATGAAACCATTCTTGAACCAGAGAACACTCACCCCAGAAACGCGTAGCGGAGCAATAAGATGTTTGAGTGCACTCCATAGACGCTCGCAACCTTCTCCATCAGAAAGGCCAAAGCCTTCACACTTGTGAGGATGGTATATGATTTGACAGGCCCATTGGTGGCCGTAAGCATGAAAGACTGATATTGCGAAAGTTATCCGGCGAAGAACATCGTCATCGAGGAGCCGGTACTTGAGACAACTTTGATGAAGTTGACAGCCAATGTCATACAAGAGGCCGACAGTCATCTTGGGAGGGATGTTATCGAAAAGCTTCTTGATCAGGGTGAGAGCATAATGCTGCTTTTCTCCCGCCAATGTCATCTTAACGAGCCATAATACATGATCATGGCGACATAACATGGCCATCACCCCTGTGTCTGCAAAAAATTGGGTGCTAGCCTTTTCACGTTTTTCATCAGCGGCAAAGAAAGATTCACCGCAGCCATCCAGCGCAGAGGTTGGGACTCTCATGCCATTCTCGTAGCCATCCTCCTCCCCTTCTGTGGCTCGCTTTCTCTTGCGACCCCGAGCAGGGGGTCTGCCACAACAAATTTGCACATGGGCGTCCATTGATGTCACCTCGTCATCCGAAAGAAAAACTGATCTGATTGGGTTTGGGGGATCTGGACCTCCACCGTGTTAATCCGACGAACACTTTTGAGTGAAGCACGCGTCAATGCAAATGTGCACATCAGGTATACTATATGTTTTATAATTTATTTAGTTGCTGTTATTGAAGGAGCTTACCTGAGATTAAGTGTTCCACTTTTTCGCCAATCAACCGAGCCAAAACAAATCAGACAGCGAGACCTTAGATAGTCGCTTGGACGTGTTAATCCCTCATTGGATGATGCAGGAAGTGGGCGATAATTGCCAATGAGATTTGACAAGTGATCTTCAGTGCTCATGCAGAGTAAAGAGTACCAATGATAGGCATTACTGAATTGACGGCGAAGATTATCCTACAATAATATTGATCAAGACGACCAAAATTCAATACAGATGCTTGACTAACCTTGGTGGTAAGTTGATACCCACGGTCAGCCAGAAAGACTTCGAGTGTTTCACACCAAGCAGTCGTGTTGGGAGTGATATGCACAAATAAAGTCTTGACAAACTCCAGCAGCTGAAGGTCCACAGTGAGACAAAGGGCAATGGGAGCACAGGCAAAATAACCGCAAGCCAGGAGCTGAAGGGGAGCAGGCGCACAAGTGCAACAATCAATTCGTAGTGTCTCAATATCTACGAGATTATCAGCCAACCAATAGCCCAGGTAATAAGAGAGACATATGATTGAAAAGTATGCAAGTGATCTTGAGAGCCCTCCGCCGACAAGAGGACCTACACTGAAAGGCAGCAACTTTATCTGGCTGCAGTTCAATTCGATTGCGAAGAGAAGTCGATTTGCGCAAGTATGCAAGGTATGGAGCAATCAAGGAAGGAATGACTTTGTTTGTCCAGCGTCGCCACTGATTAATCTTCTTTTGGTGGTTGTTCGAATGGGAGGGCGTGAGTAAGTCGCCATCGGAGATGTAGTGGAGTGAGTTGTAGAAAGATGAGCCTTCCTCCTGATGCTCTAAAAGATCCCCAGCGGATGGTGTATCATGCTGGTCAGCAGAGCCGGCATCACCCAAAGGCTGTTGCTACTGTGACCTTCCTGTGATATTGGGTGATTGTTGTGTGAGGTATTTTCTTCTGGGAAGTACAAGTAGTGGGGGGGCTATATGAAGGTGAAAATTGCTGCTTTTCTGTGGTCGCCGCCTCCTCTTCACCATTGAAGAAGTGACGAGTCTGTGCTGTCCATTGTGAGGCGGTTGAGTAGACGGCCCAGCGATAGGAATGGATAAGACCATGACGAGACAACCAAAGGCAAGCATGAAGCCTGCACTGAGGTCAGTGTCGACACGAAGTCAACCACCGAATGCTAGGAGGAACTTGAAGTCCCAAACTTGCGTCGAAAAGGAAGATGATAAAGTGGGCGAATAGGTCGATCAACCTTCGGAGTGGATGAGTGCTAGAAAATGTGAAGAAAGGATCTCTATACCTGTTCATGTGCACTCTGTTCTGTGAAACCAAGATGTTAGCTAGTATGCGGAAAATAAACTTCAATCCCTAGGGATAGGGTGTTTGTCCGTGATAAAGTCCACTTATGACCGAAACAACATTGGTAACATATGATGGTATACAAACCGTTGACTGATTGTGGTATATTAATTGCAACAGATAAAGGGTATGCAACACCAAGATCTACGCGACTGAATACAGGAGATGAGGTACAATAGGCGGATGGCCAGTATTGTCGAAATAAGACTGAACGTAAAAGACACAACATTCCTTCATCCTCTTCCATAAATTGTGCTCACGTCCGGTGTGATTGAGAGGCTGCTTGAGGGACTCGGGAAAGTGCTCCCATGTCGACAATACCTTGCGAAAACTTTCGAAGTACGGTAAAGCAGCATCAAAAGATGGTGCATTGAGTCCGTCGTTTTCTTGAGGGAAGTCCTTGTTCCAAACTCTCAACAACTTCGATGGGAAAATGCTACAAAGAAGTTCCATCCTTTCCTTCCTTGCTTCGTTGTCCTTACGTGCATTGCGCCCAAGATGTTCATCAAGGTCGAGAAGTTCATACCAGAAACCTTGTTCACAGATTTCATACATAATTTGGTGCACAAGATCTGCAGGGGGATTGTCGAGAGTGGAAATAGCTATGTCCTTCCCGTGCCAATGAACATTTGATGCTCCTGACAAGGCCCGCAGTGCCGTAACCTCCTTTTGAAAGAGGGCAGCAGTAGCTGCTTTCGACTTGCTAGTCTTGCTGGACATCTGTGTGTCCAGAGGACCCTGATCATGCTGAGAAATTGAGAAATTGCACCAGTTCTGGGCATGAGGAAGAGGTCGAGGGTTTTCTTCATAGACACGTTCTAGCCAGGTTGGACGGCAAGCCAGCCAGTTGGCAAGGTACTTCATTAATGATTGCGGGGAAAGAACATTGACAAACAATCCCAGATCGGGAAGCAAGTAACCGTCATCCATTTTGTCCCTGGGATGCTTGATGCGGATGAATTCTTTCTTCGCTCCCTGAAAAGCTGTCTTGAAGAAAGAATTCATTGGTGGCATGTAAGGGTGATCAATATCAGACCACTTGTCACGGCCGGATACAGCTCTGTTCTGACAGGGAGCAGTGGCATCGTCTGAGGAATGAATGAGAAACAGCGGCCATAAAAGAAGACTGATGAACTTACATGGCGCAAGCTTTGCCTTTGCCTTCCCTTTGTCTATGCGAGCCTTCTCCACCAATGACTCCTTCACGCCAAGTTGTTCAACTTGGGGTTTTGGAACGGGCAGCTTCTCAAAGTCAGAGTACAGCTGATGAATGGCCTCATGGCGCTGGCGGTTGCTAGGACATCTGGCAATGATATCGAATGGTTGGGCAAAATTTTTGACGGGATGGTGGTACATGCCGATGACGAGGTCATTGGGTGGTGTGAATGAAACAACTTTGATGATGTTTATATTGGATTGAATTAGTCTGGCATCGTGAATAAGCCAGACAGGAACTCCAGCAGCGTGCACCTTCGTGGCAATAGCGACATCTTGAGTGAAACAACCCATCCATTTAGAATTAACATTATGTGTGGTGTCGACGAAACGCATGCGGGGCTCAATGATTTTGTAGTAATCTAGAAGTGCCCAGATATTGAGAAAGCGACGCTGATATTCAGCAATGACCATGACAATGTCGCGCCAGGCCATGGCTTGCTGGAAGTGCTCATATACAGCATGCATCGCATGTACCCACCCAATAACATGATCCTCTTTGTGCATCCTTGTGAGCTTGTACCTGCTGACCCGCTTGTTTGCCTTCTCGTACAATCACTTGAGATGGTCAAGGATGTCTGTCTTGAGCTGACCAACAAGATTATCGGGTGCAAGGGGCACAAAGTCACTTGTGAAAGCTGGCCTGAACCATGCATATGTCATGCTCGAGTCGTCCATGTAGGCTTCCTGATGTGGGATTGCGAAACTTCGAGCGTACAAGTCATTGTACATCTGTGGCCACTGAAAGGGATCTATGGCCCAGTATCTGCCATCTGCTCGTGCTTGAATTATGTCAGATTCATTGTCGAAGGATTGGGGAATGAATTTCATGTTGGTAGTGGTGATGACTCGGTGCCCATATGTAGCCACACAGAATGCATCAGTAGCAGTGAGATAACCTGGACGGACATGGTCAGTCAAAGACAGTATAGGTGCAGAGATGACAAAATGCACGGTCACCATTGCACATGAATGGTTTGAAGACAGGGATGGACATAGTGGTGGATCCAGAAATGGAGGCACTGAGAATGAGAAATCACACAGCGACTCGAAGTCACTGACGATTTAAATGCTACCATGAAGGCAGAGTAGGACGGTCTTGAGAGATATTGAAAAGAAATCTGAATGAAGGCATGATGTCAGTAATTATAGCGTAATCTAATAGTGATTACACTTACAGAGTCTTGAGCAAGTGAGTATTGAGCAAATAGAGTCTGGTTAGAGGCTGGATGTCAGTCGCAATAGTGTGATCAGATAGAGTACATATGCTTACCCACAACGGCCAACAGCACAGTCTTGAGCGAGATTGGAAGTTCTTGGAAATGTCAATCTAGCTGGATGCTGAATGTCAGTAATTATAGTGTAATCATACCAATTATGCTTACTGCGAAGGCCTACAACAGTCTTTAGTGCAATTGAGAGAGATCTTGTAGAATGTCTGGGTGTCAGTAACAGTGTGAAAAAGAAACAGTCAAGAAAACTAAAATGGTTGAAGACAATAGTTACGGTTGAAGACGGTTAAGATGATTCTGGCTGTGGGTGACAATGCTGCAGGAAGAAGACAAGATGCTGCTGGCGGATGACAAGATGCAGCCAGTGGAAGGCAAGATACTCAGGCCAGTGGAAGAACTGCCGACCGAAGTCTAAGCAATCAATAGCAGCAAGCAACACAAAGTTGCTGCTCACAGGGCATCTACCATGAAGGCAGACTATAGAGGGCATGAAACGGTGATGGAGGGGGAAGTTGGGTGGTGAGCGATGAGCGAAGCAAGCTGAGGATGAAAGACTGAAGGATAATCTGAAGTCCAGAATTGTGGGAAAGCCCTTACTTAGTCTGGGAGAGCCCATCCTATTTTGGCAATTTTACCAAGTCTCATTGAACTTCACCATCATTCCTTATTCCTTCGGAATCTTTCATGACTCCTCATCATCTGCCCCCATCTCCTAAATCGTTTGGTCTGCCTTTGAGGCAGACAAACTTTGCCTGGGTGACTTCGCGTCATCCAGCACTACCTGGCTGTCTGACTATGAGTCAGATGGTCCTACCTGCCTCATGGCCTCAACACCAAACCTTCAACACAGCATCACTTCGCCCATTAGGGTTTCTGTCCATCTATCCTCTACAAAGGTGCATATCCAGTCATCTTATTCTAATTCATCGTCTGCAGGAATTTTCAATGCCTCAAATATTTCGTATTGTAACTACCAATCAGTACGTCCTCCCCACATTCTACTTCATTACAATTGACATATTCTACTTACAACAGATATAAAACTTGGGTTATGCAAAAGCTGGGATCTGCTAACTAGACTTGTTCGGCAAGTGGGGAAGGAGAACTCAAGTAAGCATGATCTTCTTACTCTCTGCACTTCACACTAGCTAACACGATAATTAGCAGTGAGATCCACAAAGTAGACTGCCGTATGTAATTGTAAGCATACCTTTTTGGACACGCTGGAGGATATCGTTGATGCTGACCATGCGATTACCAGTTCTGCGAGTGGCCTGGAGTCTTATGCCTACTTTGTCCTCTTTGCTGCCGTAGCTATGACGCCATGGCGACAATCTTATGAAGAAGTTTATGCCTTGCCATCCCCATTCATTGAAGATGCACGTATTCGCTCTGTCACTCGTCTGGATCCTAGCTTTGTTAATGTGGACCATCAGACAGTATGTGTTCATTTGCACTGAATATTGCATTATTCTGATGACATTTCAATCTAACTCCTTTTGTGTGTTGATTGGGTGGATTATAGTTGTTAATTTTTTTTTGTATTGGCCCCTTGCATTCAGTTAAAAACCGCAATGTACATGTATTTCTACAAGGAATATTTCTTCTTCTGACTCACAATCAGCTTTATCTTTTTTACACTCTTCCATCGTCCTGTTAAGACTTTGTGTTTTGCGAGCTGCCTGCTTTTAACATTCATCTTAAAAGCACCCCTTTTCTCAGTATATACAGTTCAATGGCACCCTCCACCAGAACCAAAGCCCATCATGGTGCAACTACTACTGGCACTACAGGCCCCACAGTGTCTGACAGCTCTGTCATGTGCACACGCAGTGGTATCGCTATCAACCCCCCTACCGACCAAGATAATGAATGCAAAAGACATACTATCCATCAGCTCTCTCTTGTTCTGGATAACCCTAACTGCCCAAAACCTCATCCTCTGGCCTGACGTACCTCGAGCATGACCTTCGAAGACTATGTCCAGATCCTTGCCCGCCCTTGCAAACCAAAAGTAAAACCTACAGTTGACTCAGTTCTTTCTGATACCCAGTTGAAAAGCAACTGTGCCCCAGGTATTGATCTATGGTATTTGCCAAAACAACCAATGCTAACCCTTTTCATAGCTGCCTCTGCCACCGATGACGAAGATGATGGCATGGGCGACATTGGCAATAATGATGACCACGACAAAAACCCTAACGAAGGCAATGACCAGGCTGATGAAGACAAGGAAAAGGAAGGCGAGGATGAGGAAAACAAGGATAGAGAAAATCAGGACTCCGGATGTGCAAAGACTTCACCAGGTATATCATATTTCATTTAATCTACAGTTGTGAAGGCTGATGGGTGTTTGATCACAAAGACAACTTAGAAAGTGACAACAATGCCAAGGATACCAATGAAGAACCTGACGATGATGAGAATAACGAGGACCGAGGATGCACAAAGACTTTGCCAGGTTTGTACTCTCTAATTTTCCTCTTGGTGGGGAAGGCTGACAGTTACATATTCTACGCAGTCAGGAGACTTTGGGCCCGAAAGGTCAAGATGGTCAACTACAATTTCGATGACAGTTCTCCGACCTTTTCGTCGGACAGCAGCTACACCTCTTCCCATGCAAAACGAGAACACCCCGCAAGATCTAATCAAGTTTCTGCCCATGAGTCAGATGCAGACGAAGACCTCAACCACGACAGTCCATCTTCACCGCCTGCTAAGCGCAGGAAGACATCTTCAGCAGTCAATACTACCTCAGCCAACACCACTCGCTCGACAACCATTGGCAACAAGCATTCAGTTGACGACCACACTCCTGCTGGCATAGTTATTGGCCCTACACCAGACAACGAGCCCACTGAGAATGAAGAAGAACTCCCAGGCAATCTAAAGTGAGGCAGGCTATGTCAGGAGGGCATTGACGAGGCTCAGGAACTTGGACACAAAACAGCAGAAGAAGCTCAGGTCATTGGCGTCAAGTACGGCAAGTCTGCACGTGCTATTCTTATTGAGGCTGGCCTATCTATCAAGCATTCATGATCAGAGTCTGATTGGAATGCCCACCAACGCTGATTCATGGATAATAACCCTCGCAATGATAAAGAATGTCAGTCCCCGTTTCTATTGTGTAAATGGTACTAACTCGAGAGTCTCAGCTATTGTCGACTGGAAAGAACGTCAACGCACACATTATCATGTGATGGGCAAGGATAACGAACAGTGGGACACAATTCGAAAATATAGCATCACTGGCGGCAATATTGATCAATCGCGTGCCAAGACCATCTTGTCAATGAGGGAGGACATCGCAAGAAAGGTACATTTACTCATTTACTTATTCTGCATTGTAACTAATGCCTCAATATAGTTGTCTACTTATTCTCACCTTGAAGGAGTCGAGGCCATTGGTTGTATATTTGACACCACACAAGATGAGGCTGCTCAACAGGTGTCAGGCTTCGTTGCAGGCTCCGACCTCATAGTCAAGTTAATTAATGAGCATCAACTGGACACTCGTGCTATTTTAGATTGGGTCGTGATGGCAACAAAGTGTGTCCTATCCTTCTGGACTTCCTTCCTCCTGACATGTCTACAGAGCGAAAGGCTACAATATATCCATTCCGCAATTTATGGGGGGAGTAGGGGCTTATGAAATCCTACTTTCTAAGCCGAACTGAGGCTCCTTGCGACCGTTACAGGAGGATATGGCCAATCATGGTACTTGAGAAAACCTGTGAGTACTCGAGTTTTTCAACATTAAACAATTTACCGAAGTCTGCTCAGATAGCGAAGTTTGGCTATCGACGCAAAGCAGTCCAGTGGTGAAAGCTTCTTGACTATGCTTTTCAGTACAAGTTCATGATCAAGAACTGGCGTGATGACATTACCCCCATTGGTCCTAAATTCAACCCTCATAACCTCAGTTCACAGCATCTCAAGCTGCTTGTCATCCCTTTCATCAAGTGCAAAGCACATTCCTATTACAAGGCGGAACTCCAGACCGAAGCTGAGAACTTGTTTGAGATAGAGAAAAAGAAGTCAAAGGGCAAGCGCAGAGGCCAGGAGCACACTGTGGAGGATGTCATGAGTGAATTAGATGTTGATGCACCTGAGATCGAGTTCGCAGCTTGGCCAGATGGTATGTAATCTCCAGGTTTTTATCATACTTTCCTTGTCTGATGTGAACTGTTCAAGAATGTCTCAAGCAGCTCAGTGACGAGGTACCAGAGATGTTTGACATCCCCTTGGTGACTAGTACCTTGGATGTTGTGCTGCGCAAGCTGGCTGACTCAGCGAAATTCAAGGCATCTATCCCTGAGGATATGTTGGTGGTTCATGAAGCACATTCACATGGTCCCATTCCCTCGACTGCAGAAATGCTGCCGGGTGGTCATGAATCTTCCTCCCCCACTTTGAGCTCCCCAGCCTTACCCTCGAATCAACATCACACTACAACAGCCATGCCAGTGCGTCACCGAGAGGGAAGTCATCCTACTCAGCTGCCAGATCTCTTAGATCATGAATACCACCCTGTTCGGCCTACAACGAGAGGAGAACTCACCGGTGGTGGACCACGACAGGCTAACATGCCATTTAAGGTGAAGAACACTTTGCAGGTAAATATTGCATTACTCCGCCTTCTATCCAATGTTGATGTTTTACAGGTTGAACCTACATTGGTGCGGCGCATGGAGGAGCATCCCACTCGTTCTCATAATGCCACAGACTTGGAGTATGTCTTAACTTCCACGAGTCGCAACAGGTCACACTAACATAATTACTTAGATACGAGCCCTACCCTCATCATGAGGACAGGAATTTCATTGCCTCAAACCGCCGTCAAGAATATTCGCTTTCACCTCCTGTGTACCCAGAGCGAGCTGAGTCCTCTCATGCAAGGTACTATCGGCCCACCTATAGACCGCGCGAGACAACTCCTTCTGCAGATAATGGGGACTATTCTCACCCTCAACATCATTACTCATGCCATCATAATTGGGATGATGACCAAAGTCAGAGGTTTCAAGTAAGGGGGGCTAGTGACACTCATCGTGAAGATGGGCCTCCGAGGTTTTGCTACTGACATTCTTTAGCCAAGAATCACGCTGCCCACTCGTTCGAAACATGACTTTTGCCTTCCTTTGGTTTTCCATACTAGCGCCACAAGTTGTTGTACTTCGTGTACCTCTTTACATCAGTTGCTGTCTCCTGTGTGGATGAAGCTTTGATGTGTCTTTGTATTGTAACTGCTGGAAAAATGTAGGTCATACGTCTGTCTGCTCTTGTTGAACCCTCTGTAATATTACAATGCTATGTGTTCACTGGACTAATCCTGGTGTGATTATATTGTGAATTATCTCGACAGGGCAGTTGGTCATCTCCCACTTAGACTCTTATTTTTCTGCGCAGACAAGCGGGAATACTAAGGGTGCTACGTATATGGTACTGTAAGGCTATAGTAACTATTATTGATAATATATATCTTAGCTTAATCAACAAAGACTTATTGCCAGCAAAAATATGTGCATCATGTGACTTATGAATGTATGCACTGATTTTGAAGGGGAAAAATCTAACTACCTTACAGAAATAAGTTGGGTGCTGCTCTGTGCAGCTGAATTTTTCAGCTGTAAATTTCAAGTTTAGTATTTGTTGGCTGGAGCTCAGCTTGGCAGTGTGTCCTAGATTTGGAGTTAACTGTCTCTGTTCAAGCTATGTGGGCCCTTTGAAAGTCAACTCAATTCGATACCCCTGTGTGACTGTGACATGCTGGGTCAATTTGACATTCCCACACTTAGGCATATGATGTGCAAAAAACCAAATATTTCAACACATCAAATTACAAATTAGGCTGGAGTGTGATAGTAATTTTGTAAGTAGTCAGAATCACATAGTTAAAACTGCTGTGCAAATCTGGGGTTATCACAGAAGCAAATCTCGATTTTATTGTGAAGTCAAATGGTTTCAACACAAGTGCATGTTACATGTCACGACTACCAAATTTCAACAACAACAACAACACCACTGACTTCATGGGTGACAGAAGATACAACTAAATTTGTGCGATGGTAAAGCTATTGATATAGGAATGCCCAGTTACTAATAGAATGACAAATGGGAGAGCCCAAATGGAGTTGGTAGGGTCGGCGAGAAGGCCCAGATGACACCAGAGAGGTAGGTGAGAGAGCCCAACCAGTGTAATTAGCTAGTCATATTTATCTATTCCTGCCCTCTCTAGATATCATCTCAAATTGAGATTGGCGCCTACATGTATCTCTTCACCTCTCATACCTCCATTAGAAAGGTTTGCTTCATTGGCGATGATAAACAATTGCCACCCTATGGTCAGGATGATACCAGGACCTGAAGAGTATCTTTGAGGTCAAGCATCTCAAGGACCATGCCCTCTTCCTAAACACACAATACAGGATGCATCCTCAAAGTATAGACTTCATCTCTCAAGCTGTATATAATGGCCTACTTGAGTTGAACCCGCAACACTCTGTCACAAACAAGAGGATAGCTTATCATTTTATCAACATTCCCAGCCAGGAACAGTTACATGAAACTACCCCCCCTCCCCCCATCATCTTATGACAGACTTGCAAGTAAAACTCCCACATTTGATTTTGTATTCTCCGTGCCACCCCCCCTTCATTGCACACCCCCCATCATCTTACAACAGACTCACAAGTAAAACTCCCACATTTAATTCCATATTCTGCATGTCACCCCCCATCATCTTATGATAGACTTGCAAGTAAAACTCCCACATTTGATTTTGTATTCTCCATGCCACCCCCCTTCATTGCACACCCCCCGTCATCTTATGACAGACTTGCAAGTAAAACTCCCACATTTGATATCATATTCCCTGTGCCACCCCCCCTTCATTGCACCCCCCCCTCCATCATCTTATGACAGATTTGCAAGTAAAACTTCCACATTTTATTCCATATTCTCTCTGTTGTTACCCCCCCTTCTGATAGACTCGCAAGTAAAGCTCCCACATTTTGTTGCATGTTGCCTGCAAGACAATGCAATTACTTGATGACTAGTGCTACACTTGGTGTGTCTATCACTCTTTTGTGTTTGCCCACCACTCCCTCAGCAGGCTCAAGTCTATTGATTCCAATTAATAAAATACAATAAAGTCCACTTGATGCAGGACAATGTTTTGGGCCAGAATTCCTGCAGGTTTTGTCCAATATCAAAATCTTGTCTGAAGTGCATGTACTGGCCTCACATACCTAGTACTACTCCTTCTATCAATATACAAATTGTGGATTTTTATGCCATCAAAATGTTTGAAAAAGGACCCCAATCACTCCTATTTATGATGGGAAAGCCCACCTAATAAATGCCCCAGGACATCCCAGAGACATGCTAGAGTGATCCCGGTTGGGATTAGGAAGGATCAAAAATAGGTCCTTGAGATGGCCCAGATACCTGCTTCAGTGTGGACCGGGACATCCCAGTACATAGGGTAAAATACTGGGAATACCATCCTAAAACACACCTACTAGGTCATTTGCTATCCACAAACAAATAGACCTAAGAGGTCTTTTCAAGTGGTTGACTGAAGTGCGAAATACCTATGCTTTCAGTTGGATAACTACATTACCAGAACTTTACAAATGTTACATAATGCACTGTGCGCTTTGTCAGTATCAAGCTCTAAGTTGCCAGTAAGCTCTAAATCCAACAATAGTCTTCTGAATTGCATCATTGTTGTATAGTCTATCCAATTGTGTCTCATTTGTCAACACTGTTTAGTTTGTCTAGGTCTGTCTACATTGTCCAATCTGTCCAGCGTGTCCACTCTGTGACTATATTAGTGATGGCCAGGTCCAGTTCTGAACTGCGGTTTGAACCTGGACCGTTTCGAACCTGACCAAAGTTCGGTTCAAGGTTTGAGCAATAGGGAGGACCGAACCATTGGTCTGGTCCACGGTTCGAGGACTTACAAAATTGCGGAACCAGTTCTGAACAGGTTCGAACAGGTGGCAAGTCACTTCGCTATTGCATTGTGCAGGGCTCAGTTTTGAACAAATTGTAAGTGTTGGAGCTTTGTCTCTGATTTCCACTGACTTATTTCAATAGTTTGACAAGTACTACATCCCCACCATCTCAGTGTCTGCGGACCCGAATATGGAACAAGTACTAGTTGGATATGGCCAATATGGCCGTTCATGGGTCCTTGCTACTGTGCAAGCCCATCAAGTGTCTGATCGTTGTCTTAATAACCGAGGGTCTTATATAAAGTCGTGTAAATGTAATGACACCACAATTACACTTTGGATAAGACTGCTTGCCAGTCCTCGATTAACACGGTCTACGACTTTTCCTATTTCGTGGTAGATAACGTGTGAGTTCTTGGGAGGCTCGCTAAACTAATCTTTTTATAAAGATCAACCTAGCCGGAGCTTTACTTTTCTTTATTGAAACTCAAATCTCTTGTCTAGGAATAAGCTTCTAGACACGTAATTCAGTTTCTGGAATGTATTTGCCTAGGAAATCTCCTTCTAGGCTCTGGACTTGGATACTGGAACTAGTGAGACGTGGTCTCAAATATATGAAATATGACCAAGATCGCTTGGTCTATGGACACCTGACTGTGAGACAATGGTCTCAAATATACGATATATGTTCAAGATCGCTTGAACAAAGGGGACTATAACTTGACCAAGATCGCTTGGTCTAAGGGACTACTAGTGAGACGTGGTCTCAACAATATGATAGATGACTAAGATCGCTTAGTCAAAGGGCACAGAGCAATGAGACAAAGGGGTCTCAAAGACTATATATATGACCAAGAACACTTGGTCTATGGCACTAATAAGTTTCTAAGGTAAGAAACTTATAATCTCAAGGGAATTCTTTTCCCTGCACTTGTCTCACTTCAAAGGGACTAACTTTGCAAGTGAAATATCTGAGAGGCAGATTGCTACAAATGGGAGATCATATATTTTTGGGGGAGAATGGGCTCTCCTTATATACATTTTGTGTGGGAAAGTAACCTAGGTTCACAAACAATAAAAAATAAGGAGGACCAATCAAAATATTGGGTCAAACCCAAAAAAAGAATAAAATACAAGTGAAAGATGGAGCTATGACATCATTGTGGAGCAGAACATTCTGGAATGTGGAGTAATGACATCAAGAGTGACATCATTGTGGAGCAAAAGATTCCAGAACCTTCCATGAGTGAGTCAGAGTGAGTCATTGTGGAGCAGAATATTCTAGAAGGAAATGACATCATGAATGATGTCATTGTAGAGTAGAATAATCTAGAGCTTGATGACATAATATCTTTCAACAGAATACCTGCAGGAGTATCTGTGGAGTCCTATGACATCATAATGACATCATACCCTATGGGTACAATTTTATGAAGTGTCAGGTGAGTCAAAGCATCCTAATGAAAAAGTAAAGTAAAGAAACACTAGAGAAAAGTAGGTAGCAAAAATAAGACAGTTGGCAGGAATTGAAACACAGTCAAAAAAATAATGCAGTTGGCAGGAATTGAAACACGGTCTTTTTGGATAGGTTTTTTATTGGCTTTGTACTTTTCTCTATGGTTTTCTCTAGCCAAAGTGAATAAGCCAAAGGCAAGGCTATACCTTAACCTTCATTTCCCTTCTCACATCAATTAGGTCTAAATGTGATTCCCATCTCACATTAGACTTTTTCCGTCAAAACGTATTCAGATCATGAAACTTGGGGAAAACTGGAAATATGGACCATGGTTTGAAACCAAGGTATGGGTTGACTAGTCTGAGGACTAAGCTAGCAGACTTTATCTTTTGAGGGTCACCTAGTATTCATGTCCATGCATGATTCCCACATCATGCAGGACATCGTGTGCAGGCTAAGCCTTGTGCTGAACTTACAGCATACTTCCAGAGTTCCCTCGAGCAAACTGAAGATGTTGTAGGTTGGTGGGGTGTAAGTTTTTGTTATCATTGCAAGTCCATTTGTATCTAACCTAGCTTAATTACCGCAGCATCACCAGTCATTATATCCAACACTTTCGCACATGACCAGGGATTATCTGGCTATCCAGGGTAGTAGTACAGCATCAGAACGGGCTTTCTCGAGTGGTGGGCTAACTGGAACAAAACGACGCAACTGTCTCAAGAAGGATGTGTTTGAGAGTTTGCAGCTGCTAAAGAGTGCATATTGCAATGGTCACATCTCAGCTGCTAGTGATGCTGAACAACATCTAGATTCATTGATTGCTGCACTGCGTGATGAAGATGACAAAGATGACAAAGATGGTAAACTAATGTAGTACAAGTTTACCTGTTTGTTCAACTCTTATTCCTACTATCAAGAATCACATTTTTTGACATTTTTTTGTCTTGGTTTGGTTCTTGGCTTGAACCCTCACTGAACCGGAACCGGACCATTATTGGACCAAACTGATGGTTCGGTCCACAGTTTTGTTTACTGAGAGGACCGAACCATAGGTCCGGTTCTTGGTTCTCTGAATTTCCTAGAGAACTGGACCAAACCGGACTTTTCCATCACTAGACTATATGTACAGATTGCAACCCTCTGTTACAAGCTTGTAAAGAGGGGACTTTGTTGTAAATTTGTGCTGTTTGTACAAGCCTGTATAATTGTGTACAATGACCCCCTAGTTTGCTGATGATAGCTTAGAATATAGAATACTGTAGAGATATGCACTTAGGTTCGATCCGATTTGGGTGTGATCAATTGTTCGAAAGTTTGAAGGAGGGTGTGACGTGTGACATTCTGCGCATAGGTTCATTGTGTGTGATGACCGACTGAGTCTTGGATGGTTACAGCTTCATTAAGCAAACATGTTTCTTTCTTTGTATGAGCACAGAGATGCTTGCGCTCAACCTGGAGACTCAGACACTCACCCCATGGAGCTCCATCTGCAAGTTTACTTCCATTTGGCAACATTGGCACATCTTCTTGCTATGTTGCTGCAGAGTCCTGTTAATGTGGATCCAATGTTTGGTGAGCCACAACCTAGCCTACAATGAGGATGTCATCTGAAACTTTTACACCCCTCCCCCAAGTTCACTTTCTTTATCATGTCCAATCTACATGACTTAGATGTTGCCCCAGCAGCCAAAATTCAAGATATTCTATCTATACCTACACAGTTCTCAATCACTCCTTCCAGCAACCTATCTGTTGCTGCATTTCTTCATCTAGACCTGCCTACAGTGTAAGAAACCAATTCATCAGCTATCAGATTCATCTTTTCCAGAAAGTCCCCGATGCTCCAGCTCCTCATGGGCTTCATCTCACGATCTGTTCTACCTCTTCAAACAGCCTCGTGCCTTCATGATCGTGCTAGTGGTGCACTGCAGAATGGACTTAAATCAGTAATCCACCCTTCATTCCCCAATGACCCACTTCCATTGTGGGTCTTGTCATATTGGGTATCAATGTCATATGCCCTTGAGAATCAGTACAACTGGTGTACATCTTATGACTGGGTCTTAGCTAGATTCAATGTTGTTCCTGCTGATAGACCAGAGTTGGAAATCATCAATGAAGTGCTAGATATCTTAGAGAGCCTTCCCTGGGATACCCCTCTTAAGGGATTTGGTGGTCTGACTGATCTGAGAACCACCAAGCTCCGACTACTGTTAGTATCATCTTCAATTCATGGTTGTGTTTTGGACAGTATGATTGCCATAGTGGTCCAATACATGCAAGCATCTGACGACAAAGATCTCCAGTCAGTTTTCATTGAACCCCTCGACTTTGCAAATATACTTCGTCTCAGTGATAAATGGTAGAAGAACTACAAGACGGACAGTGCTTTCAGTCGCTTTCATACCATAGGGTCTGCATTACACGAAGGTACACTCCAATGTGTTCGTTTTCTCATCAACATTGACAATGTTCATTGGGCTATGATTGAGGTCAATACCATCCATCAGAGTATTTCTTATGCCGATGTAGCGATGGTCGCAGTGTTGGGCTCAAAACCACATATTTTCATACTCACATCAATACCAGAAACATATGCACACATGTCCGACGCACTTTTGCACATATCCGAGCCACTCCGTATTGGATCTGGCACATTGGACCTTCGGACATCGCATCGGCCGATCGCACTTCATGCGCACTTGTCCATCCCGTGTCCTGTCCATCCAAACTAGCCTCACTAGGTGCATAGTTATTCCCGTGCACATTTTCTGACCTTTGTACCACGTTATTACATGTCCACAGCACCTCGTGTCTTATTACATAGGACATCGGACCTGAAATATATCACTACTATCTTCACGATTTACTCTTTACACCGACTTGCTTGGCTGGAGCTAGCCTACTGAAGACATCAATGCCATTCATTGTTGGCTGGGCTATTATGGTTTTTGCCAGATTCAATGAGGCAACCACACTTCTGCATGGCGAACAGCTGGACTCTTTCTTGTGTGGTATTGCAGCCATAAACACAATCAAACATGCACTATTTCATGATCTGTTGTTCACTGATGATTAAGATTTTTCACTCCGCATGGGAGAATTTCTTGATCTTGCTTATGATCATCTTGAGGTATGGATATCTTGTACCAAGGGATGCAAAGTTGAGACTAACCAGTATATTTGATATGCTACAGCTCTCAGATTCTGATGAAACTACTCATATTAAGGTAGTGCTGATGTTGAGATACAAGAAATTCAGCCATCCCCCCCAACTCTGCTCACATGTCCTCCGAAGAATAAACTAAAACTTGACCTCTGTGCCACTGATGCAGATCTTAATACGGTGAAGATGAGGAATCTAAACTGTGGTGAAAGTTGGTGCTAAGCTAAACAAACACAGATAGACCCGGATGCGAGTGAAACATCGACCCAAGGGCAGCTGTCTGGGTAAAGGAAAACCTCTCTTATAAAAAGAGGGACACCAAAATAATAATAGGGTAATAGGACTGTAGGACGCATGAAGTGTGAGGCGAGAACAATGCAAGATGCAGTATATGGACGTGCAAGTGTGAAAGGTGAAATGCAAGATGTGCGACGTGAAGGTAGCGCATGTGAGTGAGAGCAAAATACAGAAGAGCAAGCGAGACTAGAGAGGCAAGGCAAGACAACTAATAACACCCCAACTAAGGTTGGCTGATGCTAGGGCGAAATGCGGACAACTAATGTGTGAGACTTAGATAGTCACTGCAAACAACAAGTAAAATTCTCTAGTATCTAAGGACACAGAGAAAGTGGGCAGAAAATTGACCCAGAATATAAGTAATAGAGGGGTATAAGGAAAATAGCTAAGCACCACTAGGCACACAGGTCCAATGTAACAAGCCAAACAGGCTATAAATAGTATGCGAAGTATGTAACAGGATCTCGGTTATGCGCAAAGCGCAAAGCTGAGCATTAGTGATGGAAAACAATTAAATGAAATGGGAATATGATGGGAAAACACACCAATGGACTTCTAATGACATGGAAAGGACGGACAGACAGGTGTGTGGACAATGTGAGTGCAGATGCACAATGCGAACAAATGCAAGAGGCTGTGCATGAAACCTGCGAAATAAAATATGTGCGCTAAAGCGCTAGAAGTATCCTATGGATTAGAGCTGGAGTTTGTAAGGGAAGTGGGAGAATTCAGAGGGAAGTGTCTGTGGAGACACAAGTCTCTACAATGGGTCTATTCAAATTTTTGCCAAAGGTATCGCATGATGAGCATTTGGCACTTGCCTGGAAGCCTTCTGCTCAGGAGCTCAGGGACCAGGAGCAGGGCTATTACTGGAAAAAGTTTGATATTTTTGAAAAGACTGTGCACAAATGAGAAAGGGCAGCTGAGTGGAAGAGACAACAATGAGCTCATGAAAAGGCTGTCAATCAGGTAAGTTTATTCTCATCATTGTGCTTCATGTCTCACATGGTCTGTTGTCAGAGTGTGACCATAGAATATGTTCTTCATGATAATAACCCCCAACCACCATCAGTTAACATTGCCGAGGCTTTGTGTCCACACCGACAACTGCGAAGGTATGCTTGTAACATGCAGAAACACCACTTGGGCCGAAAGCACAAGCAGGAGGATGTAGATGCTGTGCACGTCAATTGGCAGGGCTCTCTTTTATGGCCGACTATTGAAACAGCTGCCCTTTGTGTTGGCTATAAAATGTCACCAGTTGCAATCGAGTGTGAGCTTAAGCAAATGGATCCCACCCGCTTTTGTGGAATTTCCATACAAGTTATAGGAAGGTGGATAGACAATAGTGGGATGTGCCCAGCATGGCATAGCAATGTCCTTGCCTGCACATGAAGGGGCAACCTTCCATTAAAAACCTTGACACCACCAAGTATCCTTTTGAAGTATCCTGATGTTGTGGATATCATCATTGAAGATCTCTGTGCTCTGCACACAGTCGGTGTGGCATTGGACACAATTCATTGCCATGGTATAATCATTGCTCGTCTCACTGCTTCCTGCTCCAAAATATTTGAGGATGCTGCAAAGAATGGCTCACACATTCAATGCACCAAATCTTGGGTAAAGAAATTTGTAGCTTGTACCCTCAATTGGTCATTTCATTGTGCCACTTATGCTGCACAGAAGACCCCTTCCAATGCCAATCAGCTTTGTCTAGACCAATCTTATCAGTTGACTCTGACTATTTGTGACTGCACAATCTTTTATGCTTTCTTCTACGTCAATATCAACCAGACCAACATTGTGTATCAACCTGCAAATACCACCACATATGAAGAAGTCGGTTCCAATCAAGTCGCACTTATTGGACAGTAGGAAAAATGAGCATTCACTGTGGTTGTTGGTATCTCAGCCTCTGGGGATGCTCTCCCATTCCAAGTCATTTACTGCAGTAAAACTGCACACTCCCTCCCCACGAAAACCACCCCACAATTCAAGGTCACTCAAGGCTTGGGGTTCAAGCTGTGCTTTTCAAATACCGACACCTATTGGTTGACATTCCAACTCATGTGTGACTATGTGGGCGATATTCTAGTTCCTAACTGGACAAGACAAAAGGAGCTTGTTGGTGCTCCAGACAATCAAGAATGTATCCTGCAGCTGGATATTTGGTTCATACAGATCAAGTATTGCTTTGTTCCTCGTGGCTGCACCAGGATTGCACAGCCATGCAATGTTGGTGTCCAGCACCCATTCAAGCTTTCCGTCAAGTGATCCCAACATGCCGATATTGTTGAAGAGTCTTTGTCATTGCTGAAGACAGATGAAGCCACACCTGTCATTCAATTGGACACAAAATTACCCACACTGCGGGATAGATCTTTGTGGTGGCTCATTGATGGTTATCATGCTATCAACAAGCCTAACATGGTTAAACAAGTACATTGTTCACATCATTTTGCTTCAAGTTGCTGACATCAAAACACTCAGGCATTTTTTCAGTGCAAGGCTGGAACAGCATCCAATCTCTCCTTTGAGAGCATGACCAGCCATGAAGCTCTTCATGCACTGCGTGATGTGCAGAAAAATGACACTGTGACTTGGGACCATGTGAAGACTGGTTCAATATAGGGTTGAAACTCCTCAAGTTGATGAAGAAGCTGAGCCGCCCTTTATACATCATGCTGCAGATGTTGAGCTTGATGCTAGTGATGTTTCCATGAATTCTGTTCTACAGCACATTGCACTAGTTGAATTATCGATCCCTGATGGCTACAGCACTGATGGATTGGACAATCTGCTGGCAGACAATGAGTCGGAGAGCTGTGAACGAGCACTAGATGATACAGAGTCTCAATCTACAGCTGTGACCACTGACAGTTTGAAGGAGGTTGATGTTGAGGGTTGCAGCAAGTGCAGACACATTGCAAATACTCAGTACAAGGACTTTTGGCAGCAATAGGACTTTTTTCGTGTTTTTACTGCATGTCACAATATAAGTCCGATGACCTCAATATGGGTGTGACTGTCACACAAAATATATGGTTCAATTCACTGGGCCTGTGATGGTGTGACAAACTTAAGTGCTGTAAGGCGTGCTGAGTTCTGGGAATGCAAGTTTGAGGCTTAGTAATACTGTAGAACAGACAGAAAACGGACAATAATTTGATGGATTTAATATGAAAAGTACATGGCTATATATACAAATATGAGTGGTATCTAAGGGTGGGAAACGTAGTGATAAACAAAGTATATAGATATAAAGGGAAAAGAGTAAAGGTAGAGATAGTAAAATGAAAAGAACAAAGGAAGACAAAAGAAACAAGCGAGAAAGAAGTGCGTACTATGTCACAATGGTTGAGATATTAGTCCTAGTGAGCGTCCAGCGCTAAAGCTGTAGGCTTCCTTACATCCCCCCCCAACTTGAAACATCAACCATCCTTGGTTGATCCCCAAACAAAGGAACTACTTGTCTCCAAAAAGGGTGCCAACCAGATCTGCGGTGTGAATGAACTGCGTGATCTCGAGACTGGAAGTGGAACATGGGTGGTACAGAATGAGTCTAAATGCTGCAAATTTGAGGTTGGACACGGTGCCATCAATTTCTGCAAGTCGGTAAGAACCTCCTTAGGACTGAGAAACAATGAGCATAGGCCCAAAGTACCGAGGTTTGCATTTGGTGTTCAAAGCAGCTTTTAGTACTAAGACTAGTGACCCGGGCTTGAAGTTATAGTCCTGTATCGTGTTGGCATGGCGACGTTCAAAGTCTTTGACTGACGCAACGCAGCTGCGCAACAAGCGGTCATGGGCAAGAGATAAGTCTTCTTCTCGTTTATTGAGCTGCCATGCACAGAGTGCGAGAAGATCGATGGAGGGAATAATGTTGGAAATGTCAGAAAGCATGAATGTTGCCTCAGTGATGTCAAATGGGAGTAAAGGCTCTATGCCATGTGCAAGGAAGAAGGGGGTGTGACCAGTACTTTTGCGAGTGCTTACTCGATTGGCCCAAAAGACATGTGTGGTGAGTGTAGGCCACTTTGTGATGTCACCATCACATGCTTTGATGAGTGAATCCCTGACAGTTCAGTGTGAATGCTCAACGAGTCCATTAGCTTTTGAGTTGTATGCAGAAATCTGAATGTGATTAATGTAATAATTTTTAGAGAGCCATTCTATGGCAGCAATGAACGGGGTATTATTATCGGTGACGATTTCCTCCAAACCTCCCCAGTGGCATAATATTTTTTTGAAGATGAAGGAGCCAATAGTGCGATCAGTTTCGGTTCGTAGCATTCGCTATTCTGGCCAGTTGGAGAGCGAGCAACAAGCCTGGACAATGTAAGTGAAACCATGTGAGGTTGGCATAAACATTGAATCGACGAATGCCTTGTGAAAGAGGGGGGCAGGAACAGTGACAATGAGGGGAATGATGACTTTCTCCACAGATCTGAGCTGGCATTGATGACATTTCTTAGGTACCAGGCGACATCTTTATTGAGCAAAGGCCACCAGAAGCAGTTGGCTATGGTGCAATGAGTAGGGTAGAATCCCTTATGTCCAAGGCGATTGTGTGTGTCTTGCAGGATGTGAGTGTGATCTGGTGCAAATAAAACTAGCTGGTGCCATCCTGCTGAGTCTTTGCGCCAAAGGCGATTGCCACGTATGAAAAATTGGGGAGCTTGCTTCAAGATACAGTTTCATTGGATTTGGAGAGTGCTGGATGGAAGCTGTAGGGTTTTGAGGAAGGTTTTTATGTTGAGGAGTGCATCGTCATGAGTGCGAGAAGCATCATCAGTGGGAATATCAGGATCAGATGTGTGCATGGTTTCTGCAATATGCAGCACTGTAGCTCGGCTCATCACTTCAAGATATCCCTCGTCCAAGTCTTTTGCAACCCATAGTGTGCAACTCAATACTTTGTCAATCCATCTTCCGAAGTTTCGCCCTCTTCATCATTGTCCTCGGGTGTGTCATCTTCGAGACAGACCATCAGGTCCTTGGTGCTTGAGGCCTGGTACATGCTAGAGGGTAAAGTTAAACCTAAGGATACCTGCTATCTAGCGATTCATTGCAGCATTGGGCTGTATGTCTGGGTTGTTTAGCATGCCCTTAATGTACTTAGCGTCTACTTCAATGACGAGTTTCTTGATGCTGATGAGCCAGACTTTGGCAGCTTTGAGAGCACGAAATAGTCCATATAACTTGATTTTGGCCTGAGAGTATCTTGATTCACATTCATTCCACATGATAGAGCCAAATCGCACTGGTCGGTGTTTCCCTTCATTGTCGAGTTGTAGCAGGATCCAGCCGCATGCAAGGTAGGATGAGTCGACAGCAAGGATAACTTCATTAGCCAAGGTGTAGCTGATTGGGCAGATGGTGGAGGAATAAATGATAGCGTGCTTGAGCTCATTCATAGCGTGTTAAGCTTCTTGAGTCCATTCAAAGGGGATGTTGTTGTGGGTGAGATTGGTGAGAGGGTGGGTGATATGTGCATAGTCTTTAATCCAGTTCCGAATGGTGCCAGCAGTCCCTAAAAATCCTCGGACTTTGGTTCAGGATGCACAAGGCGGCCAGTGGTGGATTTTTGAGACTTTGGAGTCGTCAGGAACACGTCCTTCATATGTGCACTTCTGCCCAACTACCATGACTTTGGGGATACAAATAAAGAGCTTCTTTGCTGATACAGTGGCGCCTGCATGTTTGAGGCGGTGAAGAACTCAGTTTGTGTCTACGCAATGCTCCCAGACAAAATGTCAGTATGAGTTTGTTGCTGGGGGAGAGTTCATAAGTGCTGTCAGGAAGTTAGTATTGAGTGCAAGGCCCCAGAACATTGACATCATCTTGAAATTTGGGTGCAATCTCGATCTCGGCCTGCAGAATGAAAGCCATGTCATTTTGAAAGACTGCTGGTGAATCTGTCCAGCCTTGAGGCAAAACTGTGAGATGGAAAGTGCCTAGAGGAGTCTGGAATGTGGTGATGTCGCAGTGATTCTTCTGCAAGAGCTCAATGATTGAAGCCAATGAATAAGTCCATCATCGAATATATGGCTCATCCGACGCACTGTTCTGTGAAGTGCTCCACATAAGGCATGGTGGCTGTGTCCTTGACTGTGATGGAGTTAAGCTGCTGTAAGTCATGAACAATGTGGACGGCTCCGCTTTTCTTTGCCACACAAAACCAGCGAGATTGATATGACAAATTGGATGGTTCATATACTCCTGAAGCTATTTTCAACTGAATCAGCTTGACTACTTCTTCCTCAATGCCTGGTGGAATAGGAGGCTAGCCATGCGCCCATAGGGTGTGTTCAATTTTTGGAATAACAACCGGTGGAAAGTAGTCATCTCGAAATCGTCCCTTCTCTGGTTCTTCCCAGGCAAGTGCCATTTTGTTATTCATCAGGACATGAGCCACTAATTTCCTTTCTTCAGGCCAAAGAAAATGATTCAAAAAGACACCCAGGTCGTCCATTCGGTCCTGTGTGAGATGGCTATCTGGTGTGAATTCAGGAGGTATAGGCTGGAGAGCAGGAAGCGAAATGAGAGGATCTTCTGGGAATCGCCAGACAATATGTGCGTGTGAGGGCATGGTAGTTGCTACTGGCTTGACTTTGTTAGCTACTTTTTTGTAGGCAAATATGTGCCTGATCTCATTGTAATTGAAACAATTCCTTAGCAAATGTTCTGTGAAGGTTGTAGTGGTGAGAGTGGTATGAAAGGGCTGATAAGCAAGTGCTGAGGATAAGGTCTGAGATAAGGAGGGTGTGTTGACCTGAGAATCATGCATAATAGTGTGAGTTGTGCAGAAAGCCGCTGTGGTAGCTGAGAATGAGCCTTGAGGCCATGGTCACGGAGATGTGTGACAGGTTCGTGTGTTGTCAGCGTTGAGAGGGTCGCATATGGTGATGAGGACTTCATCATTGGTTTTGGTTTTTGAGAGCTTGACGAGTCATTGCCATGGCTGCCCAAGAAGGAGCCTGTAAGGTGCGTCAGGTACAACATATGCATGGGCCCATGTCTTGATTCCTGCTATGTCAATCTCCAGCATCTCTAAACATCCCTTCATATCCTGTGATCCTCCGTTAGCTGTTTGCATACACATGTGAATCTGTTCATTCAATGGTGTGTTCGTCTTCCTCCACGTGTCTTCGCAAATCACAACAATTTCTGATCCTTCATCAAGTAAACCCATCTCAGAGTGGACACCATTTATCGTTATGCGGAGCTCTCCTAGTGGGGTAGTGTGTTCAACTTGAGGAGGAAAGTTCAGAGCTGCAGAGATTGTACTTGCTGAGATGGCTATTGAAGGGGTTGCCACTCGTTGAGTGCAGCAGTGATCTACCATTTCATGGCGTAAGTCTGGGCTGATAGCAAGTAAGTCAGATATCGTGAAGTTAGGTACAACCATGTTCAAGATGTTCTGGTAGATGCATTGAATAGCATTGGGTGTCGCTGCTTTGGATTCATAGGTGTAAGCGGGCGTTTTTGCATGGGTTGACAGAGTGTCCAACAGTTTGGGGAGACTTTGACTAGTTGGCAGGATGTTGTCAATGTGTGGGGCGGTTGCTATATTCTGGGGTGGTGCAGAGGCTGTTTTTGGCTTGGAACGGGTGATTGCCAATACCTGCTGTCCTGCATCTTCATCCTTGATGTCCTCAACCATGACTACTACAGCGTGATTCTTGACGACCAGTTCACATTGGAGGAAATAAGTTTCTGAAATGAAAGCAGTGGAGTTTGTGCTGGAGAATGGGTCTTTATTGATGGGAGTAGCTAGATTTGCCCCAGTAGCCAGTGAAGGAGTGGTTGTCATATTGCTAATGTTGTACCACTGATCCACTGCTTGTCAAATAGTTGGGGCCCCGTTGCGATGAATGCGTGATTGATCAGGATAGAAGAGGTAACCATTTCCGCAAATGATGTGTCCCGCTTGTATGTATTCCATAGCTGTTGGGCAGTTCCGAACTAAGTGCGCTGAGCCGCAAAAGAAGCAGTAGTCACCTTGAGATCCATAAGTGCGAGGAGGACTGGATGAGTGTTGTGAAGGTGCCTGGCTGTTTTGATGAGAGTGTGGTGGTGCCCAGGCTTGGGCGGCAACCGGTGCTAGACATACAAGGCAGGTGTAGCATCCCAAGTATGCAATGTCCCCAATGTTGAGGGAGTGCATTCTTTGTGCAATCTCTTCTACTTCATTGATAGTTGACTTGGCAGGGGGGTGTACTGGGGTGTTGAATGCTACTCGCTTAGTCTGTACTTCCCTTTTTACCTCTTTCCTCTCTTCTTTGTCATCTGAGTCCCAGAGTTGTCGAGCAGCAGGTTTGGAGGAGGAGGTAGCAGGGCGAGAGTCCCATATTGAGCGCAACTGGGTGGCAATAGGGTCGTTTAGGTCTGCATCAAAGGCGTCATCTGAGAATACAAACCGTCTAGCCTTGAGTACTTTTTTGAAGTTGGTGGCTTTGGTGCAGGAGTACACTGAGTCCTGGACTTCAAGCCTTCAATCTATGGCTCATTGGGTGGAGGCGGGTAATCCTTGCCAGAAGTATCTGTCATGTTCCTGGGAGGTTATTTTACTGTTTGTTACCAACCAGTGAGCCATCGGGCGAAATTGTCTATAGTACTGTAGCAACTCAGTCTCTGTGGATATGTCACCATCTGCGCTGCTGAGGACTGCCCGTTCCAAGTCTCTAATGGTGTTGTGGACTCCTTTCTCGGCACCTGGGTATTGTTCAAGAATACTTGCTTTGAGAGTCGTAAAGTTCTTGCTTTCATATCCAGCGAGCGTGACCCAGAAGCGTTTCATGGCTTGATTTACGTATCTGATGAGCAACTTGCATTGTTCTGCATTTGTAAGTCTATATGCTTGTGCTAATTCTTCAAAGAGTTCAAAGAAATCTAGAGGGTCAGAGGTTTCACCGCTAAACAATGGGGCTTTGTTAGACGTAGGTGCTGGAATGGCATTGATTCCTTTGGGTGTGGTGGAAATGGCTGAAGTTGGTTGTAATGTGATGATGCGTGTAGGTGATGCTGGAGGAGTGGCTGATGATTGAGTAGGAGTGGCTGCAGTTCTAAGGGCGAATGATCAATCAGTGAACTCTAGGTTGGGGATAAAGGTCGTGAGTTTGATTTGTGGAGTAAGGCTCGACACACTGCTGATAGGCGTTAGAGGGGATACTAGATGTAATGCAGGTTGTTTTCCTTTGATACTGATGTGGTGGTGGATTGGTGAATGAAACACAAGTTCCAGAGATTCTGCAGGGTCCTTGTCTTTAGTAACGGAACAGGTGGTGTGTTTTTTAGCTGTAATGGGAATGCAAGAGCGTCTTGGTGCCAGATTAGATGCTTGAGTAGCATTTTCGGTGGTGAGCTGTGCGTTGGGATGAATATACTTTGAAATTGTTGGAGTGGTGAGGTCTGATGGTTGTGTAGAGTTTTTGATTGATTTTGATTCCCCTCGTGGTGGGCTCCAATATGTAAGGTGTGCTGAGTTCTGGGAATGCAAGTTTGAGGCTTAGTGATACTGTAGAACAGACGGAAAATGGACGATAATTTGATGGATTTAATATGAAAAGTACATGGCTATATATACAAATATGAGTGGCAAGGCAGGGGAGTGGCATCTAAGGGTGGAAAATGTAGTGATAAACAAAGTATATAGACATAAAGGGAAAAGAGTAAAGGTAGAGATAGTGAAATGAAAAGGACAAAGGAAGACAAAAGAAACAAGCAAGAAAGGAGCGCGTACTATGTCACAATGGTTGAGATGTTAGTCCTAGCAAGTGTCCAGCGCTGAAGCTGTAGGCTTCCTTACAGTGCGTATCTCTACAGTAGCACTATGGCACTAGATTAAATTACAGTGTGCGAATTTTGACTACAGTGACTACAAGCACCTCCTGTAGCTCTATACAGTCCTTATTTCAGCTACATATCACTACAGTGACTATGTAGCACTATGTAGTTGTCACTAGGACTACACTGATATTTGTTTTTTCTTGATGGAGATCTAGGCAAGCAAACATGAGATAAAAATGAGATGGAAGATGCGTGTTGGCAAAACACCCTCATACCATACGCGTCTGCTCATTTAGTAAGCACTTGTTTGAGTAAAATGTTTGCAGGCTCAGATAGAGCTCACATCAGTGAACTGATGAGACCTTGATATTGTAGCCATGCGAATTATAGAAGGATATAATTCTGCTCCTGCTAAATATAATCATATATATGGATAAAAATTTGCATTGTAGTTACATAGTCATCAATGCCCGCAAATTCAGAGTAACATGAGCAGTGCACAAAAATGTGATGACATTGCTGTATTACAGCCAACGAGGGGTGGTAGCATATCAGTGGCAATCATTTTGAGCATTGTCATTTTGTCTTACTTTTGCTTTGCATCATACCTGATTTGTGTTTCAATTTAAGAAGACCTTTCCATATGATCTGCCTTTGGGACCAGTCAACAAACCTAAAATAGCATTAGACTTGGTGAAAAGATTATGAATGCTGCTATTCTAGCAGGCCAGCACAACCCTTTGGACTGTTTTGAAGCTGATCAAGCTTTTTCAGGGCCTTTCTAAGCCAACTGTTAATACACAGCCACAAAGTTGAGAATTAAATGCATTTTGCCAGTCATGGTTGATAGAATTGAGTTTTAAAGAATTGTGATCATGATCGAGCCTTTGATTCTCCACCTTCCCATTCACAAACAGTGCCGCAGTGTCATGTCTAATCTTAATAAAAAATTACAGGGCACACAAAGTTGCCATGAGTGTGAGTGCGCACAGGTCTGACTTGAGTACATGATGATATATCATGGTCACCATCCAGAGGTTGTCTGAAAACAGAGTCTGGCACATACTGAGCTTTAAAGATCATGAATTAGAAATACACATGTTCATCATCGGCTTCTATGTCCCAGTCACCTGCGGCATTGTCTACCTTGTCGTCTTCATCAAGTTGACTTGTGTCTTCATCTTCGTCTTGATCCTGATTGGTGTTCAAGTCTTCTTCCCCATCATTATTACCTTCCCCCTCGGCTACGTTGTCATCATTGCCACTACCCTGCTCTCTTTCATCATCATAACACGGAATATGGCTTTCCCAGTCCTTGCTGTAAACAGTCTCATCTTCCTCTGACACTAGGCCATCCCTAGGTCCCTCGTCCGCGCAAGCCCTAGTGATCTCCTGCAAGAACTTAGGATGCCCAATGCCATGGTATGTGTACCACATGAACATGTCTCTGTCCACGAATCTAAGTGGTCCGTATTTTGAGTAAGGACAACAGGATGGTAGGCTATACTTACATGCTAATGTAGTAAGCTTTCCAGTCATCTAATTCGCTGCACTGACATGCAAATGACTTTCCATGGTGAAGGGAGGTGATTCCACAGCCAGAGGCAGAATCTGGGATCAGGTGCATACCCCGGATGACCTGACCAGGATCAAGAAAACTGAAAGCATCACAGTCAGATTCCTCGATGAATGCAACCTTCAGAAGCCAAGCGCAGCTCAACCCTGATCGATGGTTGCTCAAAGGTGCCAACCATCTCACAAAAAGAACCTCAATGTGATGTTCTTTAACTCGACCTTCAATATTTAGCCATGCATTCATGTGATAAACGCCCAGAACTTGGGCATACCAGTATAGCTGCTGAGGCTTTGTTTCACCAGATAACACCATGACATTACAGTGAGTCCAAGGATTGATGGTGTCATACTCCCATCTAAGATCGTAAGTCATGTAATGGACCTATGAGGTGATTAATAGTAAACCAGCAAATATCACTGGTAACTCTAAGGTGGTGAAAGAAGCACAGGTAACATCCCAGAACTTGCATAACTGAGTAAAGAGGTGCTTGAAGGTCTTATCCAAAGTGGACAAAGTTGTTTCTGAATGCATCCTGAGTTTTGCAAGAGCATGCCATTGGGCAAATCTATACAAAAGTGATTGTATGACTGCATTGTGTTCCTCTGGGAATAGCCCTTCGAACACCGGCATAATGCACTGAGATAGAAGTCGACTAAATATGTAAATACATGGCAACGAATGAAGAGGACAAACCTGTAAAATATCATCAAAGTCCCTTGCTGCGAGCCATTTCATTTCCAAGGTATTATTGGCGAATAGCCGGTCACCATTTGGGAGTGCGTAGAGCAGATGCATGAGATGGGTGAACAGCGCTTTCCATGTGCCTAGCTCAATTTCGTGCATGAAATTGACAATGAGCATGCAAAAAGTGTCAAATCCAAGGGGTCCAAGTTTTTCTGCAAACACATTCTAGCCAAATGTCAGGTACTAACGAAGGCAATTGATTCCAAAGGCACTTACTATGGTAGGGAGCCATGACCCTTCTCCAAGCATTGCCTTCACCTTTGAGCCATTGACAGTATGTCCCAACCCGTAGACGAATCCATGGGCTTTTGCCACACTGTCCAGATAGTAAGTCCTGAGGTTAGATATCTGACCTTCTATATCCTTGAATAGGCCCATGAGATCAAATAAAGCTTTTGGCATGGACACGGACAAGAGCCCATGTCCTTTATTGTGGCTATCAAAACCCTGGAAAGTTGATTTGTATTTAAACAATGAAATGAAAAAGAGTGCACTTTTCTGGATAGTCAGTGGAGTAAGTGAATATGCATGGAAATACCCTCCTTAATATACCATCGGGACACTGGAGTACAATCCCATGACGGTATGCTTCAAGGAAGTTGGTATCTAATAGATGTTTCCAACATGAGTGGAACAAGTCCTGCTGACAATGTGTGTGAAGGGCTGACATGCCACTTTTTGATATCCGGGGTAAGCTGGCTATGACATCTTTGACGCTATCTGGAAGCTAAAAATATAATGTGAGAGATGTACAACACTGGAGGTTGTTAACCTACCAAGGGTAAAAATCCGACCAGATAGCACACACCAGATTTGGGTGCTGAGCGCACATACTTGGTTAAATTTCTGAAGTAGAGATAAAGGGGCCAAGCCTTGGCCATTCTGAAGTTCGCAAGATGAGTCGCATCAGAAAAAAACATAAGTACAGTGATGATGTATTCGAGTGAGCAGCCGGGTTCCCTTGGCTGCCTCTGCAGGTCATCCTGGACTGCTAACCAGGAGTCAGAGGTATAGAGCTCATCGAATATGTATTCTTGATGGCTGTCCAAAGGATCTTTCCAAAGGCACTGGAAGGGCAGAAGGTGGAACACATTGCCCTGGATGTCAGCAAATGCAGAACACATCACTCCTACGAGTGGCCTATAATGAAACCCCGGAATGTTGAATGGCCTGAATGGCTCGTCCTTGGACTTCGTAGGTATGTCAAGGGTGATACCTGTCTCTAACCAGTCATCTGGAAAGGTAACGGTCCTCTTTCCACTGTTGTTGTCCCAAGCGTGCAAGCTCTTCTTGAGCGAAAACCCATCCAAGTCCCTTGGATCAAAGTCGTTCGCCTGGATCACATCTTTAACGAGCCGTGATACTTCACCCTCTGACTTATGATGACTGCCAGAGTTCATTCACGCCATAAGGCGGTAGACAGTCATGTTAGGGAAGGGATGTGGTTATCTGGGAGATGATTCGGTTTCACTGTCATACTTAGTTCTTGGACTCGAAGTAGCTAGCAATGAAGAAGGAATGTTTTTATCAGGCTCATATGAGGGGCACCAAGGATATTGTTGACAGAGTCTGATTGTGTTGAAAGTGGTTTGAAGAGAATCATGCAGAGTCAAAAGGACTCTTCAAATCCTGCTGCAAGGTGCACTCTGAGTCTCCGTCACAGAGGACAGACCATTCCCAAAAGAATCTGAGGAGTTGGTGTCTTCATTGGGGGGTAGAAGATCGTGGAAGTCTCTTGGGACTGGCCTAAGCTTGTGTTCCAAAGGGTGTTGACCTGTGACTGCTAGTGATTAATGAGTGCTACGATAACAGGTACAAAGGTGCACACCTGGGGCGTCATTGTCTCACTAGTCAGTATCCTCCTGGGCCATTGCAATATTCAAGATGTAGGAGTCGAAGACTGATGAATAAGTCAGCATACTGGCATGAGCAGTGTTGGCTGGATTAATAGGTTAATGTAGGATGTCAAACACCCTAGGTTCACAATGGGTGATAGGTTTCAGACAGCCTTTCTTGGTAAATCTGATTGGTCCAAGCTAGCATGGGTCAGAAAATAGTAAGTAACATGAGAATATTAGAGCAACCTACAAGATTAGTGACTCACCCTAGGAGCACCACTACTACGAGTTGTGAGTTGTAGAGACCTTTAAAAAGTTTGAGCAGACTCCTGTGCCTGGTTCCTCCTTCTCTCGGCAGCTAATGTGCTTTCCTTGTGGTAATGCTTGCAGGTCAAACAATGCCTGCTAAGTCCATGAAAATCTGTATCTCTCTCCCAAGAGCAATGTGGTGCACCACAGGACACCATTAACAGGATGAAGATGATAAACAAAATCCAATATAGTCGCAAAAGATGCATTGCCCTTCAGTGAAAGTTGTGCTCATAGGTAAGGAAAGTACTAGTGCTTTGGTAGTGTTATCCAATATATATCATACACTACAAACTTATTATGTCTTGTTAGGCAATGCCATATATATCATCATATGATGTCAAGCTACATAGCAGCTAGTTGAAAGAATACAATATAAGATTTGAATTTTTGAATGCAGAGCAGTCAACAGCGAGATATATGTAGTACTGTACTTTAGGTGACATCATGGTCATAATCCCAAGGACAAGATAAGTGAATTGGTAAGATAAAATAATGAGAAACTAAGAAGTCACAGGAAGATACAATGATCTCAAATCACCCCTATGCCACCCATCCCACAGGTTTGTACTCCGGCATGAGACAACTTGCCTTTGTAACTCTCTGTGCCCATGCATCTTCCTCACGCTTCAAGAGTAACAGGAGTTGAGTGTACTAGCGGACGTGAGTCCGCGCCGCAAGATAGCTTGAATACACGCTGTCAATGCTTAACTTGGTGAATAATGTATCCTGCTCATCATCTTCTATGTTGATTCTGTCAAGCACCATCTAAAATAAACTCAGAGCTCGCTGCTAAGCGAAACCATGAGATTCTTGTACCATATATGTATGCATCCCTTGTTTTCACTCAGCACTTTCGATGTTTGAAAATTGAACATGGACTTCAGAAAAGTCATCACTGCTGACATGACTCGGAAAAGAATCTTGGGCGCTTTGGGGTGATAATGATGGCATTGATGATGGCATTTTGATAAGTCTAAGTAGAAAAACTTCAATCAACATCTATTTAAATATTTAAATGAGAATTTGATCAGAGCATTTGGTGTTTTAAAATTCCACTCACAAATGCAATTGACAGTCAATTATCCTGCTGCTGCTGTCTGGGGTCATGTCCTTCTCAGTTGGGTATTGCGTGATATGGTAACAGTGGCAACTTGCATGAACCTACTAAGTTTCTTTTCTGTACATTGTGGAATGAGAATTGAATGCATCATGAGGAAGGTCAACATTGAGCTCAGTTTTGAGCACATATAGAGCCTCTAATGAACTGAGGGAGCCAAGGCTGAGGAATTTGAAGTCAGAATGATCTTGTAGTCAGGAGGCTGAGTACCTATGCAAAGATATGATCTCATGCGGATCTGTATGTCATCTTCAGACACCATAGTTTCCAGTGAAGATGGGCTGAAATTACCAGAGTTACTTTTCTGCACATTACCTGCACTTTGTGTACTGGTTAAATTGGTTCAATTTCGTATCTGTGCAGGGGCAAAGCCTGTTGCACTTACAATGCTAGAGCAAGACCACCCATGTGCACACACTTAGATTGAATGTCTTTCAACACAACAAGGCTCTTGGTCTTGGACAGCATAAACTTGGCAAGAACGATGTTCTCAAAGGACATCCACAACCCATGATAATGAAGAGCGCACAATATTTGTTGTGATCAATGAACTCGGAGAGCATCTGAAATGACTTTGCATTGCTGTAGAGATAAGCATAGCCAATATTGCCTTGCGTATTTGCTAGGAATACAATGAAGTGGAGGAGGGTGTCAGCGAAGATGAGATAGGTGGTGAAGAGGAGTCATGAGGCATCTGGAATGACCCTGCCTTGCTGTAGATATAAGCATAGCTGATATCGCCTTGCATATTTTCGAGGAATTCAATGGAGTAGATGAGGGTGTTGGCAAAGATAGGATGAGCGATGAAGAAGAGTTGCAGGGCATCTGGAAGCTTGACCTGAGCTATACCCAATCGTGCTGGCAGTCTGAGACTGGATTGTGTAATACTTCACAGAGTATTCAACAACAAGAGGGAAGACAGCTTCATATAGTGTTCGACCTCTGCTCAAAATTTCTTCTGTGAACCAATTTCCGAAACACTAAGTTTGGGAATGAGGCTGAATTCATTATCAAGACTAGCAGCAATCACCTTGGTAAATTGAAAACATATTTTCCACTGGCATGAGACAGTTCATTCACAGATTGCAGTCTGGATGCCACAGTAAATAAGCCAGTACTATCTTCCTGAATGGTGGCATGCATACATACAACATAGTTGACTCTAGATGGTTGCCTGCTGTGAGATATCTGCACCCAAATTGGGCACAAACTTAAAGAACCTCCAAGTCGTGGGATAAAGCCAAAAGTAAATGGCCAGGCCATCACGGCGATGGTGGATGAATATCATTACAGCCTGAGAGAGCTTTGTAACAAATGTGTCAATGAAATCAGAGCATAGCTTGAACGAGGCCATTTACCTTAAGCAAGTAGAACAAGGGTGCTCAACAAGTGATATGGATGAACTTGAAAGCCAGTGTGTCTTCCTATGATTACTAGTAGTACATACTACTAACTTGAACCAGGTTAACTTGAACTTGAAGGGTCCAGATGTGATAATGCCCTCACTGTGCTAGTCGCACTGGCAGCAGTATCTAGTGTTTAGAATAGACTTAGAGCTGCTGCCGCATCAGCCTGACTCAGACTCAGAGATGCTGCGGCGGCTGCAAAGTTTGAATGGTAATTGAAACAGTCAGTTGATGATTGAGAAGAAATAGTAGATGATATATTCACATTCTTCAAGTTTTGTGTCCAGCCTGAGGAGATGCTAATCAATGATGGTAAGGACTGTAAGTATCATCCGACTCAGACTCAAAGAGTCCAAAGTCCAACTTGAACCTGATGTGCTGCATTTATGATGATATCCAATGATGGCATGGGAAAATAGCACTCACAAGTGCCCGGTAAACGCTGACCGCTTCTGGTGAGAGTGTAACATCATGAAGTTCAAATTCTACTACCTCACCAAGCAAACCTTTGACAGAATGCTAAGCTTAATGTGAACCACACCTGCCGCAGCCTTTGACAGCATCTGAGTCACCAGTGTTGACTCCTTGCACAACCGTCCGCTGTGACATCATGATTGTCCCTCCCACCCCACTCACTAATTCCCCAACCTTTTACTTTTTGTATTGTTTTTAGTCATAATTGCGGCCATGCCTTGTCATGTAGCCCAGATTTTATGAAACTAGTCCAATCATAAACTCTGTGTGACCTAGTATGTCTATGTGCCAAGTCAATCACTGCCAGTTCGCTCATGCCAGAGGCTCCTGGTGATGTTCTACCCCCTCCATCTTGATCGACATTCTTTACATCATGATGTCCTCTAGCCGCTAGAGCCCATTTGGCAGGTATGCAGGGTCTGTTCAGTCACTATGACCTCAGAGGTCCAGAAAAAATTCAAGATAGAACTTATCATTATCCAATTTAAATAGGGTGCTACAAGGTTCAGACTGTCAAAGATAATATGTAATTTGTACTGCTACTCATGTCAGGCAGGTATAAACATCCTCGAGGCATTCAATGCATTGGCAGTATGGTGTTAATCTTAGCACCTCATTTAGATCACTGTTATCACCTGGACCTTGAAGTCTTCTAAGTAGTTCTAGCTATATCCGAGTTGGAGCCATGCCTCCAGGTAAGTTTTTCCATATCATTCAATACCGACCAAAAATTCAACCTGTACCATGACCACTTTAACTAGAGCACCGCCAAGTCCAACTGACCTTTGTCGAATGCGGCACCCTGAAGGTGTCACATTAATTGAAGATACAGAGGAAGAAGAGACAGTAATACAGTAAGGGCACCTACATGAGCAGCTCGAATGACACTAGCAGCTTTCGCCATTATATTCCGCCTGCCGTGGCCCCACTGTCTCAAAACTCCACCCAACCATCCCTCCTACTGCAACCATTGGACTCACTATCAATACCACCACCCCCCAAATTATCACTGCCACCTCCCAAATTGCCATTGCCACCTCCATCACCACCAATGTCTCTTGAAGTTCTGCCAGTGCCTCTGTCATTTCCAGAATCTTCCGAACTCCTACTCGCACCAATTGTGGCCATGCCACCATCTCCAGTCATGCACGTTGTAACTGCCTCAGCCTTGGTGTCTGTGCCAGACACAAGTCACAATGACTGTGGTCAAGTTGTCCCAACAGTAGAGTCTGAAGATTTGGAGTGGGTAAAGGAGCGACCTGAAGTTGATGCAAAGTGGGACACCACCCACAAGCACCTTTGGGCCAATTGGACTACTTGTCTGGATGATTAGCTTGCATTGGTGATTCACTACAGCTAGTAGTGCTGCATAGATTTATGGAGCCCCAGAGAACTTGCTAGTTACTAATACACCAGACTGTTCTCAGAGCTTTCAATGATGTTCAAAGCTTTTTGACTCCATTCAAATTTGGGAAGTCTGGTCTAGGTTTAGTCAACTGCCTGTGATTTAGTCATGTGACTGTTTGTGCACATCCTCTGCTGCTGGTCCATGTGAGCTGGCAACCGGCACTTGCCATATTTGATTTCCAATTTCCAAAAGATCGATATCATTTAGTTATCTCTTCCGGGGCTTCCACGCCTGACTGACCTCACTGTGCCACACACACAAACCAACGCTCAGCATTCACCACTTAGCATCTTACACCATGCCTAATGCAGTAGTTCAAGCTGACAAGACCTTTTATTACAGCTCTTTTGGTGGAAAATCATCCAAACACTACAAGACTAGTATCATATCATCAAAGGCAGCACCTGTGCTCACTGAATGTGAGCACAAATCAAATATAATCAAACCAGCACCCTTACTTCCACCACCATCCAAGAAATATAGAAATCATGAAGGTGCATGCATCAGAAACCTGAAGGAGGGCATACAAGATACAAATTCAGTCAAGGATATCATTGACAATAGTGCCTGTCCATTGTGTGATAATGTTCTTCGCCAGTCCTTCCATTCTGAACTCCTTACCCCCAGTATGTCCCATGATGAGTGAGGTGTTTTGGGTTATGTTCTGATTGGGTTGAAGCTGCAAGGAAAGTGTTAAGATATTTAATTCTACCAACTCATAGTCAAAGCCTCATGGTAAGTTGTCCTGTGAGCCCAGCACTAACATGCTTACCAAATATGATAGGAATTTCCTAGTGTGGGACCGCGAGAATTCAAATTGATCGAACATGCGGTAGGAGAGACAGACCAAATCATGAGGAAACCCAGGTGAGTCAAACAATCTATCTTGAGTAATGCTTAACTTGGCCAGGCTTTCTTATGACTACCATGAACATCTACTCATCATTGACATGCCCAGCATCCTGCACGAAAGGTTCTTTGATCATTTGAAGGATGCCATGGCTGCATACTTTCTCTTCCTACCCTACGATTGCGAGCTCATCTCTCCCATCCTCTCCATGAACTATTCACTAAAGCTGAGAGATTGAACAGTTACACCTGATCTCACCATGACCCTCACTGTGATGGATGAAGCTCCAAAAGCAGTGCTTGTTCCATCTGTAGGCAAATGTGCCTTATCTGAGAACAGGGTGCATGTATTTGCCAAAGTAGAGGATGAGGTCATTGCGCATCCAGAAGCCATATTAGCAATCATAGTCATTATCCACGAAGCGATTACCTACCAGTGTCCTACAGACATTTCAGTCACATCAATTTCACTCCATAATGGTCACCACAATCCCAAACCGCTTTCTCTCGCTGATTTCCTTCAGTTATTCTCTACACCACAAGGGTTCAACCAGCCAATCAGGGTCGCTGATCATGACTGGACTCACCTGGATTCTGTGGAGTCTTTTGTATGGGTGAAAGGTGACGGGGAGGGGCAACTGTACCAACAATGGTTGAGGGTGGTTTGCTGAAGTAATTTTGAAATCTTGAATAGGCCTTCCTATGCTAGTAAGAAGTGGGCAAATTTCGCTATAGCTCATCAGCAAAATTTCGAAGGTATTAAATAGTGAGGAATGGAGGCTGTGTACAGGTTAGTACTTTCCACCATCTGTCTAACATGGAAATGTTAGTCACAAGTTGTACCACGGGATCCCGAAGGAGACCTGTTTCCTATCACCCATCACAGTTGTAAGAACTGACGGGGCTCTCGCTGCAAGTTCAAGAGGGGTGTGGAGACCGAGACGTGAATATGAATCTGAGATTAATATATGAGAGATAGACTGAAACTAATGAGTGCGAGATGAAGTGACTTGAATGAGTGGATTTTATTGCCTCAACAGTCGCAAATGTGCATGGCCATTATATACCTCAAATACTAAGGGTCCTTGGGTATGAATGATTAGGTGAAAACGGGGCAGAAGGGATGTGGTGTTGCGCCTGACAGGGTAAGGTAGAGCACAGAGACAGAGTAGGAAATATTAAGAGAGTGGCGATATGAATGATTATGTTTTTGACAGAATTGGGAATGGTGAACTGAGAATAGTGACGAAAGGCAGCTGAGGGTCGAGAGTGCCCAAAAATACAGAGTCGAGATCGTTGTTGGCGGCATGCTGATGGTGGTCAAGGTAAGCGTTGAGACGGCTATCTCCATCTTCAGACGATTGGTAATCCTTACACAGTGCATAAATAGGTTAAACACATGTTTCCTATACTTAGAATTGTTTCACATGTCACAAATGACATCGGCTTCCCGCTGTCATGGAATATTCATAGAAGCAATTAGTTGGACTTCCACACTGTCATAGATAAGCTAAATCAAGGTTCCTCTCAGAAGAATTAGGTACTGCATAGACAATAAAGAAAGGCTAACCATCAAACCCATGCTAATTAAAGCATAGGCTTCCTGTGAGACCAACCAGAAGGAATCACCCTTCCAGCCTTCACAGGGACGTACCCAAAGGTCGGTCCAATGGTCTTTATCTCCCAGCTATCTAAACCCTAACCCTAAGGCTCGGGTGCTGGCTCCGAAGGAACATCTTTAGTTTCCCACATCTCTTCGGGTCCCTCCAAAAAAGCTAATCTTAGATGTGACGCATCTGTGAGAACTTGTCATGTGGTCATCACATGATGAATAGTTTCCTGTGAAACATCCCAACACCTCCAAAATATTTCAAAAAAATACCTGTAGGAACAAGTCGACATGGCGAAGCCACTCAAGACTTGTGATGAAAGGGATCTGCAAAAAGTGTTAGTGATCTGCTGCTCACCCTTCAACTAGGGATAAGACTAAGATAGGTACATTTAACATACTTTTTTTAGTTAAAAAAGACTGTATTGATTTTAGGGCACTTTCCCATAACCTGGGAGAATTATATTAATAGAGGGACTTTTATTTATGCATCCTTGTCCGTGAGGATTTCAGCAATTTCATCATCGAAACTGCAAAGGGTATCGGAGAGAACCAACTTTTTCCATGTGTTAGTAAGATTGAACATGTTATGTGTTTGTTTCCTAGAAACCAAGAATCTTCTATCACATAGACCAGCTTTGAAAATATCGAAGGACCTCCCAGTGTAGCGATGGTCGCAGTGTTGGGCTCAAAACCATGTATTTCCATACTCACGCCAACACCCAAAACATATGTGCACATGTCCAACACACTTTCACACATGTCCGAGCCACTCTGTATCGGATCCGGCGCATTGGACCTTCGGACATCGCATTGGCCGATCGCACTTCGTGTGCACTTGTCCATCCTGTGTCCTGTCCATCCGAACTAGCCTCACTAGGTGCGTAGTTATTTTCGTGCACATTTTCTGACATTTGTACCGCGTTATTACATGTCTGCAGCACCTCATGTCTTATTACATAGGACATTGGACCCGAAATATATTGCTACTATCTTTGCCTGTAGTTTTCCGAATTGCTATGTACTTACTTAAATACTCTGTAGTTACCCGTAGCAATCATCATCCAGTAGTTAGGGGCCATTTCCCGACTCTGCGGATCACCCAGAATATTCTCGTAGTTCTTAGTTGCATTGCGAAATATTACCATTCGTTCAGCGTCATACTCCGTCACTTGTTATACTCGCGCATACTGCTCGCAACCCGACACTCGTTATAAAGTTTCCGACTCATTATTGTGAAGTCTGAAAGTCCGAAATCTCGGACATCGCACTTTGGCTTCGGACATTGGATAAGTACCTTCAGACATTGTTTCGCACCATCGGACATGTTATTTGCATTACTGACGCATTCTTACTACTAATACCAATTAGCAATCCCTTTAGGATCGAACACACTTGCTCTGCAAGTATAGCAGCATAGGTCATGCTAAAGATCTACTTAAATATTTGTTGTCTAGGTAGTACAATTTCTGCTGAGCCCAGCAGAGATCAGCTTTCTACACCGGTGAGGAAGTCCGACATCCACTCCTTAGGAGCAGATGAAGGTTCTGGCCGAAGCCACTCCTCAAGGGGTTTTCCCACAGATTTTTGAAGCTCTCTCTGTTGTTTGTATTTCTCGAACAGGTGAGAGCACCAGGTACTAGTAATAGTTTCTCCAAGCTCGTGGACATTGAATAGTGTCCATACTGCATTAAACTCAGATTTAAGGACTAAGACATCTGTTTGGCCTGCATTTCCATTGCTTAGATGGTTGTTCCAACATTTAGTGTAATTGTCCTTAATCCAGTGTTCCAGAAGACTGTTAGGGTAACCCCTGTGAATATACAACAGTTTTAGGCCATGTATAGACTCTGAATATCTGTTGAAAATGGAGTTCAGAGTCGCCAGTCTTGCCATCTCCCCAATAAAGGTACCCTTTTTAATATCTTTTGGGTGGTGAGATGACCATGGTACTTGTTTGAGGTGGTTAAGTTTCTTATGATAAGGCTTATGTTCAACTCGGCCAGTGAAGGTGTCAACATAAATAAGCATGTCCAGAAAAGGTACATTGTACTTAGAAACTTCCCACATGAGTTAGATATGTTCAGAATCCAGATCGTCGAGTGGGATTCATTTAGCGATGCTTAATGCTTCATCAGCAGATGTTGCGTAAACGATCATGAACATGTCGTCTATGTATCTACGATAGAATGCCACTTTATCTCTGAGTATATGGTTGGATTCAAAGCAGTGGTCTTCAAAGTAGGCACCCCATAAATTTGCAATGTCGGAGGAGCAAGCGACTCCCATAGCAAGACCTTGCAATTGGCGGTAGATGACACCATCAAATTCACATAAAAGGTTATAATTAGCCAACCGAATCACATGGTTAAAAACTTCTTTTTCCTCCTTGGATTTGTTCAGGTAACACAAGTCATAGATCTGTATTATTAGATCTATGGTACGATCAAGTGGTAGCAATGGGTAAAATGCTACGACATTGCCTGTAACCAGGAACTTCTTATAGTAGGGGCTAATAGGTGCCTTTGCTAATTCTTGCGCTAATTGCTTGGTTCCTTTGAGAACATGTTTAGCGTGTTTGATAAGCAGTTTAAGGCATTTGATACATATTTAGCAGCAGGTGCTTGGGCATAGGAATGGCACAGTACAATTGGTCTAAATTTAACTGGTTCCTTATGTATTTTAGGAATTCCATAGAACCGAGGAATTAATGGTTTGGCCTCAATATCTTCAGGACATTTAGATATCAAGAATTCGCACAATTGTTCGGTTGCTCCAGTGGTCCCTGCAAGGTTAGCGAGCTTCTGAATTTCTGTTACAGTATCATCAAGAATGAGTTGATGTTCTGCCAGAGAGATTATTTCATAATTATTCTGGTCGTTAAGACATTCTTTGCAACCATCTATGAACCATTGTCTCGTGACTATCACACAGCCAAGATTCTTGTCAGTCATTGTTACAATGTAGTTACATGCAGATAACATGGCTTCGAGGCAGGTCAGATCTAAAAACTGAGACTTATAGGGTTTGAAGATCTTGCTAGAGGGCCTGAAGCAGGACACGTGTTGTTCCACAAACTTCTTCCCTGAAGCAAGACCTGCTTCAATGTACATTCCAAGTAATGCATCTCCATTTTTCAAGGATGATGCAATTCGTAGTCTGAGTCATAGTCGATGGGCACTTCTTCAAGTTGTGCCATTGCCATTTGTTTCATAAAGTAAAATTTCTATCTTAGACATTGACAGAAGTCTTTATATGCATTTACAATTAATGAGTCGTCATAATGACGAAATAGCAGATATTGTAGTCCTACTCCGAGTTGTCTTCTAATAGTGAAGTCCAAAACCATGCTAGGTCCTACATGTACATCCCCATGAATCTTCGCAGCAGAAATAACATCTTTTGGTGCAATGGAGAGTAGTAGTGAAATCGCTAAAGGAACTGGAACTTTTAGTAAGGAATTGGGATACATGGTTGGATTACTGTACTTTACATTATTTGATTATGGGTGAAAGGTGACAACCAAACCCAAATTGACATGTGCAACACTGATCTGCAGTTCATGGCCCACAGCGTAAGTTACTATGATTCTCCTTGTGGCATCAAATCTAACTAATGAAACATTACACAGATGTTGGGGTCGGTCTTGCAGATGGATAGTGTCAGTACTATGCTCCAAAGGGGGATGGATAAGATTAGGGACATGATGGTCTGGTTCTCAAAAAACCTCAATTGGACCAAAGATTTCTCTAAGCTAGAAGAAGCTGATGTTAAGTTACCCTTGAACTGGAGCCTCACTGCAAAGTCTGCCCTGACCGTGGCTGATCTTACTGCTCATGAGTGCCATGAGTCCTGGCATGATGTGCAGTTCAAAGGTGCCAAATGCACCAAGCAGAATCGTGATCCAACTTATTGTCCTTCAGAGTTGGATGATGGCTCATCAGAGTTGGCTACTCCTGCCACTCGTACACGCTCCTGGGCCCATCGTACATGTCTCCTCAAGTGCATGAGCACCTTCCTGCCTCCCCCGCACAAGTCTATGAAAATGAAGAAAGCTCAGAATACTGGTGTGTGACTCAGACTAGAGGTTAGCACTTTGATTAGCATCATATCTGGTAGATGATTTGTTCAGAACACCGAGCAGGCATGGTTGAAATCTTGATTTGTACTACTAGTCTTATGTTTCTCAGATTTTGGTTTTTTACGTGTATGCCGTGTAGCTATAGATAGCATCAACTACTACTACATAGTAGTAGTTGTACTATACATCACTGCATGCAACAAACTGTAACTTTACACAAAGAACAAGCTTCAGCTTGACATCTCAAACCTGAAGGATATTTTCCCACATTCATTTTTCATTGAAGTTTCTACATGACTATGGTAACCTTCCAGGCTGGAATTTGGAAGTAATCTCAAGGGATTAACTTGGGATAAGTACGGTACATGCTTTGTGCACATTGTGAGACAATTCAGTGTGATTATTTAATAGTAATGATAGTCGTACAGTGTCTACTTGGCGTTCCCGGTAGAAATAAGGCTGCTCTCTCAGACTTGACGGACAAGTCGCACCCCCCTACAATGCTGCGTCACAGCACTGCTCAAGAATTCTTCACCACAATAGTCACATTTGAAGGATGTCATATAGCAAAGTGTTGTGATGTGGCGGCCCAACTTCTCTGAGTGCATCGACAATGGATTGGAGCAACCCTTAAACTTACAGGGAGCCTGTGACCTAGCACGTCAACCCTGCAGGGAGGTCTTTTGTAACAGTGGGAGACTGCCACAATGGGAATCGTCAATCACCATTACACCATCGCGTGCATCCAAGTTGCAAACTCTGCCAAAAGCTGTGAGCTCAAGTTAATGTTCTGGATGACGCGAAAATACATACGGTTGCTGCGAGGATAGTGGAAATGCCAGAGGCTCAGGCATATGGTATGGCAGCAATCCATACTGATAGGACCTTGCCAGACAGACTTGGGAGTCGTCTTACTATGTGTGCGGGAGGTTCATTTGATTCAAGAATAGACCCATTAACAAAACCACAGATTGACCTACAACACCTGACTCTTGAACACTGACCTGTTGCTGGAATCTACAGTTGCTTGCCCACTATTGTATGATGGATGAAATATGGAAGATATTGTTAGCATATGAAGTGACTGTGTTGACAAGGGAGTGAACTTACTGAGACATATTCATGAATTCAAGATTAATGTGGATTTAACTTATAACAGTATTGCTGGGAAGACTCCTGAACCGATGATTTGAGAAAGACTTTGAAGTTGAATGAGTTGGCGCAGAGAAATCCAGTTCAACCTGACGTCACTCACCTATCGCTATTTTTGCAGTTTGAGAGAACTAGTCCCCCTCTGGCTGCTTTTGCTTTAAAGTTCTAGAGCATTGTTGATCGTGGTGAAGAAGCTGGTAGTCATCTAATATTTTGATGTGTTGACGTGTTATTTGGTGGGGACGTGACATCTCTGTGTGAATTCATGTCTTAACTGTGTTCCGAGTCTGACTTGGAGTCAACCGGAGGTGCAGCCTGCCAGCCTGCATAATAAGTACATATCATATGAGTCGTGTTCATCAGCGCTGAACGGAGGTGACATCATCTATTTTTTTCCACATCTAACTGTCCTCACTCAAGTCTTGTTGGAATGCAGACAATGAGGATTTCAAGTTAGCCAGCAAAACGAGGCCCCCAGTAGATTATAAACACTGATCTCATCATGCAAGAAAACTTAATGCTCAAGAAATATTGGCCATATTGGCATTTGATTACAGGTGGTTTGAAGGCAACTCCATGGAATTAAGTCCATGGGAGTTCTCTGCTATCCTGTTAGGTACACTTTGGATACCAAACAGTATCCGAATTAGTGGCCATGTCATGGTCCTACCAAGTGGATGAACTTCAAGACGACTCAGACTCTCTAAATATCACACTGATGTCAATTCACCATTATACCATTTGTGCAATGCAACTCACCGAACCTGTAACTGAAGTCTGAGTAGGCAATTTTGTTCTGTTTGCACCTTGGGTAAATTCAGCCTGATAAGTTTGAATTTCTGACTCATCCGAGTCACAGATGAGCCTACTCCAAGTCCAAGTCTGGGTCTGGGAGTCTCAGCAGCTGCCAGTGATCAATGTTGGAATGACTCATGGCAATGACTCTTCAAGGGTAGGATATTCCGATGGTATCATTGTGAGTGCCCAGTGTTCGCTATAGATAATTGTTTTGTGTTCTACTGTATGTCATGGTAGCTCAAGCCCTTATAACCCTTCAATGGGACCGACTTCCTGATCATTTTGACTGCAAGCCAGTGGTTTTGACAGGTCTATTGGCCTCCATGTTCCTGTTTGGACTTTCAAAAAACCTTCACCGGTACTGCCAGTAAGGTTCGGGAATCACACTCTGATTGAAAATTTAATGGTTTTATTGGTTGTTTAGTTATGTATCGTGCAGAGCACCAAACAGCAACAGTGGTATCACCAAGAGTATGATGATAGATACCACAGATTCCAGCAACCGAGCTTAGGTATTCAGTTCTTTGCCTTTTCTGTGGATGACCAGGAATACACTTGCCAACTCAGAGTAGAGTCCCACGTGTTGTTTTGTGTACTCCGTTTTTGTGCACTTCACCGCATCAATATGGTAAGTCAGACAGAACTCACTTTCAATTAATCTAATCAATGTCTACTAGAACACAGACCCAAACTATTGGCAATGGTCTAGTACATCAAGTGAGTTATTGATTGTCCAGACTTCAGTCAATCGCTGATTCTTTACCCAGTTCTATCTGTTGTCCACTATGACAGTTGGTGTCATCTTACCCCTCTTCAGGTTGATTGAGCAATCTGGGCACACTAGTATGTTATGTACCATATTTTTTGAACAGTGAACTCACTTAAAACCACATTGTAGTTGCACCCCCCATCATATCCACATTAGGCATTGCCCTATATGTTTCAACGTTTAGCGAGCAAGTATATAATGGTCTGGGTAAGTTTTCTGAGTCTCCAAATCTCCGAGTCCCCTTCATATTCTTTTTAGTTACCTTCATCATCGCTCACTCATCATTCTCTATTTTTCACTTCTACCATGTCTGTGTCAGGAGCTGATCATCAGGCTGGGTTGCAAGGCCTGCCACTTCCAGACCCTTCTGGGGTAGTCCCTACCTCTACAGAAGCAAGGGCAAAATGTCACATAGCTGCATTGGAAGGGGGACTGGAAAATATGAGGCAAGAGAGATAAATCAAACAGAGGTTTGACACATATCACTTTGCTCGTTTTGTGCTTGTTGCTTACCTTTCTTAAAAGAAAGACAACTTACTATGTTGCTCAAGGTCGAGTGATTCATCGCATGGTCATCCTTTACACCAGCTTGGAAGACTTGATCACTGAGAACAATTGCAGATACGAGGAGGGCCTGGAGGAGAACACTGCAGAGTAAGCCATTTGCTTTTTCGTTCTATAACTGCTAGTTCATTTCTATTTTTCAGACAAGATCGCTTGCAGCATGGTTACATTGTACTCATGCAGGTTCTCCCATGGCTACATGCAAAACTTGGACAACTCGATATCAACAAATGTCAAGATATGCTGAAACAGGTCTGCATTCTCAGTTTCAAAGCTTTTCCTCCTCCGTACTGATGACACTAGCTCAAAAGAGGAGTGGATGCAGCCCATGGTGACGATACATCCACTCTCAAGGATCTCGTCGCTTCATGGATTAATCAAGATTTTCAACCGTCTTCTCTACTGAAATCTGATAATAAGCTGATGTGTGGCTTTGTACACGACATCTGTGGGAAGTTATTGTGCCCTTCAGAGTGGCACTGGGGTGATAACGCATGAGTGTCTGCCTTCATCGGCTATTAGATAACCCTGATGATTTGACAGGGTGAAAGCTGGTATCCGCGACAGAACAGTAGATTACATTGTATCGGAAAACTCCTGGCTGCTATTCTTGTATGAGAAATACACAGTCAGCTATGGCAACCTCGAGCAAGGCCTCTTTAAGTCCAAGATTCTGGTTCAGGTCAGTCGCCTGGGCAATAATGATCATACTAATAATTACTGGGTTAGGCTTTTAAAGCTATTTTCACATCTCCCTCTTCTGCAAGAGAAGCTGATGGAGACAGCGATGGAGCAGACATCCTCAAAAACAATAGGTGTGTCCAGTGACAGTTAAATAAGGCCAAGGTTAAAACCTGTGTGGCTTTCATCATTAACATGAGCAAGGTCACTCCTTGCTCCATAGCCTATGTTGTATGCCAAGTGAGTAGAAATTGTTACCCACCATCAAAGCCTCACATGCAATAAGGTTCATTTCGCGCTGTCCAACATCTCATCTTGGTGCACCATTTATGGCGACTTTGACTATGAAGCATTTTGGAATAATGTGGTGGACTTTTTCAAGGATCTCCCAGGGCCTGTTGCACAAAGTAGGGTGAACCAACTTCTCGAATGGTGGACTAGGTATATTCTGCCTTACGGCGTACATAAGAGATATCTGACATTATTATTTAGGAAAGTTTTTGGAAATAACCATCGTCAAGACCTGACACCAGAGGTCGTATCTCATATGTCTGTCACCACACTCGCCCAACAGAGAAAGGCGCTGGAGGATGCTGTTTTTGACTCAGACTGATTCGATATTCATTTTATCTTTCGCCATTGTAGTATATACCCCATACAATGATGCAATCATAATTTTCATATTCTGGCGCTCTAAATATTCATTGATAATTGTAATACTGATATATGGTACTGTTCAGCGTGTCATCTACTACCAAACTTGTTCTTGGTTCCAATCCAGCTAAGTTATAGGGACCATATCTATGTATCCAACTTTCTTTATGATGGTGACGACAAACATGCAACGTTCAACAAGTAGAAACCCCCTGGTGGAGGAAGTCACTTGCAATCCCTGAGTTGATAGCATTAGTTGACAGTCCCAAATGTCAGGGCACATTGTTTCCATAATGGAGCTGTAGCAGACATGAGAACATCAAAATACATCTCTTGCCGAATAAATTATTAGTGGTACCTCACAAACTCCTTGCAAAATCATTATCTTGTTATTCAGGCCCCAAGGGATGACTTAATATTGCACATCTGATTTGTTGCAACAGGCCGATTGGTGGAACAGAGCAATAATTTTTATCACCATTATTTGTCCATGCCAAATTTGCTGATGCTGACCAGAATGAACCGACCTGCGCCAGGAGGGCAATTCCAGAACCATGCACCTTCTAGTTGATTGCTGGCAGGCTTTCTGGCCAAAGATTTTCCCATTCCTGTTTAGAGCTGGTGCCAATTTGACAGTCTTTAGTTTGAGGTTTAGCATCTGCTGCGTCTTCAAGACGGGCTTGTGTCATATCAATTGTATGAAGCATGTATCAAAGTCACAGTAGTGCATTGCATCTGTTTCACAATCAAATTGCCAAAATTTCTAGATCAGATGTAACGGCTCATAAACTAAAATGCACTCACTAGTTGTGCTGGTGCGTGACAGCTTGAACGACTTTGCAATTAGTGGTGCCAAAGTCCGGTTCGGTTCGGTTCTTAGGCCTCTAAATGCGAACGCTGAACTGGACCATCGGTCGCGTTCAGGCAAGGAGGACGAACGCTGGACCGGACGCTGATGAACGCGTTCACAAGCGTTCGGTTCAAGTTCAGAACGTGTTTGAACACTCGAACGCTACATATAAATTGACAAAAATTGCAAGAAATACATGAACAGTAAATGAGTAGCTAAATTTCGTCCATGGCAGAGTGCTCGTGAGCAGCAGCAAACTCAGCTTGAACCATTGCGGAAATATGGCCTTGACAGTACCCAGTTCTCAACAGCTCACACCACCAGCCGTCTTCGGGTTCTTGGGTGTGCGGATTGATGTGTCCCTTCTCCTGAGTAAATACTACCTTCAAATCCCCACTGCGCTCCTCTTTCTTCTTATGCTTGCGATCCTCACGATCCTTGTCTCCAAATACCTTGGTCTGCTCGTAAGCTTCTTCGGCCTCTTCTTCATCATCTGAGCAATCTTCTAGTGCAGGGGGTTCGTCGTCATCATCATCGTGGGACCCACATTGCACTCGCTTGGGTGCGGGCTGTCCTTGGGGAGGCACTGGAGCCACTCGTTTGGCAGCTTTGGCTGGAGCTGTGTTGCCAGCATTGCGGATTTTTTCTGTCGGTTTAACGGCTCGGCCTGAGCGAGACACGAAGGCAGTTAGCTTGCCATTGGATGCAGGAGGCGGAGGTGGAGCAAGCATGGGGGTGTCATCGTCGGGATCATTGTACCAATCAATGGCGCTAGCGTCTTTGAGTTGGCCATTGGATCCAAGTGCGCAAGACATTCTCGCAGCCAGAAGGGTGAATATTGTACCTGTAGTAGCTCATTTATACCAAAATTTGTGGTTAGAGATTAGAAAAATGCGATGCACCTTGAACATATTGTTGCCATGCAATGACTGCAACAGTTGATTGATCGTTGTAAGCAAAGCAAGTACCTGAACGAGCATCCCAAAGATATGTTCTGAACATAGATTAAATTATAATCCTAATAACGATTAACATAGGGCTTATCAAAACGTTGAATAGATCACAGAGGAAGTCAGACGTCACTAACAGAAATGCATTCAGTCTTTTGGTCGTGAAGTAAGAGCCGTTCTGGAGATCAATGCTCCCAGAACTGCCAATGGCCATATGAGTTTGTTGCCAGGTGATCAGAAAAAATATTAGGATAGATGGATAGCAATAAGCTGAGGACCTCAAGCGGATCATAGACAGAAGGAAAGAACCGTTCGAACGTGTTCGAACGGGTCCAGACGGGTTCACAAATCTGAGGCATCAGCCGAACGCTGAACCTAATAATAGGTTCGGTTCTTACCATAGGCTGAACCTCGGACCGAACGGACAGTCCGGTTCGGAAGGGTTCACGTTCGAACCGAAGTTCCAAACTGGACTCCGGCATCACTATTTGCAATGCTGATCGCTAAATCACATATATTCAAATGAGGAATCTTTTCCGGTGACTGTCATGTTAAGTGACATGTATTTTGATGTTCTAACACCTTCCATGATTCCTGCGCACACCAAATGCACTAGTTGTGTTGAAACTTGCAGAATGCTGCTTTGACGGTGGACGCATGACTTTCGTAATCTATAGTAGAGGATTCAGCAGCATGGCAATATTTGTTCGATTCAGCAATCTATAACCACCAGCTTACTAATATTAATCAACCCTGACTGTGAAAAGCAGAAGTCACCGGCAATATTATCGCCTATTCCCGGTGTTATACATTGACCGCACTCTGAAAAGCAGTACCGGAAGTGCATCATTAACAAGATATATTGGTGATGGAGGTGACGTTAGCTAGACGCAGGACCCCGCGTGAACGCGATCAGTAAGAAGAATTGCAGCTTTTGCGCTAGGCATTTTATATATATTTAATCATCCATTGATGGAAGAACTTCGTGCCAATGATCGGTGGCAACTTGTGCAATATCTTGATACTTATGGACCTCTGTTTTGCTTTGTTGGCTTGAGTTACAGCTTTCCGTTACACGACAATTCAAATAGAAGATAGTACATTCAGCGTAGGAGGACTGGCCCGGGGTTGGCTGGCTTGGAAATTCATCGTTACTATGTAAGGTCAAACATCTCTATGTAACTCCCACCGCCACCTTTATGGAGATTGTTGTGATTTTTAACTATATATAGTCAACTACAGCCTTACAATATGTTCATCGATTCACTGATGCAAACGGCACGCTTCCTTCATCTTCCAGGTGCAAACCCCATATGTAGGTAAGCATGTAATATAGCAGCGGATTTAGTAACGGAGATGACTCTAGTGCTTCTGGTACCAAGACAATGGCTGGTTGGAAATGCGAATGTTCAATAGTTCCACACCAGACCTTGCTGGCAATATGCTGGCGTTGTATATGCGTCATCAGTTTAAAGTCACATCCAGGCAACAGTAGTTCCAAAGAACAATATAAAAGCCAGTCGTCTTTTCACTATCGTCTTCAGAATAACCTGACCCTATATCACGTTGAGTTACAAACAATGCGTTTCTCCTCTGCAACCGTCCTCGTCGTCCTTGCTGCTTTAGCATCATCAATCTCTGCCATGCCTGCTATCATTGACGCGCATTCCGACAAATGTTTCAAGAGTTGCATTTCTGACTCGCAATGCGGCAGCTCAGACTGCCAATATCACTATTGCGTGCGTATCAGCATTTTCCCGGAATTGATAATATAACTTATTTACATGGCAGGTCGATTTTATGTGCACCGTGAGTCGTGTTTTGCTTCACATCGGTGGAGTATGGCCGTCGACGCTGACGCGCGAGTTACTAGTGATTTGCGGAGTTGATCAGCGCGCATCAGAAAAATGTCCGCTTACTACAGCTCTTTGCATGTTGGCGTGATATTTTCGTGAAATACAAGATGTTGTATAAACTTAGATAAAACGTGCGAGGACACATGAAAAATACTAGATGTCATTGAAGGCGCGTACAGACCAGTCCGTAACACAACCTCACACCATCTGACATAGATGGGCTACAATTACAATGTATGCGCCGATGAACTTATAGTAAAAAGACACCTATGTCCTGCATACCGTACATACAGGTTCCTACTCTAAAGTCTTTCAACAACACTCGATAATATCTATAAGATAGATATGCAAATATCTGGACGGAAAAGCTGTTTCAAGCCATGTTTTCCAATCATATCCGAGTCGTGAGCATATTGAATCATGAATCAACAATATATATTAATTCCTTGATAAGATGAGATGGTTGTCCCGGCAGGCTAAGTACATAACAAGTGCAGAATCGCCTTATATTTCAAGTACCTGTAGAATGTACATTCATAAGTATGAGTTTGTCTGTCGATTCCGAAGGATTCAAAGATCAGCTCAATTCCCATTGAAAAATGACATCAACCTCAGTCTTATTAAAGGTAGTCTCTTTGCATACAACATGTATCATCATGTAACCATAAGCCAAAATAACGAACGAAACACGCACACGACACATACATAAAGCACAATGTGACAAGAACATAACAGTCGGTTACAACAGACAGTCCCCAAGGTCCGTCATATCACCTCCAAGAGGGATAATAAAAGAGGGAGTGGTCCCACATACAATAATTACGATGAATGACGAATGGCAAAAAAGGTGCTTCTACATAGGTGCCATCACCACACGACAGGCCGTGCATACATGCCGCTTGGGTAAGGGGGAGCAGTGATAGGGGCCCATGAGGTCGGTGGTGGTGGTGGCGGCGGCGGAGCACTGGCTGGGACATACGGGTATGGATAACCCGGCGCGCGTGGAAGGTGATAGAAGGACCCAGACGGCGCGGGGGGCTGTGTGAGGAAGTGCGCATCTGAAAATGAGGATGATGTAGGGAACGACGGACGTGCAGCGCTGCTGGGCATCACTGCTTTGACGTTGGAAATATGCGATGGGAGCTCCATCCACCCATTTCTGCCTGGTGTGACAGGGTTTTCGGAGCTGAAGGGTGTTGAATCTGGATCAGAGTTGTTGCGGTCTCTGCCTTGCCTGGAGCCGGCACTCTCTTTCTCAACCCCGTCACTGCATGGTGTAGAAGGTCCTGGCGAGCTGTCGGACGATGATTTGGAGTGGTTCCGAGGCCTGCCTTTCTTGCTCGAAACAGGAGTGGATCTCATCTGGTCCACGATGACTCTGGTCTTGGAGGCCTTGCGCAACTGAACATCGGACAAGAACTGCGGGAGACGTGTCGATGACAGCCGCGAGCAAGGTCGAGAAGAATCAAGACGGGCACCAGACGGTGAGTCAGGTGGGGTGATTGAGGTGTAGAACCCTTGGTCATCCTTCTTCAGGCCTGGGGGAAGGTACTGGTAGTTACCGTTGATAGCTGGGAATACAAAGTTAACTGAGGTGGGAGACGAGCTCAAGTGTGAGTTTGAATCTGGTGAGGGGGATACCAAAAATTTGGGCAGCGGGCCTGATTTTGGGGTGAAAGCTCTTGCGAACCCATTAAGAGTCTTGGGTGGAGAAAGACCACGACCATCTAACACCGGGGAGTGCTGATGTACCTCGACATCGGAGAATGCACTCCTTTGTGTAGGTGTGGAAGGGAGCATATCAGAATCGGTAGATGGTTCTGAATCATATTCCAGCGAGGAAAGCGGAGACTGGGGACGGCGGCCTGAGGAGAAGGCATGAAAATGATTTGCAAGAAAAGCGTAAATCTCAAACGCACCGTCAATGTCGGAGGTGGATATGGCCCGGGATAATTGTATATCCCCGACTAGATCCTGAACAAGAGTAGCCCACTGAGACCTCGCAAACTCGACCTCCTCTTCGTCGACATCAACTGACAACTTCGTCCAACCAGTATACAATTCATCCAAGGTAATATCAGGCATGATAGAGTGAGTGAATCCGGAATCCAGTTCGTACGCCTTCAAGACGTCTTCTGCAACTTGAACGCCAATAAAATTGTGATTCAGTGGCTCGGAGAGTGGCCATTCGTTTGCAGGGTTATGAGGTAGGGTCGTCGGATCTTGAGAAGGTCCGAACGGTTTAGCTTTGCAAAGAACTGTATAACGCCGTCTTGGACGTGAGGTCCTAAGGAGGGAACCATGATAATGGGGTGGCTTTGGATGGGATACAGGTTTGACGGGGACACGACAGTATTGTGTGTCAAAAGACCAACTGACGGATCCATACCTGATCTCCCAGCAGGTAGAGGGCAAAACCTCCCAAACGCCTGTAGCTTGCTCGTTGTTGATGATCGTCTGCATAAAATTGAAGCCACAAAGGAAGCTTCAATTGAACTTGATGAAAGTTAGCAGAAGAGACTGAAAATAAAAGAATCGCACGAACAAAAGAACAAACGAGCATCCGGCAAAACGCGCAGCAGAAAAGATGAGCACAAGTCTCAGAACTAACAGCTTGCGGTAAGAGGAATGATTATCGGCTTTTTTATCCAACATGCAAAATCATCAATGGTCATATTGCTTCCGAAACCCCACCAAATCTATGGACTATTTTCCCACCCCGGAATATCTAAACAACCGTAAGTCTTCAATCGAGCTCATCGTCAAAAAAGTACTCACCTCCTGCAGACCAAGCTATCGCTCGTATTGGCGAGCCATCGCAATTGTCTAACTTGAGTGGCAGCAGGCTCACAATCGGATCCTTCAATTCCAGCACTCGTTCTATCCCCCGTAAATTCTCTGCAATCATCCCTCCCGCGCCTAGTATCGCTCTATGCACTTTGCACTCAGGTGAGCATACGTTGTCAGGGCTCAGCGTATCGCATCCAATTACTCTCACTCCCTTCTCAATAAGCTTCTTCGCCGCATCCAAATCCATGAACGGGTGTTCGTCGTAATTCTCCTTGCCCCAGTATTGCGACCACCCAGTGCATATGAGCACAATCACCCCTTCGTGCATCTTTCCCTCCCAATTTTGCATGTCCTCCCAGGTGATAATCTCACGTGCTTTCTTCCCCCTCACATCGATGACCAGCGCACGACCCACGAGTTTAGTCAAGTCGTACTTGTCCACTGTCAATCCGTCCGCAATGAAATGATTGGGCGCATCAATGTGAGTCCCCGTATGAGATCCAAGTGAAATAAGCGTCACGTTGGCATGCTGTTCCGGGATAGTAGAAACTTTTGTCATCTCCAGTGTTGGGTGCCCCGGCCATATCGACATCGGGGCTTCTGTCGATGTTGTCAGCGTGTGGGTGAGGTCAATCATCATCGCGGTTGCACCACACGAACTGTGGGAGCCAGCTGTCTCAGTTATGTATAGAATCCTATCATTTCGATATGACTAATTTACGACCAAGAGTCCACTTTACATATGATGCCAAGTGTGTACGTTAGGAAACATGAATCTCCGGACAGCGGTACGGCCTGCTGGCCAAAGTTCCGTGTGAGTTTTATGTCTTCATCGTGAAATTAGATGGGGAAAGCGGAGGTCACCAGATCCATATTATAATTTGTCTTCACGATAAGAACGTATATCGCTACCTACTTTTCTCCGTCCACCCGAACGCCCGTATAGGAGCCCCATCTGCTCCATGTAAACTCAGAGGTATAAGGCTCACCCATACCTCCTCAGAATCCTCACCTACAAGCTCCCCCAAATTCGTCAAATTCTCGCAAATCAAACAATCACGACCCAGAAGCACCTCATGCATCGCAAATGCATCATCCTTCTCCTTTCCTTCATCATGTACCAGAACAGTCTCATCAGGACTTAGCGTATCGACACCCACAAGCCGCACACCCATCTCCACAAGCTCCTCCGCGACATCTCTCCCAAAATACGGATGGTCGAAGTACTTCCGCTCGCTCCACCATCCATCCCACCCCGTCCGGAACAGTACCATATCGATCTTCCCTTCTGACCGCGGTCCAATCGTTCCACGAGTTCGATCGAAGCTCTCTCGCACATCCCTCCACTGAATGCACCCTCTCGCACGCGCTAGGTGCCTCACATCGATGATTATAGCACGCCCGACGAATCGCGAGAGAGAGAGCTCATGCAACTTCTGGCCGTGCGCGAAAAAGTGGAATGGCGCATCGACGTGTGTCCCTGTGTGCGTTCCGAACGAGACAGCGTGTACGCTGTATCCGTCAGTGGGGATGTTGCACACGCTGTGCATCGCGAAAGGTGGATCTCCGGGGTAGATAGTTGTCTGGGGTGTGAGAGGATGCGAGAGATCGATAAGGGATTCAGGAGGCATTTGTGAGGTCCTAGATGATGTTGCTGGCATGCACGAGAATAGATTGCTTAGATTGCAGTTTGATAAGTATCTCACATGACCTGTCACAGGGGCTATTCCAGAAGTGTTCTTGCACGTAAATAGATACAAGTGGGAGAGAATTATCAGTTGTTGTACTCATAAAATCCTCGACCGCTCTTCTTTCCAAGATACTGAGCATCCACCATACGCTCGAGCAACACCGAAGGGCGATACTTGGAATCCGAGGTACCCTTGTAGAGCGTCTGCTGAATAGAGAGGCAGGTATCAAGACCAATACTATCTCCCGATGAGCGACGCTAATAATCAAATGATTACACTTACAAATCAGCTATTAAAACCAGTGCGTGAGCATTAGAAAGATACAGCGACCTCGCTACAGTAACTCACCAAGTTGTAACGGCCCCATAGGATGTGCCATGCCCAACCTGAACGTCTTGTCGATATCATCACGAGTTGCAACGCCCTGGACACACGACACAAACATCAATAAAACCAAAAACCATCCATTAGTGTTGGATCATCACCTTCTCTAAGCACATGATCGCCTATAGTAAAATTAGATATACGACGTACAAACAACAGATAGAAGTATTCACCTCATTGATAAATGGCATAAGCAACGCGTTTGACACGAACCCAGGCACGTCCTGCGACGTAGCGACCTCTTAACGGTGCGTGAACAATGGAGCACAATGTATCCTGAGAAAAAAAATACCTTTCCCGCATGCCTCAGCGAATGCGCGTGAGCGGTCTAGCGTGTCTTGTGACGTCTGCACTGCAGATATGAGCTCCACGAGTTTCTGACAATCATACATGGCATTAACACGTCACTCAAAGCACAATAAACAATTGCGTCACCATAACAGGTACAGGGTTGAAAAAATGCAGACCTTAGAACGCCTGCCGTCAATCGATCACTGCCATACACCATCCCAAGCACTCACCAACCACCCTCCCAGATGCAGCCCTTGCCACCTCCCCTGCTGCGGATTCCCCCTCGGGAATAACAGCCCCTGCTATCTTCGTAATACTGATCGAAGACGTGTTCGTGGCCAAAATTGCATCCGGACGGATCTTCGCCGCAAATTCACGGAAGATAGCGCGTTTAAGATCTAGGTTCTCAGTTACGGCTTCTACGACCATATCTACATCGCGCATGGCTTCGAGGGAGTCAGCTGTTTGAATGCGTGCGCGCGCATCGGCTGCGTCGGACTGTTGGAGGCGGCCTTTAGACACGTCTTTGGCGAGGAGCTTGTCTATTAGGGAGAGACCTTTGGAGATTTGGTGTGCAGATTTGTCATGGAGGAGGACTGGGACTTTGGCATGGAGGGCGGATACGAAAGCAATGCCGGTGCCCATTTGGCCTGCACCGAGAACGCCTAGTCGTTTGATTCCGTGTGCGATGGACATCGTGGTTGAGGTAAGTGGAAGAGCCGAAATCACGTGTATTGGAGATGGCTAATATTTTGCTGTGACTCCGAAGCCCTGTGACATGCTTGCCGCCGCTGCGTTACATGTCCTGAACTTCTACCCAAACCTCCACTCGACCACACATCCAAAGCGGCGGCCATCATTTCCATCCCGCCCACGAAAAACCTTCAAAAATTTTAGTACAGGCGATGATATATTTATTATCCTGCCAAGTCATGCCTCAATTGCAAACTGCAAGACCACTTGCAATCACGAGGGTTAGCGGTCTACATTTCGACGAGTAACTAAGTATGTTATATCACAACTTCATTGTTCTCGGTATCTCGTATCTGATCCTTGATTTGAGAAGGGTCAAGCAAGGATCAAGTATGAGGTACTCATTAACGAGTTGAATTCAAATTCGAGCAGCGTTTACAGAGTAATGCAGACACCCCCGCAGCCATAGATCCAGTATGGGACTCATATTAGCATGTTTCCCGGAATTCTCGTACATTTGCCTGGACCTAGCCGTGCGATCTCAACGGCGAGTATGACTGGCTATCATATATGCACATACAACTCTCTTTCAAGATGTTTGGAGGTAAGGTTCGACAAGTTTACATTTGGTAAATTAACACCGCTAATACCTCGTAACCTCGTTCCAAGCGATAGCATATCAAAATATTACCAGTTTACCACCGAATCTGAGCCGGGCGGATGGAGGGATCTTCAAGGTACAATCATTGTGACATTCGGGCTCTCTACGAAAAGTATTCATATGGTTCAATCAGTAAATGTTAGTCGCGGAAGCGCGCCTTTTTATCGAGGCCAATATTTGGTGTTTCACTGGCAGCGTGAGGAAATGCACATTCTATAGCCGACACGCACCAAGTAACTTGAAGTATAGCGGCCGCGGTCCTCCTTTAGCTCAAATCACAGTCCCCTGTGTTGCGCTTTCAGACGTGAGTAATATGGCATTGTATAAACATCAGCATTGATCTGGTGTGTTTCTAATGACCACGATCCGTCATTCCTGAAGTGACTCGGACTCTGCCTCATACTTTTTATGGGGTCATGCCCGTGCGGCTCTCCACGGACTACGACGTTGATATCCCACCACCCTCTAATCGCAACCTCTCCCTGTCCCCTTTGTTGTACTGAGTCAAAGCATTTCTTTCCCTCACTCCTCCGCGCTGGAAACCAGCCATATATAATGCTATCATCGGAAATCGTTACATGTGTATCCCCCTGTACCATGACATTTTCTGTCTCCCCCTTGGAGGTTGTGAAAAACCCATATATGTCGAAGCAGATGCTCTGCGTTTCGTCGGCACCTTGCGAGATACTTACCGCGTGTCCAGAAACAAACTTGAGGAAAATACTTGCATCACACACCCTGAGGGCCATGGACACGCAAAGTTGAGTCTACGACACCATTGAGACCCATCGCACACATCCCCGTCGGGTATATAGCATCTCCACGCAGTCCCGGACAGCATCAACAAGGCCTGCTGTCACTCAAACGAGAGAAGTGATGATCAATTTTAGGGTGCGTGCAGTGCACACCGGTGACGGAGGTGGACATGGGCTCTCTGTATGAGATTTGAAGGCAGTACAGATGCCATGAACAAGCACATAAACATCATGCTTGAGTAGAGTAGGATGATAAACAGGTATTCATTTTAGGGTCCATGAGCAGGTTATCCCAAGGATCTGCAGACCTGAGAAAGATGCTTCGGTTCAGTTTGAAATAGAGGACCTTGATTGCTCACTTGTAACAAGATAGTAAATATTTGATATGCCTCTAAAGTATGCCCGAGAAGTGCGTTGTGCGGTGGTACACACGATGAGCTCGATATCAGGCGTGGATCCGTGCCTAAAAGTTGGCGTCCGTCAATATTCAGTAAGTATGTGAGCGCAAGGAACGCTCAATCAAAATTTGAAGCAATTGGGCCATGCCCCACAGTTGATATCGCAGGAGGTCTCGCATGAGAAAGTACGTGGACCGATGCCAGAAAACGAAGAGCGTATGGCGCCGCTAAGCCAGAGGTAATTAATTGGCTAAGGCATACCACAATTGCGTGTGAGACAATTTCCTTGGTCGCGTGCATAAAATGTGGGTCCGACTATGCCCCATCAGATTTGCTCGCAAACTTGATCCTTATTGCAGGTGGGATATTACTAGACTGTCAAAGAGGACCCTGGTGACACACGCGTGGTGACAACTGTCAAATTTGGAGGAGCGAGGACATCATGAGATACGCAGATTCATGTACCTTGTTTGTCTCCTTGCATGCCTTTGGTTGTGTAGAAATCGGGCGAGAAAGAGATGCTGACGTTCATGCTCGGATGGACAAACCTGAAAGCCATACCAGATGTGTGCGCTGTATCCGATCTCAACTAGCCCATTGGCGTCAAGAAGGAGGGAATCAGTGTGTGGAAAGCGCGAGTCTGGTTTGTATTTCTCGGATTTGCGAAACTGGAACACGAGTGATCAAAGGACAAGGAGTGGCCATGGGAGATAAACTACGTGCTTGCTAAGTTAGTGCACAACCAGGATCCATCAATGGCAATTTCCGCCCAATCATCAAAACCAGGTGGTGCACCACATCGCGAGCCGTATGCGCCTGGGATAGTACGGGTCAGATGATGGTCAACCCACGAGAATGCGTTGCAACCCACATCATAGCATTCACAGTAGCGCCTGAAGAATATTAGATGACTCTTTAGTGGTAAGACGCCCACTTACATCCCAAGAACAGTTTGGCTGATAATGGGGAATCAGTGTGGCGTAAGGCAATATTTTTTCTCGAGGCCTGCGTGGTGCTGGGGCTCGGTATATAAAGAATACAGTCCGTTGGGCGCAGAATAGTTGCAAGAACCCAGAGGGATTCATGCTTTCCACATCTTCAAAGATCCCAGACGCTGACCTTTCACCAGCCTCAATAAGTAGAACCCGGATGTTCGAGTCTTGAGAGATGTTGTGCTAGGACACATTCTGCTGTGCCTGGACGAGACAAGGTCCCTGAGACACATTAGCTATGGGAACAGATACATCGCACCTCCTCCAACAATGAAGTCCCAATCATCTAACTCATGTTGTTGAGTTCCTTCGCTATTTTTGGGTAGTCCGTTATGTGCTTCGGTTGTTTCACAGTGAACTGCTTCAGGATGATCGTTAAGGCTACGGCACGAGCTGCTCCAAGAAAAGGTTTTGATTTGGTATGAGTATGAGTATGAACGATATCCACAATGTCGGGCAGCTTGGAGGATACATCATTGTGAATCATGGCTGCTTGGGGATAGAAGGAATGCATGAACAGAGTGTGGACTGAATATGTTTAAAAACCCATTACTTATCGTTCCTATATACAGACAGTGTTTCGCTTCACAAAAGTACTTGTAGAACCTTTCTGATACGGAACCAATGCCATCACAAGAGTGAGGTAGGTGATCGTGTCCAAGTAGAGATCTGTAAAAATTAGATATGGAATCGAGAGTAATAGCCGCATCTTTGAGGGTGCATCTTTTAGGGTGCTTGTATTGTTGCTCATCCAGCTGACGGCCTTGCGACACTAACACTCTTCGGAGAAGCAAAGAGACCACTGGCAGTCACGGTGATGTTTATGTTCTTCGAAGATGAGTAGCTTGTGAGGTGTCAACACTTCGACCGTGGTCGGCAGCGTTATATGGCCAACAAATGGCAAAGAGATATTGTCCTGGACGGGGGACCATTGGGGGTGACTTTACCAACATCATGGTCGTCAAAGGAACAGCTGTCTTCTTTTGATTGATATAACTTGCGCCCAGATCTTGGATCTTAGCTCTGGTGAGCTGAACGCTCAGGCTTTTGGATGCGCATTGCACCGCAATAGAACAAAATCAGGACTGTCGGAAAAGCTTCTGGACTCTGGAAGCTTGTCAGACCTACATGAACATTGAAGTAGTTTGCTTTCATTTGTGACAGCGTGACGAAGTGCAGATCTATTAAGTGACGGTGACGTGACTATAGACCGATATCTCTAACATTAACAACAGCGCGGGCATAGCTAGATAAACGTCTGGTTCAAGCTTCCGCTGGTAGGGTGTGGTATGTCGTACCAAACTTTCAAAAAACACGCAGAATTGTGGGGCACCGGAGGAGCTATACGCACAAAGAGCCTAGATATTAGTAGTAAGGCTTACCACTGGCACCAAGCGTCCGCGACTCCGCGTAGTCTACTACTGGGCCTCAGCGGCTAAGGTGACTAAGTCCCCATGGTTCTCTTTGTCATCATGACGCCATATTGTGCAGTTCACGACCATATAAATATCCATCAAGACCCAATTTGCCAGTTCAGAGCTCAACCGTCATGTCAATATCCGAGAAGACGCACATTTTCATCACAGGTGTTACTGGTAAGTTCTCGTTGACCGTACTTTAACCCACCGCTGACTGTCAATTGCAGGTTACATTGGCGGATCTGTTTTGTCCGAATTGTTGTCCCACCCTAGGGCTAAATCATTTCAGATAACTGCGCTCACTCGCTCTCCTGAAAAGGTCGTACCGCTTCACAGCCTCGGAGTCGTAGCTGTCGTCGGCTCGAACCAAGATCTTGGAACGCTGACAGAACACGCCAGGAACTCGGATGTAGTTTTCGCCTGTGTCCGTTTGGAGTCTAAACTGCCGAGTTAAAGATATAGCTAATCGCCCCTATATGATAGGCTGACTCCGATGACCTTCAGGCGGCCAAAGCAATCCTCCTAGGACTGAAAAAGAGATACGACGAAACTGGCAGGGTCCCTATTCTCATCCATACTGTGTGTCTTTTCCTTGCTCCCTTCACTTGCAATGCGTGTTTAACTTTGTCAGTCTGGGACCGGTGTTCTTATAGACAATGCTGCAGGAGATTATGCTACTGATACAGTCTATTCGGATCTCGACATCCCGCTGATCGAGACGCTACCCAAGACGCAACCTCATCGTGAAGTTGACATCGAAGTCGTCGCTGCTGATGAAAAAGGTAGCATCGATTCTTACCCTACTTGCTTATGGTTCATGAACAAACGCTCGATACAGGTTACGTGCGGACATATATCGTTTTGCCTTCGATGATTTATGGAATCGCGAATACGCCGTTGGTCAAACTCGGCATTCAGAATCCGTACTCTATACAAATCCCTAAACTCATCAAAGCCGGCATTGACAGAAAACAGGGCGGAGTCGTCGGGAAAGGGTTGAATCTATGGCCTAACGTTCACATCAATGACATAGCAACTTTGTACTCCACCATTTTCGATGCCGCCATCAAGGGGCCAGGTGAAGCAGGTCATGGTCGCGAGGGCTTCTATTTCGGCGCAAATGGAGAGCATCGTCTGGGTAGAATATCCGAAATTGTCGCAGAGTTGTTGTTTGAGATAAAGCTGGGAAAAAGTCCGGAGCCTACGGTTTTCACGGAGGATGAGTTGCAGAAGTATTTCGGGGTAAGCCCTTGGTTTTGGTGGTTGTTTATGGACTACTGACAAACCAACGATTGATAGGGCCCACTGAGTCTTGGATCGAACTCCCGTGTGCGTGCAGAACGAGCTAAATTGATTGGCTGGAAGCCAGTGCACACTGTCGACAGTCTTTGGGCGAGTCTCAAGCCGGAGATCGAAGCGGCGGCGAAGATCCAAAATATCTAAGTTGTGTATCATAGAAATTTAGTGAAGTATGAACTCAATTCTCGTCGTCCAGGGATAGTTACAGCCGCTGTGTACCAAAACTCTTGTACTCTGTATTAAGCTTTGTATGAAGATGTATTCAGAAATCATGATATGACAGTGCAATTTATGCAACCCTGAACGGGCCAGTTCAATGTTCAACCACGGAAAGAGATGAGTGGCAATCGATAATCACTCAGCCTATACTCGATTGGATCCCAAACGTCATATACACACGTCCTTTGGGACAACGCAGATCAGCCATGGGGGCCTGCGGTGTTTAAGCCTACCACTATGGTTATTATTACCGGAGAAATCACTCGAGATATGTGACTCTATATGCTCGTCCTTGATAGATGTATGATGGATTTAGATATATGGTACAACTGCAACTACGCAAGTAAGGTTATGCCATTCATGCAATATGACAGCGAATTACGCGCTGGTTATATATATTTATCACGCTTAAGCGGTAGCGTTGTTGAAGATAAGCAAGTTCACTGTCTTCGGGGGCAGATCAGTAAGCATGTTTGATGATGCGAGCTTGCGAAGGGCCGTCTTGAGCTCCAAGGGGGAGATCAAGACTGGACCACCAGGAACGGGCGCATTGACGAAAAATTGTGGTGATGGCATGAAGTCGGTCATCCAGCGCGGGAGGGCAGCATGGCATAGAGAGTAGAATGAAGAATAAGGGTGCTCGATGTTGTATGCAGGAGGCAGCGTCGAGCTCAAGGTAGGGTCGAAGGTAGCAGAGGGGTAAATCGACAAAAGGTATGCAAGCAGGCCGGCGGTATGGGGAGAAGCCATCGAGGTACCAGAGAGGGTAGCGATAGCATCCCTGCTGCCAATGTACGTGGACAGGATGTTAAGACCTACGAGAAAACAGTGCGTATGAGGAGCCGATCTCTCAACAAATGGAGACACGTACCTGGAGCGAAGATATCCACACACTCGCCATGGTTGGAGAAGTATGCACGTTCATCGCCGAGCGTGGAGGCACCAACTGTGACAGCCTTCTCGGCTGCTGCGGGCGAGTACTTGCAAGCGTCCTTGTTGTCGTTACCTGATACTGTTGTTAGATATGATTTTAACAACTAGCTGGTGCGATATACCGGCAGCAACGGCAAAATGGAGGCCGGCGTCAACAGCGCGGTTGACAGCAAGGTCAAGAGCAGGAGATTTTCCGCCACCAAGACTCATGTTTGCGACCGATCCCTTGTGCTTGGTCTTACCAGTGGCGGCAAACTCGGCGCGAGCAGCTGCAAACTTCTCCACAGCTGACTGAGTTGCCCATGCGACTCCTGCAACAACATCGGCCATGGTGCCACTGCCATTGGAACCCAGCACCTTGACGGCGGTGACTTTTGCCTTCTTGGCGACACCATACTTGCGGGAAGCAATGGTACCAGCACAGTGCGTACCATGGCCATTGCCGTCCTCATCAACGTCATTGGTTGGAATGGTCTTGCCCCAAGAAGCGCGACCCTCGAATTCGGAGTGGGCAACATTGATACCGGTGTCAATAACATACACGTCGACACCTTCACCACCTTGCGAGTCATAGAGATACTTCGTGAAAGTGCTGAACCCAAGTTTGTTGCGGTGGCTGATACGGGCAAGACCCTTGGATGTGGAGTCAACTCCACTGAAGGCCACAGCATTCAGTGGAAGAACTTACCCAAGGCGAGCCCTTCTGGGTGCTGATATCCATGGTATGTACGATTTGGTCCTTCTCTACGAACTCAACCTCAGGCATCCGCCGTACCTGGTCGATGACGTTCTCAGTGAACTCTCCAGCGTAACCTTTGACGTGTCCTTCATAGAAGTGACGGACACCCTTTGCAAACCCGTCACCGAGGAGCGAGTCAGAGGCATGAGCCATCTGGAGGAAGTTGAAGTGGTTCTGCATGACAGCCTGGGGAAGGTCATCGCGAAGAACAACGATATACGAGTTGTTCACGGTTCCATATGGATGCTCAGAGGCCATTAACGGCGCAACCTTGAGTTGCGGCCGACTGGGAACATTGTAAGGATTGGTAGAAAGTGGGGTTGCAAGTATCGCTGGGGCCAGCGCCGCCGCCAGTAATGACCAAGTTGCGAGACGATAAGACATGACGGGCGGAATGAGAACAGTTGTAGGGATGACGACCAACTACTTAAACAGCTTGCGTGGCCTTATTTGGCAATGTTTATATTGTGGCATAGCAGCGTGTCTGTTCTAGCTCTTTTTGGCCAGGCTCTTTCCAGACTCCATGTTCCGGGCCAGGTTTGTGCCAGGGCGTTGCGGTAGGAGATAGATAGTCTCAGTCTTATCTTACTTCGAATTCCAACTGTGAGAGACCAACCGAATTTTTCGCGTGCACGGACATGTGTGTCTTCTATTTATCTGATGCGCTTCCGCTTCGTCAACGACTTGGATGCCGAAGTTGGTCGGTCCACTTTCCTATCAATTCGGAACGGCCAGTTTAGACTCAGATACTCCGTATATAAGGTTATTTTTAGAATTTGTTATTTTAGCGTGAGATACTTTTCTTTGACTCACCAGGGTCAGATAGAATTACTGTAAATAAATAATTGTGGGATGACAATGAAAATTCCAAGTGAAACCTGATGTGTTTACCGTCCACTGAGGTAGCATAGTAAGTAGGTCTCTCCGTTGATGGTTTATTCCATGGGACTCCGCAAAAACTGCATTGTTAACTAAACTCGAGGGTAAGTGCAAGATAAATAACTAATGTCTGTCCAGTGTGAGTGTGATTAACAATAAAATACATAAAGTATATGATGATATTTGCCCGAGATGTAATCACCTACCATCATTGACGACGTCCTGCAAGATGGGCCGGCCCTTCAGGATCCCCTCTTCGACTTTTGGAGTTTTCATTTTCTTCAAGAGCGGTTCATTGTCACCAGCCGCTGATCCAATCTCCTTACTTCGTTTCGCAGGACTGCGAATACCACACCGTTCGCTTTGGAGCGCCGGGTGCTTGACATCCGCATTGGCAGGCAGCGTCAACATCCAGCCCCGCTCGTCCATGAGCGATAAGAATACTGATAAAAGCTGAGTCGAATTCAAGGTCTTTCGGGAGCCAATGATGATCAACTTCGACCGCGCACGCGTGAACGATACGTTGACTCGCCGCCAGTCCTTGAGCAAGTCTCCGATCTGCGCAAGGAGCGTTAGCTCGTGCTGCAGTTGTATAGCTGCATCTGATAGAACGTACCTGCCCCTGGTCGTTGGACCTGACCATAGAGATGATGATACAGTCCTTGTCGCGTCCTTGACTTCTGTCAGCTGTGAGGATCTCTATATCTTTCCGGTCTTGAAGAAGGTGCGACAGAAGCTTTATCTGCTGACGATAAAGAGACATGATTCCAATTTGATCTTCCTGGACTCCCGATCTTAAGAACGCTTCGGTAATCTGGTACACAAGCTTGGCCTCGGCATCATTTTGGACGAGGTCCCCAACTCTTGAATCACGGGCAGGCAAGTGATCTGTGTCAACGAATACGACTTTGCAGCTAGTGGGAAAAACGGTAAGTCAACTTGCCGCACCACATGGCGCGAACCGACCTTTCCGATAATAGACGCTGCAACCAACAAGATTCCTCGCACAGGCATATTCCCAGATCCTGCGTAGTGATATGCTTTTTAGGAAGAACGAGTGTGCTCTTGGCCACTTCCTCTGATCCACATCGCAGACGATCTCCGTATATTAGCTTGTTCGACAACTCCATAATGTCCTCGTTCATGCGATATTGATAAGTGAGATCGACCACCGCATGCGGGTGCGCTTCAGAAAGGCGACGGAAGAGAGACGTTTCTAGACCACCTTTTCGCGCAGCAGGATTGCGGACCTAGACATGCATAAAGGGGAGAGCATGATATGCAACAAAAGAAACTCACCAGTGGCGGAAGCTGGAAATGATCTCCAACCAAAACAAATTTATCAGCAAATCGAAGCGGACCTAGACATGTGGGCAGAGTAATCTGAGAAGCTTCATCGACGATGCAAAAATCGAATGTCCTGCGAGAGAATAGGGCACTGATGGGAGACTAAAATGAGCACAAGCAAAGATATCGACAAACAGACGTACTGATCAATTGACAGGCAAGTAGTAGCAACAACTGGTGGTGTAATGACCTGGTTCTCCAACTCCTCGACCGTTGTAGGCAACCTACGCTCAGAAAGCGCAAATTTGCGAACGCCAGGATGCATCTAAACATCGAGTATGAGCCAATCTACGAAAACTCGTGGTTTTACAGATGCATACCTTATCTGCATTGCCGATTCTTAAAATGCCGAAATCTGCATCCTGTAGCTTGAGCAATATCGTGTCCACAGCCGAGTGAGTATATGACGTCACAAGGACTGTCTTCCCCATGGCCACAATAGTCCGGATTAGCGCAGCAATTACGGTTGTCTTGCCTGAGCCAGGCATACCGAGGATGAGCGCGTAGTCGTGTGCGCTCAAGGCCCGCTTCACCGCAAGAAGTTGACCGGGATTCATACCTGAGCTTGTGAGGACATACTCCGGAACATGTTGCAGGTTGTCAGCGATGGTCTCCTCGTTATTGAATAAAGGGCGTCGCAGGTCCACGACAAGCTCTAGACGTTTGTGGTCCCCTTCCACATAGAATAGCTGGGCTAAATTATCCCTAATCCGTGCCATGCTGCCTGATAACTCGTCCTTGTCAACTCGAAAGAGTACAGCTGTCCTCGCTCCTCGAAGCGTCTCCAGTCTGGCTTCTATCTTGTCCACATTTAACTCGTGATCTACACCCACGATTACTGCCTCTGGTGTGAGTTCTACAATGAACCCTCGTGCAAGAGCAAGAAGATCAGGTTCAACGGAGATTGTAATAGCATCTCCACGGCTCATGTGCCCATTCAGGAACGAACCGCCATGAGCAGCAGAAGCACGAACGAAGCAATAAGTGTACTGGTGAATCTTGCCACTGTTAGAAACTTTTTCCGATTGGAAAGATGCGTCTATGACCATCGAGTTGAAACATCTGCCTTTATCCTCGCGTTCTTGAGCAGTCATGCACCATAACTCTTTTCTAAATCGATTGCCGTCCTGTTCCTCGAGCGAAATGAGCTCTTCCCATTGTTTAAAAAACGCAAGATGGGAAGGCTTCAAATGCGAGGTTTTGAGGTCATACACGTCTGCAATCGGTGAAGACGTATCAACAACGTTCTCAACAGCCTGTAGCCATGATATCAGCAGAACCCATGGAACAAGATCAGAACCGAACCTTGCGAAATAGCATACAAGTATCCAGCGCATAGCACTTCTTGCACATCCTTTCGTCGTCAATCGTAGGAGGAAGAAAAGGCTCTTCGAGCTCCTTTTCCTTGCCATGTGTATTCCTGCGCATCATATATGACGCCATTTCGTTTCTTGCGCCTATCAGTGCTCGAAGCTCGTTGCGACTTTGCGGGACACGGACGACCTCCTCGCTCTGGGTGTAGTACAATAGTCCACTGGGAACGTGAACCCCATACCGTTCTGCTATCAGGAGGGTGTAAAGCATAGTCTGAGCGCGATGCTCCATCCCTGCGACAGTCCTACCAGTCTTAATCTCGAAAGGCATTATGTGCGTGCTCAGCAAGGATTCACTCTTAACGCGCTTGTCGATCGTGCTCTCAGCAATGACCGCCTGGACGGTAGCATCGAGCTTGCCTTTAAGTCCATAGGTTGGAGACCAAATGTCTTCTTCCACGTCATGCAGTTGGGATATAGCAAGAAGGGAGCTTTGGTTAGCAGTCGCGCGGGTATTAGTGAGAACTGCATCAGCCTATAACATCAACTTTAGTGGTCAAATAAGCACAGTTACTAGCAACAATCACCTTTGGCGTGTGAGCGATATAACGCTCAGAGAACACTCGGAGACCTTTTGAACGGGCCTTGACTTCACGCTTTGCTTCGTCGACGCTGAAGTTGATCTTGACGAGTTCTGCTAGATTCTTCTTGATGATCTCCTCGATGTGTTCTTCAATGAAACGGTCATCCCATCGTTGTTCAGCCATGCATATTTGCATAACCTCGTGAACCATGTTACCCCATATAAGCGACGGGGTGACATCTAGGCTCGAACGGACAAGCGCGGAGAGAAGTGGCTTTCGCCTGCACTGTGGCGCATTAGAAAGCGCAGTAGCTGTGATCAAGAGATCTGGATGATTAATCAGAAAATTGATTTTGGAAGTTATCTTAATCATTCCAAAGGAATCGAAATCGCCCAGGACGTTGATGATATTTCCTGGGCCAAGTTAGCATAGAAAACAAGGACGCAAGGGCGGTTTACCTTTGCGAACATCTGCATCTACCCAGTCATCGCAGAGAATCACTGTTCGGGGATCTCTACTTGGCTGGACACGCACAGAAAGGACCTGTAATACTTTCATGACATAGTGTAATCCATGCAGCTTTGTGTCTCCAAACCTTTTGAATCATCCCTGACCTATCAACTCGAACGTCATCAACCACACATCGAGTACACGTCTCTTTGGCGTGTCGCTTTGCAGGCATTGCTATCGTCTGTAGAGGTTCAATAGGAGTACCGTGGCCAGTAGAATGCTCAACTCACCCCGGACTTCACGTGAGGTTTCTTCGGAGTCATGAAATCATCTTCCATGTCTGCCCAATCCCAGTTTTCAGCGCCTTCAAGAAGCGCGTTCACATCCAGAGCAGTCCCATTGACAGGAAGAGCAGTGGCAGACAAAGACGCAGATCTCCTTGCAACAGGAGAACGCTTGACAGAAAGCGGCCGACGACCTGGTGTTTTCTTCCGCTGAGTCAGAGAGATAAGTATATCTGCCGAGTAAAAACTCACCTTCATTGGCGTCGTCCCACACTTAGATTTCTTTGGCGTAAGAAAGTCCAGCTCCATATCATTCCAGTCCCAATTTTCTGCACCATTGAGAAGCATGGCAATGTCGAGGTTATTACTATTACTGTGAGAGCCAGGACGGCCACCCGCATGTGCAGAGGGTGTTTGTGGGGCGATGGAAGAGCAAGAAGCTGTTCGTTTGAGCTTCGACGGACGTTCTAGTTGACATGCTGAGTCGAGACCTGAAAGTAGGTTCTTCATGAAATCATCTTCGTCGGAAGTGTTCTGTGTTGCTTGGGACATGACAGACTAACTAGAAAGATGTGAAGTTTCAGAACACGATGAATGAGTTCTTCGACAATTAATTGCCACAACAAGGCGCGGTAACGTGATTGCATCCGCGACGCGTTTGTTGCTATCTATGTGGTTTGTCGCGAGTTTAAACTCCGCGAATATCTCTTGGCAGTCATTGTTCTCGCAACTGAACAAAACTTACAGGCGGGCGCTCGCTTCTGCAATGAGAATCAAGCTCAGGAAGTGCCAGTCAATATTTCCGCAAACTCACCGCCAAGCATGTTGCACTATATCTGGCCTCCCCATTCAGCCTCGGGTAGGAACGTAACTCTCGCAAGTGTTCGGTACTGCTAACGACCCTTGGTATAGCTTTTGAGTGTTACCTAACTTGCAGAAACCCATCCAGACATCCTGTGGTAGCATTACGATGTGGTCTATATGGGTTAAAGCAAGTCATCTTAATGCCCTCATTGGCTGTTTCTCCGCAAATTACGTCCAACCACTCATATAAGCCATGGCTGTCCATACGATGATACCATTAATGTGCGTAAACAAATATATAACCACGGTAACAGGTAATATCGATTTTCAGACATACAAATATCATTGATGCACGAGGATGGCACGGTCGGGCTACTTCTCATAGCCGTGTCCACCGTAAATGCGCATGGCCCTTATCTTGGCACGTAGCTCAGGGATGGGCGCGCAGTCATTTCATTTCTCAACCTTAGGCGCCCCTGATCACAATTAACATTTAACATCAAGAGATTCATGTAGGTATGAGGAAGGACTTTCCAAGTAGGCCGTACGTCCAATAGTGGCCTGGCCCCTCGAAAGAAGTGGTCCGAGAATGGACATCAACGATATTTCATCGACTTCCTCTTTTGATCGCCATCATGGGACTCTTACCTCGGTCCTCCGTCACCTCGTGTTTCCCATGTGTTCGGGCCTACAGCAACTTCGTTTACATACTTGGATTTCCCTCGGTATCAGGCGCAACATAGCATACGCACGCCTTTCAATCAGTCCCTCGCAAGCCCTGTAACAAAGACTTATCCACAAGAATAGCAAAACGCTCGCATCGCATCAACCAACACTACGACTTTTATCATGTTCAGCAGCCTTTCTAGCACCCTCGCAGCAGCAGCAAAAGCTAGCGGGGCCAAGGGAGATTCCAAAAAGACCATCTCCCCCACACTTCGCGCAGATATCTATAGCGCCATCGATCAGGCGAAACCCTGGCTTATCGGGGGTACCGTGGGTAGGCAAGCCGGTGATGGCGTCGCCTACCAACCCATTATCGCGAGAATCCACGAACACTTCCCTGATGTGAAAGTGGGATTAGATGCAGCACGAAACACAGAGCATGAAGTGGCAGTTATCGTCGCTGGGATCACGAACATGATCTTGGAGATGAGCAAGTGGGATGGGATGGCGGGAGCTATGGCCATGCGCACGTGGGTCGATGCACTTGGAGAGGCACACAGCAAGATAAGCAGCGCCCCTACCGAAGCAAAAAGTGGTCCTCGGAAGGATCAAGTTGGACGAGGAATTACCAGGGGCATCAATCAGTTGACCGACGTTACCCTGATGACCAGAGAGTTCGCGGCAAGAATACAGATAATCTCGCTGTTAAAGAGCGGTGAGTCGGAATTCTAGTGTTTATTCAAAGCGGACGATTTAGGCCCTTTGATGTGCTTCTTCTATTTCTAGTAAACACGAAGATTCATGGCGCGGGGAGCGATGAAGCGAGACAGGGCGAGGCGCTGTGGAGCTCAAAGTTCATCTGATGCTCTATTCGCATTTTTAGATTATCGACGAGTCGGGATGCCTCGTAGTTTTGTTGTCAGCCGAACGTGCTTGCCTTGCGCCTTGCAGATATGCACTAGTCTAGACTTTAGAATCATGGGCCATCGGGTAGTCGTGATTAAATGGGGTTGCAATGCGCAATGCATCCGACATATTGAAATATCCATCAGAAGAGTTTGAATTTGAAGAGTTCTGTGTCGGCGTAGTAATACATATCGGACCTACTTAACATCAGATGACCGGCACGACAAGAAGCGCGGCGTAAATTGCCCGTACGTAGAAGTCAACAAAACGCAAACCTCAGTCGAGCCATTGATACGAAACTACATGAACGAAACTCCATCTGGGCTCATCGCGGAGGACCCATTATGTAGAATAAATATTAATACGTGCTGATATTACGATTAAATGCACAATAGTTTTTTACATGATCTGATGGCAATGTGAGCAGCGGGCATCCGGATTGGGGTAAGCGTACTCACATAATTCCGGATATCCTTCGGGAAGCTTGATGATGATGACTGAACCATTATGTCATTTGATATCGCCTCAGGCGAGTCAATATTGATCATGAAGTCATCGAGGGAAAAGTTATCCATGTTGACGTCCAATCTGAATGGTTCATCCAGCCGATATTGCGTGCCGTAGTCGTACGATTGAAACATCCCTTGGTCCGCGAAACCCGGAGACATGTGAGATGGGTGGGGGCGTGTGGGGTTGAGCATGTCGGGATAAGGATAAGTGTTGTAAGAGAGAGATGCAGGGTTGGGTTGATATGCCAAGTGCTGTGGGATGGAAGGTGGGGGCGCACGTGCAGATGCTGAGTATCTAAAGTGGTATACAGCAGAGAATATGAGAACTGGGCGTGGACGACCCGAGTTCCTTGAAGAAGTTGTTGAATCTGGAGAACGGTACACATCCTGAATGATGGTGTATACAGTAGGGTCTGGGCAATATATTAAATCCTCGTTTTCATGTCAAGTTGAGACATGATCGTACCTGGTGACTTGCACAGGGTTTCCCAATACTTGGGAACTAGAGCTGTGCTATAGAGCAACGGACCGTCACCAGGAGCACCGGTAAAATAAGGACCGACGCATTCGAGCTTTGTGTCCTCGCTGTGTATGGGTGCGCCATCTAATAAGACTATGTAGGATGATTTGCCGATGACAGTGGAGGGTGAGACGAAGGTTACGGTGGGATCGATGTCTCTCATGCAACGGGGTGTGTTGGAGGAAGGTTGGGATGGAGTTACACCTTTGTATGAAGTACGTGAACGTGAGGAGGATGGGTTGGTGTCGGGTAAGATGTCGATGTAGACTGGGGTACGGTTGTCAGGAAGGTTGTTGCGTCTAGAGGAAGGCATTGCTGGAGAGGATGTGGGGGAGGCTGAGGCAGATGAAGAATCTGTTCTGAGAGATAAATAGTGGATGGATTCACCCTCAAAAACATGGTTATGAGTGGAAAACGTCCGTGACGAGCCGACTTCAGTTCGCGTAGTGAGATAAGATCGGGTGAGGGAATCGATCACTGCCAAAAATAAATAAAATAGAAGGGCATATAATTAATGATGCCGTCTGAATGAACGCACAAACAAATCGGACGGGACGGATACTCACATTCCCGCCCCTCGGATGTGTCCCTAAATTGCTGTAGTCGGCTGCCTATTTGTTTTGATGATCTGTGTTTTCCCGTTTTGTGATAAATGTACTCTGAGATGAAACGATTGCGCATAGGAAATCGTCCCAATATTTGAGTTTCCCGCGAGTCAACGGGCTTGTATTCTTGAAGACCTGAAGCGAATCATATGAACTAAATGCTGTGATCAGCATATGTGATCCGCACCTTTCAGCATCATGGCTTCGAGATAAGGTGGCCATACAGGCTCAGAATTGCCCTTGAGCGTTTTCCAACCTTTTCTGATGTTCAAGATCGTCCGAAAAAGATTTTCCGTGTTTTGAATCGGCGACATTAGCCGTGGATGACCGGAACCACATGATGAATCTGTGGTGCTTGGCGATGAGGAGCGATCAGAACTTGAATGCGCCGTATGAGCGTGCACTTGGGTGCTATGATTGCACGACGAGGCATGTGTGATTGGCAACATTGAGGGTGATATGATCGTGATTCAGAAAGAGAGGCGGGCTAATATAGGGGGTTGGAGGTGGGGGGACGGCAAACATGGCTGTAAGTTTACCGGATGATGCGCATGACCAGGTGTTGATATCGGAACCAGGGCAGTGTAACTAGCGCGTCCAAAAACAATGCATTTACCGAGCGACAGCTGTACTAATCCATGCAGGTTAATAATTAAATTTCGAGGGGACGCCGTCTGCTTGGTAGGGTTCAAACGTTCATTGTCCCAGAATCACGGCGGCACTCACGCTGATTTAGACAAAGCCTCAGATCCTTCACCAACCGGCGATGCAAACTCCCCGAGTTCGGAGAATTCCGTTCATCTTCCCAACTTGGGTTTGACTTTGAATCTATGCCATAATACCGACGACTTATTAGGAATAGGTAACCTTGCGCCAGTGGTTTGTCCATGTACTTGTTATACATGAGGCATCGAAAAGATTTTAAACGAGACTATGTATCGAGGGTTGATCAGGACCCGACATATGGCGTTACCCATCACAAGTACCTTGCGCCCACAATGATCCCTACTAGTACCGTCGCTTCTCAGATGTTCAGGAGGTCAGCCTCATACTAGGCCATGGCCCAACATCTCTATGTGCGGCGAATCACGGATCTCGTAGACGCTTTCCGGCTTGTTGTGAGGGCCTGTCGCCGGTACACATAAACGGAAAGCACATCATATCCTGCTATCAAGTTTTGAATAAAATCACGGAGTTAGTGATATCATTCAACATAGACGTAATTGCCGTATCGGAACTTTGTATCATATTTCGCCTTAGCCCTCGACCACGTTAAGGGCTAGAAGAACTACTCAAAGTTCGACGGGGACAACAGTCTTCATTTGCTGAATTTCGAGAAGACTTGCATCATGAAAGTTTAAATTATATGACGCTGTTCGGCCTCGTCCAATCGAGACAATCCACCAGCGACATTGCAATTATGTAATTTCAGAAATCGAGAACAGGCCGAATTTTCGATTAAAATCACTCGATATTACTAAACGTCATATAGTTCGAACGCTTAAGTGCCCTGACATCAGCTCTGCCCAGCATGCTTGATGAGGCCCTTCCAGGTGCGCATCAACTTTGTACAAGACATCCATGGGCCGTACTGTGCGCGTACACCGCACCAGGCACGTGACAAGAACTACTCCACGACGTCAAATCGGTGAGAAAATGTGATAATGACTTTTGCAAGATCGTTTTAAAGACTATACGCGCGATGGGCTCCTCGAATCGATAAACTTAAATAAGTTCATTTGGATAGCTCGCAGAGGTCAACTAGCTCTGATCAGATGCCTCGCGCCAGAAACGGATTAGATCGTCAGCCACAGCTGTCCCAGCCACGTCTAGTCCTGTCTATAAAAATTCCAACGTGGGCATGTCACGAGCACCGTAGATCTCGGCTATGATGCGCCCCTGCGTGGGACATGGATGGGAGTCATTGCAATTTCTTTCTCGTTCTGATTCTCTGCCACTGTCCGCCCGCAATGTCGTCCTCAAGACCCAACAGTCTTGCGGATCCATTCTCGACGGCGCCCAACACTCCTTTGAACACTAGTCCATCTCTCGAACCTCCTAGAGCCTCTTATCTGTCCTCCACACCAGATACTGCCATCAGCCCGCGCGATTCGTACGCTGAAACACCAGATAATGTCTCTCCATTGGTCCCAGAGAACGAAAAACACGATGCCTTAGGCTATAGCCAAGAGTCGAGAGAAGAACCTACCTTTACAAAACGATCCATCCTTAAACGGCCTCTATTTTGGCTCATCGCTTTCGCCGCCGTTACTGTCGTCGTTCTCGCTGTCGTTCTCCCAGTATACTTTGTTGTTATCAAACATCACAATTACAGTACTGTTGCAACTTCTGCCGGCGGGTCAGGCGCCGGCAATCCAGCTCCGCCTGGAACCACGACGACCGGAGGAAACGGCTCCTCTATCACCACAGCTGATGGCACAACCTTCACTTACTTGAATCCCTTTGGAGGCATCTGTAAGTTCTATCATCCATCGATGGCTTTCAGCTATGAGTCGTTTGTGGTCTGCCTTTCTCTGCGCCATCTATGGAGGCTACACAATTGAGAAATATATTTCGCGCGCAGTTAAAGGGTCTATGGTTTGCTGACGTAAATGCCAGAAGGGCTGCCTAGCGTTGTCCTTGTCTATTACTCTTTGGCTGAACGTTTTGATCTTACTGATTCCTTGCAGGGGTGGACAACCCAAACGACCCTTTCAACAATGGCGCTTATCCTAACTCGTGGACCCCTCCTCTTAACTCCAGCTGGACTTGGGGAGTAGACAAGATTTATGGGTCAGTGTCACGCATCTGAGGCACATTCGTGCGTTGAACGCGGATCATGTACAGTGTCAATCTTGGTGGACTTTTTGTCCTAGAACCCTTCATCACACCGGCCCTTTACCAGAAATATCCGGGTGCAGTTGATGAGTGGACCCTGAGCACGCTCATGGCGGCGGATACAGCCAGTGGCGGACTACAACAACTAGAGACCCATTACAGTACCTTTGTTGTAAGTACATCTCGCTTGGCTTATTTGCGCTTAAATCACGCTCGTAGACCGAGCAGGATATCGCGGAAATGGCTGGAGCTGGACTGAATTGGATACGCTTGCCCATTCCTTTCTGGGCAATTGAAAAATGGGACTTTGAACCCTTCCTCGAGAAAGTGTGTTGGCCGTGAGTTCTGCGCCTCCGAATCATTATGTGAACGTTTTCTTATCTTCTGATTGCGGTGACGTCAGCTACATCCTGCGTGTTCTTCAATGGGCAAGAAAATACGGGATTAGAGTGAATCTCGATCTACATACTATCCCCGGATCTCAGAACGGTACGTGGCAGGGTATGCAGCATTGTTCATGCTGTACGAACTTACGATCGGTATGCAGGATACAATCACTCCGGCAAATCTGGTTCTGTCAACTTTTTGAATGGAGTCATGGGACTTGCCAACGCCCAGCGTGCGCTCGATTATATTAGGATCATTACCGAGTTCATATCCCAGCCTGAGTGGGTTGATGTCGTCCCTGTGTTCAGCATTGTCAACGAGGCCCTGGTTTCCACCATCGGAACAGACCAAATCATCTCATTGTACGTTTTGATGTGCTCACATGCGTTTTAGTGTGTCCTGACCGCCAACTTATCGTTTAAGTTATCTCCTTGTGCATGACATGATCCGCAATATCACCGGTTACGGAGAAGGGCACGGACCCTACATTGCCATTCATGATGGATTCTTAGGGACGGCAGCATGGGCAGATTTTTTACAAGGCTCTGATAGAATCATACTTGACACCCATCCTTACTTTGCGTTCGACGGTGGAGATAGTTGGTCGCCCATTGCAACTGGTACTGGGTTAAGCGCTGGAGGCATTTGGCCACAACAGGCGTGTAGTGCATGGGGCCCTGGCATTAACACCAGGTATGCATGTTCCCCGCCGCGTGCCAGCGTTCTCACTTTATCATAGTCAGACCGCATTCGGTATAACCATCGCAGGCGAATTTAGCGATGGTTATAATGATTGTGGGCTGTACCTCACAGGTGTTGGGAATACTGCAAGCTATGGAACATCGTGTTCTTTCTTCTTAGACTCTTCGCAATGGAACGAAACCGTGATAGCTGGTCTTAATGAATTCACCCTGGCTAGTATGGACGCTTTGCAGAATTGGTTTTTCTGGACCTGGAAGGTTTGAATTTGTGCTGGTCAATGCGAGCCTCACTCGAACTTACCGGTAACTCTTGCAGGTCGGAAACTCGTCTACGACCAATAGTGTTCAGTCTCCTCTGTGGTCTTATCAGTTGGGTCTCCAGCATGGATGGATCCCTACTGATCCCCGTACTGCTGTAGGCACCTGCGCAGCGTTGGGAGTCACTGGCCCACAGTTTAATGGGGTTTACCAAGCCTATCAAACAGGAGGTCCTGGAGCTGGTACCATCGTCGCGTCCTCAATCTCATCTTATGGCCAATATCCACCAACATCCATCAACGGTCTTACACCTGGAGCAATCCAAACCCTCCTCCCCACCTACACGTCCACTAGTGCAGTTCCAACTCTTCCGCCTCCCACCCTCACTCCCACTCCTTCTCCATCTGTCAACGTCGGGAACGGCTGGTTTGATTCGGGAGATGCGGGTCTAGCGCCAACGCAAGTACAGGGTTGCACCTACCCAAGCGCATGGGATGCCGTTAGTTCACCCATGCCCACGGCGCTTTGTCCTGCTACAGGCGGTGCCACTCCTGTCACCACGTCAATTTCGTCTACTGCTAGTGTCGCTCCTGTCATCACGTCAGTTTCGTCTACCGCCGGTGTCGCTCCCGTCACCGCATCACTTTCGTCTACCACCCGTTGAATGTCACCGAACGCCGAATGAGGAAGCCTTGGCATTACGACGCCGAGTTTCTGCGTATTCAAGCGTTTTATAGAGGCGCCGTTGAGCATGCGAAGGTAATCTAAATGTAGTCGGCTGCCGGCAGATGATGTTACTCAGATACTATTTCTTGGACATATTATATGACAAACTGACATTGACAAACTGTTATTTATATGGTATTCTGGTCATCGCGTTGCGCTTATTGTTGCCACAGTTAAAGTTTTGTATTGCTGGGAATTAACTGAGAATTCTAACCATTGACTATGTATTTTCAGCCCGTGATCTAGATTGAGCAGGGCGACTCCAATCTCCGTGTCTTCCTGGTTTCGGGTTTCTGTTTCGAAGGTACCCTTTGCATTTTTCTACTCCAAATTCAACTTGACGAATCGGAGGCTGGCAAATGCTCAAGAACACACTGGTGATGTCGCATCAGTATGCCGTTGTTTTGCCGTGATATATTATAAATATGTCCGTTCTATTCGACGCACTTCGTCTGGTTTTATGTCAAATCAAGCGATTCTACAATGGGGGGTTACAGCGGTCGCGGTAAGTTTCGTGGCTGGCCACAGCGCTACTCAGTGTGGTGATTTCAAAATCGTATTTCTGTATTGCGTCGCACTGATTTCTAGTCTGGGAGCCCTGGGTGAATATTTCTATTGAAAACTGGAAAAAGAAAACACCCTCCTGCCGCGTGACATCGAATTTCAGGGTTATGTGGCGAAGAGCCATACAAATAATCAGGCGTTAGCAAAACGCCGGAGCTCTGAACCCCTTCCGCCTGGCTGATTAATTACCGGTGTTGTTCGTTTTTTTTTCCTTCACCACTTTTGTCCGCGTATCAATCTGTGGAGGAAAACAAGCGCATGGTGTGAGTTTATAGTCTTTCGATTTGTTTGCTGCTCAGTTGACCTTGAATCTAGACGATAGCGCCGCGGGTTGACTGGAGCCTTGGCGCGTTTCCTGGGCAAGATTACACGGCTTCAAGCGCACTACCCTAAACTTTTCCTTCATTCACTTGGCGGTCAGGCTTGAATCTTTTTTTTTTAAATTGCGCTGTTCCTCGGTAAACGTGGGCTCGTGGTCGTTCCGACAGGTATTGAAAATGGCAACATCAAACACCCTCGAAATACCTCCGTCCCACTAGTCCATATGTTCCCTTATTCTGGGATGATCCTACCTCTCGTCAGATGGATCATCGATGCCCCTCTTTTTTTACTGAGACCGGGCGATACCCAATATCAAATAGGCCTCCGAGACACTCATGGCATTCGACTTTGATCTGAAACTCCAACGTCGTCTCGTGCTGCTGGACCGCCAAGTCGAGCTAGTCTCCTGATGCAGTTTTAGAGCAGCCCTTGCCCACGACAGATATAAGTCTAGTCGTGCTACTTCTGGATGGTGTGAGATCGTGACGAGTTTTCAATTCGGAATGACGTGAAAATAACTGATCAAGGCCTAGTACATCGCGGCTATCACCTCCCCCCGGTGCGAGATCCACATCAGAAATACTTTTGTCGCACAGTGGCACAAGAAATGGATTCAGCACCGGAGATTTTCGTCAACAACGTCGAGATGGCTGCTGTTAGCATGTTCATGCGAAGCGCATGACTCGTGTTCCCCCGTAACTGACTCGAGTGGAAGTCTCCAGAACACCCAGGCGGAATACCCGACTTCAAGTTCCTGATCTTAGATTGCCAGGGGATCCATTACTGATATTTTGATCATCACACGGGTCAAGCTCCGTATTTCGACAGCTATGTCTATATTATGGGAAATCTGGAGCCCGAAATGTGCGGTGGGTATTGTTGGTGTGATATCTCCGTTCCAGACGGTCAGTCCATGGCACTGCGTATGGAATGAAAAAAAATAAAATTGATGCCCCTTTTTCTACTAGCTGCGAGGTTGCGTTTGTTGGCGCAGACCAGCTATATGCGAGCCGCGTCTCACAAATCACGATCCGAGGGTCCCGGCTACTGTGAGCCCAGCTAGACGTTTGTGGGTATGCGTCTAAATATACAATGTCTTGTGTGGATGATGGTAATTATGTCGAAGGAGGCGAGCGAAATTTAAACCAAACGAAAGGAACACTATGCGCTGTATTAACGGGTTGAGTCTTCAATATCATACATGAATAGACCTGGCTGCCTGTTGGCGCTGCATTTTTACATAGGCAAATCTCAAGTATACTGCGTGAGTTCTGGTGTCCGCATGCCTGGAGGCAAAAACAATGAATTCAGGGCTTGAAGGGGGGATTTTCAAAAGTCGGCCCCCTCTTGTAAGCACGAAGATATGCTGCATATTCATGCACGAATTTTTTGATAATGTGGGTGACCAATTCTGGCCGGCGCGCAGAATAATCAACCGAAATTATTTTACGATGCTTCGTGAATCGTCAGACTACATATCCGGCTCGATTTCTGGACCGCTAGAAATGCGCCGTTGTTCTTCGGATCCCGTGCAGGCACGGTGCAGCAGAGCATCCACGAGAAGCGCAGTGGAATTATTAAAGCCTATCACTATTCCCCGAGTCCGTGTTGTAGCAGATACTCGCGCCGATGTTGCAATCATGAGCCATCAACACATAAAGAGCTTAGAGCGTGCCGTATTTCATTGACTCGGAAGTTAGTCACATCAAGCAATCATGTATATTGCCAAAAAGGGAGGGGGCGGGGTTGTGCTTCGCGTCAAATGATTATCGGGTCGTTCTGCGCAAGGGGCTCAGTATAGAAGGTAATCTGAACGACTGCTCCAGGCATGACGATGCTGACTCCTAGCTAGCTTGCTGAAAAATTTGAGTAACATCTGCAATGCATAACCATAAGTTACTTAGGAGGTATTACTAGTCAGAGAACCGATGAGTCCTTAAGGGCGAGTTACGTTGATTTGCCCGTGGCGCCTTTACGTCGTTATATATGACTTTATTTATGTCGCTTTTAGCGATGAAGATAACAAGACTGGCGGGATGAGCAAAGCCCAAGCTAGAACGTCAGGACTCGGAGGCAGACAATTTCTTAGCCCGCTGCTGGCACCCGTCCCCTAGGATAAGGCTCTGTTAGCTAGGGCAAGAGGAACACTAGGATAGAGGGGATGGCAACGGTTTCAAAACTACGAAAGTTCTCGTCAGGGGGGGCTAGCACGTGTACTTCTCGTTCTGCTTAGGTTTATACTGCTGAACCAACATACCCAGTGGGAGTAAAGGTTCCCTCGCATGGGTCCGATGTGACCGGCCAGCTGCATACGGTAACCGTGACTCACTGGGAAGGTAGCTTACGTTTGAGGGTGGGGAGTACTGGAAGCTTCGGACTCCAGGTTTCGTGGTCTTTAGCACACTGAGACCTAAACCCACAGGAATCCTTTCGGCCGTTTCCGAACCGATTGTGAATATGAGAGACGATGCTAGGACATACTCTGTCACCTAATGAAATCAAAATGAAATATAAGACAACATAACTTTCTTACTAGTCCTCTGACAGCGCGGCGGCCTGACCGTGGCCCTGGATGGACGCATGAACAAACCATACCCACCAGATATTGTATAGTGCGGACTGAGGTAACGATGTATTACGAGAAAAGTTGTAGCAGGTAATATCTCCAAATCACCAGAGGAAGCAGCAGCGAATATTTCGGCAAGCTGACTAGTGCTCACGGTACTATATCAGACAGTTGATTTTCATGAGTCCGCAATAACAGTAGAAGGTTGATTTCAACCTCCGACCCAGGCCACGTCTCACGGTATCATCATTGATATCATTATACTTGAAGTGCTTCGAAATGTAAGTAGTCTGCATCAACTATAATAGGCAGAAGACACTGACATCTTGGATTATGGATATTCTTCCTTGTTGAACTTTTCGCCATGAAACGGCACGACGAAAAAATTCATCGTTGCTAGTAGAAGGAACCTTGGCTCGGAAGGTCACGGTCGATTTAAAGTTATGCCAGTGCATTCTAAAGCGAGGGCCTCCGAGTCGGCCCTATCAGCGGGACAGACAGCGTCTAGGATCACACATGGTCTTATCAATTAACCTCTAACAAGGATGGATACCTTCACTGGCTGCCTGTGCAACTTTCAAGTCGGGATTGACTGGCCCACGTTCCGAAACCGTATCGTCGCATCCTCGGTCATATCTCACGGCTAATATCCACCAACCACATCTGGAACTTAGAAAAATACCATTATAATCCCATTATATCACTAGTGCAGTTCCAACTTGCCCCTCTCTCTGAGTCCTTCTCTATCAACAGGTACCGGGAACAGCCGATTTGATTTTTTTTTCCTGTGTGGCGCCCACAGAACCAGGGTCACATATGTCTAGACTGGCACGGGATGCTGTTATTGATTCAGCGGAACTTTGTCTTTCAGCGTGGAGTGCCGCGGGGTGCGGCTTCCGTCGGTATTCCCTTTTTGTCTCAGCATTGACCATTGGCACCGAACCGACAAGGTTAGAAACCTGACATCACGATCCGGACTTCTGCACGCTTGATCAAGGCGCTGCGGAAGACATATTTCAATGCAGTTGGCCGCCAGATTTCTCACGTAGCCTTGCTTTAGACATCTAGAGCGCCAACAGACTGCTGTTCATGTTGTACTCCAGTTCTAGATCGCTTTTGTTGTTGCCAACCGCTGAGGATTGGCTGAAGACTTTAGCCATTGGCAATTGGTTCGGATTCATGATCTAAGCAAGCGCGCAACCACCTCCTTATCCCCCTCGATTCTCAAAGGTACCCATTGTATTTTTCACCTGAAAATCGCACACTTAACACCATGTCCGGATTGTTCCGCTGATCAAGGCGATTTGAAAGGCTAGCACGAGAAGTCAGTAGCACGGCATCGCATGTGGCTGTCTTGCCGTGATGTGTGGTATATCCGTGTGTGCGGTTCTGAGCTTCGCATGATGCGACATTTGATGTATCATCCGACGGACTGTTATGGTAAGGCAAACAGTTTTGGATACAACGGTCTGCCAGATAACCGGTAAGCTTTGACGGGTCTGATACACATGGTATTCGTATTCATTTGTCCTGCGACGCTCCTGCTGCGTAACAAATATTAGGGTTTGCGATCTAATTATTAGGCGTTTGTAGAACCCCGGAACCCTTTTCCTTCCAGATTAGCTTCAGGGAAGGTTCAATCTATACTGTTTGACAACTTGTGTCTACGAAAAAGATACTCCACGCTTGCGCATCACACAAAATTCCGCGGATGACCACAATTGCGTGCATGGTGCCCGGCCTCATGTCCTTTACCGCTGATTTAAACCTTCTGCC